TGTAAAATGTAGCAGATGTCTACTGGCTAAACAACTATTCGGAAGGAGTGCGAATATCTAGCAATCCAGTAACGGTTGTAGGAAAAATTATTCAGGTATGTTTCAGATTCAACATCAGTTTTAATTCTCATGACCTTTCTGATATGTAATGTTTAGTTGCAGATCCGAAAAGCGAAGTGTTTGAGATACTAGTCAATAAATAGGAGATAACCATTCAGTCACGACGGACCGAACAGAAAATCCGCTAAGAGAACTGAGCAGAGTATACTTTTCAGAATTTTTTACCCCCATATTGGCGAGATATTCGAGCAAACAGATGGACATATATTCACCATTATGATTCCAAGACAGCGAATATGAAGCAATCCAGTTACGGTTGTTGGAAATATTATTCAGGTATGTTTCAGATTCAACATCAGTTTTAATTCTCATGGATTTTCTGATATGTGATGTTTAGTTGCAGATCCGAAAAGCAGAGTGTTTGAGATACTTGTGATGCTTGTCAATAAATTGGAGAAAACCATCCAGTCAAGACGGACCGAACAGAAAATCCGCAAAGAGAACTGAGCAGAGTATACTTTTAAGAATCCTGACCCATATTGGCGACATATTGGCGACATATTGAATTCCTTTTCAAGAAAGCGAATATGGAGCAATCCAGTTACGGTTGTTGGGAATATTATTCAGGTATGTTTCAGATTCAACATCAGTTTCTATTCTCATGGACTTTCTGATATGTAATGTTTACTTGCAGATCCGAAAAGCAAAGTATTTGAGATACTTGTCAATAAATTGGAGAAAACCATCCAGTCAGGACGGACCGAACAGAAAATCCGCAAAGGGAACTGACCAGAGTATATTATATTCGGACGGAAGGCGATGTATTGATTTCCTTTCCAGATACATTCTCAAGCAAACAGATAGACAGATATTCACCTTTATGTCTCTATGGAAACACGACAGGTACCCTTACGAGGGAAGAGTATCAACTCGGCGTTTATAAACCCTCTCTACAAAGGAGGTAGACGCATGGTGGGTTAGGTATATACAGTGTTTTTCATTGCAGAGAAAATCGTTGTTTATCTGCCTACCTCGTCTGCATTGAGAGAGTTGATGAATAATCATAAAAATATATCGCATTTCAGTTACGAATGTTGAAAACAATATTCAGACTTTATAAGTTTCAAATTGATGCTTACTTTTAGATCCGAGCAGCACACTGTTTGGCATTCATGGTCCTTATTATAACCCACGAAATTTAAAATGTAGCAGATGTCTACTGGCAAAACCACTATTCGGAAGGAGAGCGAATATGTAGCAATCCAGTAACGGTTGTAGGAAATATTATTCAGGTATGTTTCAGATTCATCATAAGTTTTAATTCTCATGGACTTTCTGAAATGTAATGTTTAGTTGCAGATCCGAAAAACAAAGTGTTTGAGATACTAGTCAATAAATAGGAGATAACCAATCAGTCAAGACGGACCGAACAGAAAATCCGCTAAGAGAACTGAGCAGAGTATACTTTTCAGAATCTTGACCCTCATATTGGCGAGATATTCGAGCAAACAGATGGACATATAGTCACCATTATGACTCCAAGACAGCGAATATGAAGCAATCCAGTTACGGTTGTTGGAAATATTATTCAGGTATGTTTCAGATTCAACATCAGTTTTAATTCTCATGGACTTTCTGATATGTGATGTTTAGTTGCATTGTTTTAATTCTCATGGCTTTTCTGATATGTGATGTTTAGTTGCAGATCCGAAAAGCAGGGTTTGATACTTGTCAATGAATTGGAGAAAACCATCTAGTCAAGACGGACCGAACAAAAAATCCGCAAAGAGAACTGAGCAGAGTATAGTTTTCAGAATCCTGACCCTTATATTGGCGATATATTGAATTCCTTTCCAGATTCTCAAGCAAATAGATAGACATATATTCACCTTTTTGTCTCCAAGACAGCGAATATGAAGCAATCCTGTTACGGTTGTTGGAAATATTTTTCAGAGGTATGTTTCAGATTCAACATCAGTTTCAATTCTCATGGACTTTCTGATATGTGATGTTTAGTTGCAGATCCGAAAAGCAAAGTATTTGAGATACTTGTCATCAAATTGGAGAAAACCATCCAGTCAAGACGGACCGAACAGAAAATCCGCAAAGAGAACTGAGCAGAGTATACTTTTCAGAATTCTGACCATTATATTGGCGATATATTAAATTCCTTTCCAGATTCTCAAGCAAACAGATAGTCAGATATTCACCTTTATGTCTCAAAGAAAGTATTTGGTAGGTCTCGTCAAAATAAACGAATAAACTACTTTTTTCCTATGAAATGTTTATCGAACCATGATTTGTTCTCTGTATTTCAACACCCTGTATCTGTATAAATGAAGCATTTCCGGACACAAGCTTATATAGACTTTATTTCTTAAAATTGTCACAGGAATACTCCACCTGAACGGACTTATGTAACTTTCTGTATATTCCTGAAAATACCTTCCTTTAATTTAATATTTATAACTTCATGTTTCATACTTATCACTGGAGTACAGTTTCACATACGATAAGGAATTATAGCTATAAGTTTATCCATATGTGTATATTTTCTAATATCAAAATGTTGTTACATGCATTCTTTCCATTTATATAAAAGTCGTTCTGCTAGAAGTGTATCACTAATTGAAGTGGGTGTTTGTACCCTATATCCATTGTCCATCGACGGCTATGATTGATTTGACAGAAAATATAACCTCTAAAATTGTATCTGACAATCAGGCGCTACTAGGGAAATTGAAAAGACAAAGAGCAGAATATATGTCTAATTCTTTTATTCACTTAAACCATTGTATTATAGAAAATAGAAAAGGACAAAAATCAGCTGTGTCCGAACTCTTATCAAACTAATACCATCTAGTGACTCTAGGGAACACTTGAATAGAACGGTCTTTGAGTTCTGTGGGTGTAACTCCCGCCGTCAAAAAGAAAGCCACTAGTAAATGCTAGAGTCCGGACACAAAACTGAAAGCCGTTGGGGTTTTTAATATTTTGTTTCATTTGGTTTGCCCACCAAAATCTAATAGTTATTTGAAACTAGTTTTTCATTCCAAAAACGAAAATATTCTCTGATAGTGACAGACACTTATGAGCAGACATACTATTTGTTCAGGAATTATGTACTTTTGAAATATAAACCAATTTCATCACATACTCATTAACTGTCAATATATTTTACCCCGCGATATCTATGCAATGCAAGAGGTGATACGCCGCTGCTCGGAACCACCTAAGGTTCACAGATAGTATCACAAAAATGCGCAGGTGGAGCGCAAAGTCGATATATTTTCAAGCAGTACTAAACGACACTCGAGGAAGAAGTTTTTTCGCGACGCAAGTAAACCCGGTAAAGATTACCGTCTCGGTACCTATCTAATTTTCTCTTCAAAAAACGCATTCTCGTCGTCTTATATGTGCCATATTCGTGTGTGCAATAATCCTCAATCCTAGCTAGGAGGAAGAAAGAAGTGAGCGCCAAGGGAACTCCTGCAGAAAACCTGAAACCAACCGGTAAGTCCCTCGTTGCATTGCCGATCATCAATTTTCATTTAATGAACCAACATAATTAATACAGTCCACTGCTCTCAAACTCGTACACTATTCATTCCAAATATTTCGACTAAAGATTCTGCTGAAATTGCTATCAAAAGGTAGTGTGGTTTTAGTGAACTGTCATTATTTTAGAGGGGAAAGGAATGTCACATTTATTTCTGTTGTTTTTCAAACTTTAAGTCTTGTCTTATCAATAATAAATTAATATTATCATTTTTAATGTCAGAAAATGCCTGCCATTCAAGAAATTGGCCAGATAAACGAGAAACTACAGGAGTAACAACCTGGCAACTGACAAATTTCGCCAGCTGATCAACTGCTGCTGATTACAGATGGAAACATGGTCCGAATTATAGCACCGTATTTTTGGTTTTATATTTCGGAACACAGATTTTCAGCAAAGTTAGTGGGTCTACTGAAAGTACTGTCCCGTTGAATTCAGAATATAGCCTAGGGGAATTGAGAAGACAGAGCTCGATATATAAGTCCTATTCCTTTATTCAATCATCAATGCATTTTTTGAAAACAGAAAAGGACAGAAGTATAGCTGTGTCCGGACTCTTGTCTAAGGTATACAGTGTGTCCTACTTACCATGCTCACCATGGGTATCTTTTTAACGGTGAGAGATACGAGGTCGGTTAAATTACACCAAATGTGGAGTTTGTTAAGGCCAACTATAATGTGAAAAAATATTTTCATAAAATCTATTCGTTTTTGTTTTATACGCAAAAAACAGATTTTGATCATTTTCATGTCTCCTCCGTAACTTCTTTATTCATGAAAATATTCAAATAGGAATTTCACATTCTCATGGCAGTTTTTCAAAGTGATTTCGAAAAAAATATGAAATTTATACCAACTCTTCTAGAATTTGAGATATCAGCACCAACTTTAGTTTTTCAAATGTAGGTCATAGCTCACTATGACTTAGCTACAAATAACTTTTTTGTAACTAAGTCATAGTGAGCTATGAGCTACATTTGAAAAACTAAAGTTGGCGCTGATATCTCAAATTCTAGAAGAGTTGGTATAAATTTCATATTTTTTTCGAAATCACTTTGAAAAACTGCCATGAGAATGTGAAATTCCTATTTGAATATTTTTATGAATAAAGAAGTTACGGAGGAGACATGAAAATGATCAAAATCTGTTTTTTGCGTATAAAACAAAAACGAATAGATTTTATCGAAATATTTTTTCACATTATAGTTGGCCTTGACAAACTCCACATTTGGTGTCATTTAACCGACCTCGTATTTCTCACCGTTAAATAGATACCCATGGTGAGCATGGTAAGTGGGAAACACTGTATACAGGGACTCTAGTAAATGCGACTACTGGATCAATCTGTAAGCACTCTAGAATCTACGGTGCCCTCACTCACCTTGGGAATGCACTCGAAATTCGTGCAGGTGAACTCCTTCTGCTCGCACTCCACCCGCGGCCCGCAGTCCTTCTCGTCGGAGCCGTCGGGGCAGTTGGCTGTGCCGTCGCAGCGCGCCGACCTTGGCAGGCACTTGTCCAGCGGCCTGCACGTAGGATTTTACTGTTAGTGTAATTTCACTCGTCATAATGGGGAAGTTTCCTTTAGATGAATTTTCATAAAATGATTCTTGGATGTATGATAAATTGATATTCGTCATACAGGACGTGGAAAAAAATTCTGAATTGAGAAAACCTAATAACGAATCTGCGATTGAGGTCTATAAAAATAGCAAGTTTCCATCGATCAAGTTTGAACCCCTTGATTGCGTGAAAGTATTGAAAAGGAATATTCTCAGATATGAACACAAAAAATGGATATTTATAAATAAAATAAATACATTGAGAATTCGCATTCTCCATGTGATGAAAATATCAATTCTTTCTCGGTTTATTCAACAGAAAACGACTACTTTCCTGGCTATTTGCCACGTTGAATGAAGTTAATACGATTCACGCCCATGAAACAAGGCAATTCAATTTATTGATAGTCAAATTTTGGTAAACAATCAATATTCCATAATGGAATAATTTTACATAACTCCTTACCTAATGAGTTGAAAAATATAGAAGCAGAAAAATTTGAATTCAAATTATAGAAATATCTGCTCAGTAAACTTTAATTCCATATCTACTAATCATTCACAATTTGATTACTTGTAATGGATTATTATATTTACATTTTATATTTCATTATAATTTTTTTTATGAAAAACAATAATTGTGCAATTATTATTCTTTCGATTTATTATGTTAGATGTATGTTTTGTTGTACATATATCCCTATTATATACAATAATCCCTTCTTGGGGTAATAAAGACAATCAATCAAAAGCGATTTCCACAATTTGTGTTCTGAGGACTTCTGAAGCTTTCTAAGGAAATATTCAGAACCTCTCCAAGACAGCATTTTTTCACTAATAGACTTTTCTACGAGTGGAACTCTCTAACCGACGCTACAGTTACGGCTCCATCTATAAATGCCTTCAAGAACCGACTCCACCATTACAACAATAGCTATTCGACTTGAAATGTGCTCCAGGTTTAGTGCGTGTTATTCAAGTGCGTGTAACTCGATTCATATGTGTCAAGATCTCGTGTAAATTTGTCCGAAATCATGCTTCATATGTTAATATCTTGTTATTTTACTAGTGATGAATTTTGTACTTTTTATTTAGTTTTTGCTTTCCAATTGTTTTTTTTTCAAGGTGAAATTTGTTACTGTGTTCACAATGTTCTCAAGTTTTGGGCGAACCTCTGCCCTTCCCATGTAATAGTAATAATAATAATAAATAAAATAATGGCAAAATCACAGGCGCTTACCTGCACGGTATCTCGGTGGCGGGATCGCAGACGGTGCAACCCGCCTCGTCGGAGCCGTCGTCGCAGTCCTGCACCGAGTCGCAGTAGAAGCCGGCCGCGATGCACTGGCCGTTCTTGCACGAGAACTCGGTTACGTCGCAAGAGGTCGTGTCTGGAAATGTAGAGAGGGATATTTGATTGCCAAACAAGGATCTGGACTAGGAGAGGGTAAAGTCCCTGTATGTATTTGACTGTTTTTCTGTAAATTTTGTTTTAATGCTCTTATTATTAAGCAAAAACTGTAGGTACCTACCATTATTTGAAATTTCAGAATGTGTCTTTTCTGGGTTTGATAATAGACAGTAGATTGGACTGGAAGGATCATATAGACAAAATCTCAAAATCAATGTCACAATATAGCTGTGCACTTAAAATATTGAGCCTCAATGTCGATTATAAAACAGCGTTAATTGCATATCATGCCTATGTTCAATCAAAAATCAGCTATGGCATTGCAAAAAAGGTGCCTGAGATATATTTTCAAACTAAAATATAGAGAAAGTTGCAAACCAATATTTATTCAAAATAAATTCTTGACAATAACGTGCATATATATTTTAGAATCAACGATATTTGTGAAAAATAACCTTGAATTTTTTGAAAACTCCATTCCTAAGCATGAATACAACAAGAAATAAAGAGGATCTCACACCAGACTTAACTAGGCTTAGTTATATACAGAGAAATGCCCCATATCATCTGAAACAAGTATGGAATGCACTACCTGCAAACATCAGAAATTTGCCCATTAAAAACCAGAAAATCAAACTTAAAACCTATCTCATAGATACTCCTGAACATGAATGAACCTTGTAATCTAATCTAATTGTGAAGTATTTCAATTTCTTTTTATTTTTAACCATGTTGTATTGTAGGTTTGTGGCATAGATTGTCTATTATTACTATGTATATTTTGTATGAACCTTTGTATTCTATATTTTTGACGAGCTCAACACCCAGTACAGGGTATTTTATAGAGTGAATAAATGCTATTCTATTCCATTCCCTATTCATATGACAAGATAATCTTGTCACATTCACATTCACTTATCACATCCTTATAATGGAGAAACCAGTAGGTGTGAATTGTGTGTTCAACGAAAGAATTACCAGGTTGAATATTTCAATTAAAAAAAGAAATTGAGAGAAAACATAAAAACAAAATTTGGGAGGTAGCATCATAAACATAAAAAAGAACAAGATCAAATAAACCATAAATATAATACCCGCTTGAAAGGTAAAACCACAGTTATACCTAAAGTAAACACCCGAAAAAGTCAAAGATCCTTTATCTATCTCTGCCCCGTACTATATATCGATATTCCCGAAGGACTACATCATATATATTCCACAACCTGTTCAAGAAAAAATTGAAATTATGGATTCATTCCATACCTAGAACAAAAGTTCATAGGCTGATTGATAGGCAGGAATATAATATTTGAACCACAAATGTAATGTAAAAAAAAAAAAAAAAAACACCTGAGCATGTACACTCGTCTTCGGTGAGCGTGTCGCGTTTGGGCGGTGTAAGCGCTCTAAATCACCGCTGCAATAAGAGCGATTGCACCGTCCGACTGCGGCGTGTTCTCTGGGGACGAGTGCTCATGCAGCTGAAAAACTCCCAGTGAAATGACGTTATTCCATCGAAATCGAACATTTCCTTTTTGAATTTGAATATTATATAATATCCCGTAAACTTTGGTTATAAGAACTAAACATCCTGTTTGAAGTACTTCTCCGTCTGAGTTGATGATATTAATATTAGTTAGTTCTACTATTTATTTTATCTCTACTCTATATTTATATATATACCTATTTGTAATTTTATTATTAATTTTCACACTAACACTATACGTCCATGTTCAAGGGCAACCTCTTTTTGGACGTTTGTTATTTATTTACCAATGTATCGAGAAATTTTGTATCTGTTTAATTGAATTTTTGTGGTAAATAAATTGATTGATTGATTGATTGATTGCATTTCTATCACGTGCACTTCAGACAAAAGAAAAGTGTCAAGTCAAGTACATTAAGGAACTCAAATCCACATCAACTCACTGCAATCCAGCTCGTCGCTATGGTCCCCGTAGCCGCAATCGTATACATTATCACAGCGCCAAACCAGCGGAATACACCTCCTAGACTGTTTACATTTGAACTGAGTAGACAGGCAAATCTTGGAACACACGTCGGGATTCTCGTCTGAACCGTCCAAACAATCCTTCTCCCCATCACAGACCCAATGCTTGGCGATACACGTGGTATTGTCACACTTCATCTGAAACAATATTGATTCATTTTTGGAAACCCTGTATATAATCTCCTGTTCAGCTTGGAACAATCGTTATTTGAATTCATCGTTTTTGAAAAAAAAAGTTCACAAAAAAAATAATTTTTCACCACCAGCTCTAGAACCTACCATTATTCACCAGTCAATAAAGACATAGCCACCTCTGATTATCAGTAATGAACCGTTTGTGATATGTATCTCATTTTGTACATGAGTAACATCAATTCTAAGCTTTCAAATTGTCATCACCCTATATATGGCAAACCGGACATTGTATCAGAAGAAATCATATGAATCCTCATGTTGATGATCAAGATCCATAGTGTCAAATAATTAACCGATTCTAGCCGTTTGTTTTCAGTGATTGAGTAACAAGTGAAATTCTGATATTTTCAATATTTGTCTATTCCCATGAATATTACCTTGTCATGATGGAATGCAATACCCTGTATGTGTAAAGATCACTCACTCACGCCCGTCCACATTCTTCAAAATATGCAAATGTGACGTTACAATAAGTTACGTGATGGCTGGGCAGCTACTGAATAGAGTATGAAAAGTTGTTGTGAACCTAGATTCCTTTTTTCAGAAGCACATCCTTCTGTTTTTGAGCAAATGCTTCTTTTTATAAATAAGAAAAGGAGTTGAACCTTTTACTTCGAAGCCAACCCCTCGAAGCATAACCTTTTCCTTCAATTATTTTTATGCATATACACTATCGGACAAAAGTAAAGCAACACTTTCGGAAAATGAAAGAAATCTCGATTTTATAATAGTGAATGCATGATATTGTATTTAAATACATTGTGTCTTAAATATTAAAGTAGGCTGCTGTTATCGACGTCAACAGCTTTTTCCAACAATCAAAACAAATGAACTGATATTGACGTAAACTTTCAAATACAGAATTGTAATGCGTCAAAAGTGAAGCAACATTTTAATATTTTTCTAAAAAACAAAGGTTTTAGTGAAAGGAAAAGTAAAAAAAAATTGCCGACTTTATTTTCTGTTCAACTAATATTTCTGTGCTGGATTAATCATTCCAAGAGGTATTCCAATTGCGAAAGAATTGAAGCAGAGAGTAGTAAATGCGCACTTGGAAAGTGCAATACAAGCCACAATTTCAAGACGGTTTGTTTTACCCAGATACAGCGTATCCAAAATAATTTCAAGTTACCATGAAAAGGGGACATTTTGAGATTCTACCTAAATCGGGAAGACCGAGAAAAACAACAATTTGGACAGACAGACGTATTAAAAGAATTTATCAGAACGATCCTTGATTGTCTGCACCTAGAATTATTGCTGAAATTTCCGGAATTATGGTTAGTCCACGAACAGTGCAAAGAAGGTTGGTAGACGCAAAGCTTTTCAGTAGACGCCCCGCTAAAAAACCGCTTATTTCGGCAAGAAATAGAGTGGCTAGGCTTGAATTTGCACGTCGACATTTGAATTGGACAGTAGACGAGTGGAAAAAAGTTCTATTTAGCGATGAAACGCGTTATAAGATTATCAATTCTGATGGAATGAAGCGTGTGAGACGGCCAATCAACACAAGGTTTAATCCCAAATACGTTACACCCACAGTTAAACATGGTAAAGGCAGTGTTTTTCTATGGGGTTGTTTCTCATGGAATGGGGTAGGCCCTTTAAGCTTTATTAATGACACCATGGATCGATTTGTCTATAGAGATATAATGCAAAATGTAATGTTGCCTTATGCAGAGTGGAAAATGCCGTTGAGTTTTATTTTCACGATCCAAAACACTCTTCACGAATTGTTCAAGAGTGGTTTCAAGAAAAAATGTTAGGGTTTTGCAGTGGCCGGCACAATCCCCAGACCTTAACCCCATTGAAAATCTATGGGAGGAAGTAGAACGTGGAATTCGTACACAAATATTTCCAAATAAACAATCATTGGTAAATAAAATCAATGAAGTTTGGACAAATCTTCCCGAAAATACTTTTCAAAAATTAATTGATTCAATGCCTCGACGTTGTCGGCAAGTAATAAATAATAATGGATATTCTATCAACTATTAATATAATACTTCTGGCTATTGTAATTATTAAATGTGTTTAATGTTCTTTCATCGTAATATCTAGAATAAAATACTGTTGACACAATTTGTTGCTTTACTTATGTCGCACTGCATTTCATTGATTTTGATAATTATAATTATTTCTCTACCTTTATTTTGTTTGAAGTGTACCAAAATATTGTGAAATATTACTGATATTGTGGGGATCATATTTCATTAAAATTAGCCGGGGATCACAATCATATAAATAAATCTTCAAATTCAAAGAAATAACAGCACTTTGTTGCTCTACTTTCGTCCAATAGTGTACCTCGAAGGAATTGCTTCATTTTTTGAAAGTAAAAGGTGATGCTTCTTTTCATAAATATGGACTCATATCTCACCTGGTTCTCGCCGCAGGAGACGTTGGCGCACGGCCCCCCCGCGTCCGCCGCCTCGTCCGACCCGTCGCCGCAGTTGTCGACGCCGTCGCAGAGGTACGCGTTCGGGACGCAGCGCTTCCTGAGGCGGCACTGGAACGTGGAGGGGGCGCAGAACGAGGGCGCCGCGAAGTCGGGCAGCCGGGCGCAGGCGCCGTCGCGGTACTCGAAGCCGTCGGCGCACGCGCACGTCGAACGGTTGGCAGGCAGCGGCAGGCAGAGCTGCGGACAGGCGGTGTGGGCGCAGCCGGTGTCGCCTTAGGGGAGAGAAGAAGAGTAACGTGATTTCGAAAAATTATAAATGTGGTCTCTTGTCTTTAGATTTATGTAAAGCTTTCGATACTGTAAAGCATTTTTGGTATATCTCTCGCTCCAGCAAATTTCAGGATCCTTACCCAACGATTACGTAAGCTACAGGGGCGTTTCCATTAGAAGTGGGTCACACTGTATATCTGAGAATATTCCTTTTACTAAATACTAAATTCTAATTAGAGTTCCTAAATGTACTTGACACTGCTGTTTTGACGTTTTTTGTATATCAGAGTACGGACACTATGACAAGCGCTGACAATCCGACATAACCATAATAGTTTTCATTTTTGAAATTTGGTTATTTCTCTGATTTCTCATCGGAATTCCTTCTGCAATAGGAGCTAATAGAAATATACCTGAAATTTCTAGAATAATGCAAGAAGATTGGATTCATGCAATCAATCGGTAGGACTGGTCTGACATGCTGACGATCGTGTGTGTTGTAGACATTTTCAATCTATTAGCAGCATTAGCTTGTATTGCAGAAGTGGCAAAAGGCAGAAGGAATTTTAATAAGGAATGACAACATTTCATAATGCTAACTATGTGAGATTACTATTTACCTGAAAAATCATATTCCCTAGTCTCTTGCTGCATTTTTTGTGCATTGTACAACAGCACAATGCGAAGGCATGCTTGAATTAATGAATAACGCAAGAAACACGATTCGTATGCCAAAATATTGTGAAAAACTATTTCAACCTTTTGATTCCTCTGTAACCAAATAAAAAAGTGAGGTTATGTTTCAATAATTCACAGAAGAATGAGGTTGTGTTTCAATATTTTGCCTCCAGGGTCGGCCTTCGTGCACGCGACCTATGGAAAAAGCGGGAACTGACAGTACACGGACGTACATGACATAAATATACAGTACACGGACGTACATGACATAAATATCGAAGGTTTGACAAATTGAGAGAATTAGGAGGAAGATACGATTTTGTGCAGTTTCCAACTGTGAGAACACGGGAAATCAATTAACTCCATACGAATTTCCATCGGATAACGTAATTCTACAAAAATGGAAACAGAATATGATGCGGCCGGTATGGAATATAGGTTCAGGCCACAAGATTTGCGAGGTATTCAAATAAGGGCCGAGTTCAAACCAACAATCCCCTTTAGCAATGTGAACGGCTAACTAGAGTAAGTCGAGCGCTGAAGTCCATTAATACCTACTTCCAAATGTCTTCGAGAACCTTTATTATTAATCATAACTGAAATCAGCTGTTATTGTTGACCTATCATTTGTTCATTTATTAATTACTTATTACCTACCACTCTTGTACCAGTGAAATTGTTCCATATGAAATAAAAATTTCATTGGTTGAAAAATATTCAACTGAACGTATATTTATACCTACATATATGAGACTTATTCCATCGGAATAGTATATGTATTTCGTTGGTATGTATGTACATACCAACTTGATATCGACCTCCATCGAGGTCCTTCAGCCTTATCCTTCAATATTTCGACAAGAAATAATTTTTCAATCAATTCATCGTACCCTTTTACCCAATCGAGGAGACGCTATGCACTCTCATACAAAAATCAAAGACAGAGAAAGATATATGGATGTACTATTCCCAGGACTTGTGGAGGAAGGAAGATGCGAGGATCCTTTATCTAAGCGAAAAACATATTCTTGTCTTTTACTGGAAAAACATATGATTTGCTTCAAAATCGTTTGTGGTTATGTTTGATTGTCACTGCTTGTCTAGTGTCCGTACTCTAATATGGGTTGCGTGCAAGAACTGTCAGGGAACACCATGAATCCATACCTGTAAGAGTCTGGTGTCCCAAAATGCCATAGAGCTATTAATAGTTGAGCTTTGGAGGATAATGTGTGTCTCCTCTATCAACTATACCTGATGAAATATGTTCATCAATCATCAAACATATATGGTTGAAAGTAGCCCTGTTCATTCTGAAGTTCTCCCTGAATTCTGCATCAGAATATTGTACCACCACTTCTTCAATATAACCCAGCACTCTGGGATGAGGAACCCGTGAATAAAAATATAATAATTGTAATAGACGTAAGACCTACATTAAGGAATATTATCAACTTCACGATTGATTATGAAACATCTACTCACCCATTGGTCCTCTTGACTGACCTTCATCTTCACTTTCACTAGTTATACTGGAACTATCGGAATTGATGATTTCATTGAATTAAAATATAAATGCATCTTCATCGTTCATTTTTCAACAAATTTGGGAAGGTTTACTAGATATTATTTCTACTATAATAATCAAATATAACAATATAACTATGCTCACAAAGCATTAAAAGCTGTGAATAGATCGCTGGAATCTTTTCATATGGAAATCAAATCAAATTGAAATACCAGTTTTTCCGTCCCGAAAATAAATTACAACCAGAATCACCAGAGAAAACAACTGTCAAAATAATGTCACTGATCCGGTGAGCTGATGGTAGCTTTTGTCGATTTACGGAACATATCCTTTAATATAAAAAATAACGTCAAAACAGCAGTGTCAAGTACATTTAGGAACTCCAATTCTAATTACCTGTAACATTTTGAGATTCTGCGTCGAACAGCTTGATATCATACAGCGGCAAATTCCCCTCATAGATCTTCCTCAACCCACTTTCGTTCCTGTAACTCAATATCGCACCCTTCTTCAGCTCAATGAAAAACAAATGCTTCTCCACCCCCACAGCCACACTGGCAGGCGACTGCAGCCCGTTCACAATCTCCGTTCGGCGATCGCTCCCGTCGAACCGCACGCTCTGTATAATCTTCAGGTGCTTGTCGGACCAGTAGAGCCGCCCGCTCGGCACATCGACCGCCAGCCCGCTCGGCCAATGGATGTTCTCGGTGAGGAAAGTGGTTTTGTTGGTGCCATCCATGTGGGCGGTATCGATCCTGCCCTTTTCCGGTGAAATGCTAGACCAGTCCGCCCAGAACATGATCCCTAGGGGAGGGTGGACTGCTATAGAAGTTGGGTTGAAATTCGCGCTCTGTATCAACGTCCTGGTTACATTCGGGTTGGATAATTTGGCCACGCTTATCGAGCCTTTTTCCAAGCTGGTCCAGTACAGGTTCCTTGATATCCAGTCGAAAGCTAGACCGTCACAAAAAACATTCCTGAGCAACACAGTATGGTTAGTTGTGTCGTTTATAGGCACCATTTCAATGGTCATGGATTGGGCGTCAGCATAAAAAATCGATTTTGTATGTGCGTCGTAGTCTAGGCCTTTTGGTCTTCCGATTCTCGTTATCGGCACCATTGTTTCGTTGCCTGTGTTCAAGTCGATTCCTCTGATGGAGAACGGCCGGCTTTTCGATAAGAGGAGGAACGTTGACGGTATTCTAGTGACGCATTTGGTCTCGTTAGATATGGTGTAGCCGGATGCGCAGATGCATTTTTTTATGGCGATTTGACCGTTCCAACTGGGTATACAGAGGTGATCACAGTCGTTCATAGATTTACAAGGATGGGCGACTGAAATAAAAACAACAATCATTATTACTTTGTTTTGAAGTGATACCATAGAAATTTATATATTAGATCACGGCTGAATGTGGCAACATATTTTGATTGTCCACCAGATGACGCTATCGAGATATACGGGCTAGAGTAAATTCATAAATAGTGACGAAGATAGTTGTACACTTTCTGATTGGTCAGACCTCTAATATGGAGGTGCATCCATCCACCTGTCTTGATTTATCCATTCTGCTCTACGCATTCTATTTCACTTTGTCAATGCTTTGTCTGTTTTTTTGCTCTTTGGACCCAAAACATCCAACAATGAGACATTAAACTCTATACGTCAGTAACTTGGATATTAAATATTAGAATCCGTCTTTGGGGACTCTCAGATTATTTAGTTGATGAAATGAATATCTAAACCTAATATCAGGTGGGCACTTTGAAAGCTCAATTTCATTACTGCATATGAGATACTCTTCCGATTTTCAGCTATTTTTATATGGAACAAAATATAAAGCAAGTATTTTGAGCATTTATCATAAGATCTTCTAGCTAGACCCTCTAACATAGACCTCAAGCTTTAGTAACGCCAAATGGTGAAATTGAAAATGTAAGATCTCAACAGTAAATCTTCTTGGAGGAAGTCACATAAGTACAGGGTATTCGGTAATAAGTACGACAAATTTCAGGGGGGTGATTCCTTGTGAGATTTATGGAAATAAAGTTAATATAAACATGTGTCCTAACTTTCCATGAAAAATCGCGTTTTCATTCATTACTCGAATGTGTGTTTATCAATTTCAATGAAACTTGGTGGTTTTGTTGATAGTAACATGGAGCTTCTTTTGGTTTAATTAGATTCTGAATCATATTTCCAGTGGCGTCGCAGTGGGTTGTTTTATTGATATTTATGCTGAATATCATTGTATGCCACAGGTTTTTTGAGCTTCACATTTTTATTAGATTGAACAATAGAGATAACAACTTTTTTATCTCGTTTATTTGTTGAGGAAAGAATACAAATTTTATATGATTCAAAATTTTAATGTAGGTGCTTTCAAGACACGACCCATTGAGATAATTCAATAACCTCAATAAATATCATTTGTTGGAACTTTTTCAGCCTCCAACCATAATGAATATTTGTACTATGAAAGCTTATACAGTGGTTGAGGTGATTGAGTAATAAAAACAATCAATTCTTCCAACTTCAACATCCTGTATCTCAAAAACAAAGCAAGTTAGGAAGTTTGTCGCACTTATTTCCTAACAGCCTGCGTAATACAATTCCTGTACCTTGAACAGACATGTTCACTTATAATACCACTTATAGCCCTCCTATGTGAATAATCATTAGTTCTACCAACGTTGATTCAGTACAAGTAGATACACAATCCCGGACTTCATTTCTAAGCCTACTAGATCACTCCTCTATCTAGCAAAACCATAAAATAAATCACTCACCATCAGGTTGCCTCTGCCTATGAAACACATACACATTGAACGGCCTGCTGATATTAGAAATAACGGTCTTCTCCTTGTGGCTAAACTTATCCAGCTCCAACAAACTATTGTTATACCAAGAAGAAACGAACAGCTTGTTCTGAAACACGCTGATCCCGTACAAATTCTGCACCTTCGCTCCTCTCAACACCGTCCTCCTGTTCAACCCGTCGTAGTCCACCCTCTCCACATAATCCAAATAAGTGTCCACCCAATACACCTGCTTGGTAGGGAAATCCACCGTCAGACCGTAAGGGTAAACGATGGTGTGATCCACGATGGACTTCCTACCAGTGCCGTCCATGTTGATGCGTTCCAGCATGGGGGCGGAGTGGCCCCATTTCGTGAAGAAAAGGTACCCGCTGGTAGGGTCCAGAGTGAGCGCGCGAGGTTTGCTGAGGTCGTACTCGACCAGCATGTTACACCATTCGAGGTTGTGGGTGCACACCAGAATCACTTCCCGTTGGTCGTCCATGAAATACCAGTTTTCTGTTATCCAATCGAGAGCGATCTGCTGTATGGCCTCGATTTCAATGAGGGGGGAAGGTACCGGCATCGCCCACCTGTAGGGATGGGGAAATTTCACTTTTAATTATGAAATGGAATTTCATTTGGAATGGCGAAGACCACTGATTTTTTAAAACATCATCGTGGGAGCTCTTTACCAAAAAACTACCAGTAGATATAATTTTGTTTTTTTTTAATTCATACTAGGACGGTAAAAAAATTAGATTGAAATATGTTCATTTATGAACTCTCCGCGCCATTTGGGATGGTGTCAATTCATAAGACTTGTGTTAACATTTTTCCTATGATTCCAACTTTCTGAAAGACACTAAAACGCACACTAAAACGACTTTCGACATGTGTCTACTGGTTTACTGATATTAAAAATCATTAATATAACAAACTAAGAATATACGTGAAACATTCAAAAACGAACGAATGGATCTTCTCATTGTGAGATACCGATGTCCACTACTTGCGTCTCCTCTTATCACCACACACAGGTACACTTCAGGTGATTCCAGTGGTGGCACTTGAGGATGGGCTACTACACTGTATTAGAAATTCATTTAAAACCTTCAAAAACAATAAGACTTGTCAAAAAAATGCTTTCATAGTGACAATAGTGCCCATGTTCAAGTTTCACACACCTATAATAATTGAAATATATTGCTAGTAGTGAAAAGAATGTAATATACACTTTGGTAGCAAAGAATTTCATTACCAAAGGATCTTATATCCCTCGGATGGCGCCTCAAAATATAATCTTTGTCTCTGGATAATAATGATATTCTTTACTACCTACCTTGGTGTATAAATAACTTTTCTTTACTGCTTTGACGCTGCCGAACCATATTTATTTACAAAATAGTCTGTTTTAGATTTATGAGGACAAATGAGATACTGAAACACTGAAAACTCAACACACAACAGTCGAAAATCCATTTATAACAATAAAAACGACAAATGACAGTTCTCACTACGATTATAGCTCGTCTACTATGAAACTTTGCGGTGCTGCCACGTTCATGTTTGAAAAATTCATATTTTTTTATTTTGTTATGTATCTTACAATAATTTTGTTATATGCTTATTATCAAGGGAAGGTAGTAGATTTTTTTCTATGGGAAGAGGGGGTGAAGAAATATGTTTGTTTTTTGTTTTATCGACTTTTTTTTAAATACTCGACTATAAACTACCTAAATGATTAAGGATGGATGCTTACGACGTAGACTATAGCAAACCGTTTCAACACAGACTCAGGATATATTTACATATCTCTATGAATGTGCATCAATGCTAACCCAACATTAAGTCTCTTTTGGCTCATTGTTGATCGTAGCCAAGTTTTGATTCGCGGTAGCCAAGGTCATCATCTGACGTTGCGATGACATGAAAACTACGGAAAAACATATCTTACTTTCAATCTTAAGAGTTCACTCCACTTATTTTTCCATGGTTTTAATTCCGATTCCAAAGTAAGTTGATATCGGCTATATATACATGTTATAACGCTGTGATGAAATAAAGAATTTACTTTTTTAGAAATTAACTACCTACTTATAGTTATTCACAAAGTGGAATGTACAATTTTGATAAACAGTATTTTTTTTATTATCTTGGAGATGGTTGCTCTCAAAAGAGTGTATAAAATCACTATCTAATTCAAACAAAATAAATTGAATTTATGTGACATGGAATAATTAAATAAAAATAAACTATCGTCGCCGTGGGCTCGAACCATCGACCTTCGTATCCCCCGCGCAACCACCCTAACAGTTGCGCCACATCAGCTAGTAATTTTGTCACTCATTCACAATTACTTGAGTATTTGAAGAAGATTACTTCAGAAAGGAATTTGAATTCTATTATTGTTGTGTCAGACCGTCAACAAATATGCAAACTTTTTAAATTACACATGAAACGTCCAGCCAGAATAAAATTGTTTCGCCTTTCGTTCAAAATATCTCACTAACGCGAATTATAAGTAAATAAAATAAAGTAGGAACTTAGGTTATTGTCTCAGATTTGAATCCAAAGCAATCTTGACCAGACACGATGTCAAAATGTTATCGCTGATAAACGAGGTTTGTTGGTCACGTGTGGGTCAATTCGTTTTGTATTGGTAGAGCAAGTCCGATAAAATTTAATAAACAAAAAATATCGCTAGAATACAGAAGAAACCATGAAAATGGTCGATTCTGATTGGTTCTCGAGATCAAGAGTGGAATAGTAAAAAAAAATCCTCTCGAATCATCGATTTGGCAGAGGTGCCACAGAGGTCCTTAGAATGTCTTTTCTGCAGAAGGAATAAGCAAAATAAATAACTATTTTTGCTACAGTTACTCTGAGGTCCCAACCCTACCCACCTGTCTTCGAGATCGTTGATGTTGGCGCACACTATGGAGGCTTTGGTGATGTTGTGGTGGACGTAGCATATAGTGTGGTTGCGGTGGATGAACTCGAGAGCGTTGCTGTTGAGCAAGCGCAGAGTGGAGTTCCCCGGAAACGGTTTGCCTTCGAGGGTGACTCGGCGTATTTCCGATTGGGTGGAGAAAATCAGGGAGGGGGGTTCCGATGCGGGAACTGAAAAATAAAATTGATTTACAGGGCCCCGGCACAGGGGGGTGAAATTATATTCAAGGGCATTTGACTGAGTATTTGTAAATACTGTATTATTATTCCTTCCAAGCAGAGAAGCCTCTATGGAATCTTTGCATTTTTTTTGGCTCGACAAATAAAAATGTTCTTCATATTCAGCTACATTTTATGTACCGAAAAAAAAACACCCAAAATTACAGGTACTTTTTATTTATTGGTGTTAATAAACATTTAAGTACATAAACAAGTCAGTAAAAGGTAAATACACTTATACATGTAGCTGGACAAAATACAAATATATACTTCCAAAATCATGTATACAGTGTCATTCATAAAGTCGGCATCATATGGGAAAAACTTTTATTATTGACTTACTTTGGAATTCGAGTTGGACGTTGAGTTTTGCTTAAAAAAAGATGGAAAATGGCCTTCTCAATCGGGGTCACGTGACTTTTGCTACATGTCAAAAGTGACATTTTTTCAAATTAATCGCTTAAAGTAGGCTTATTTGTTCGAATATCGAAAAAGTTTACTTGAAAAAGTTGTTTATATTTCAATTTTACACATGCTTCCCGATTTCTAATGCAATTTTTAGATTTTGATTTTTTTTTTAATTTTTCGGAATTTCTGTAATATTTGAAGAATTGTTAATTCCACGAAACTACTTCATACCAGTAGCTTTTTCATGCTACTTACTTTCAATTACTTATTATAACTGATTATGGACAGAAATATGATTTTCTTCAGAAAATGATAATACCCGCTTCCAAATTCTGTTATGTTTGATGCAAAGTTGATATATCGTCAAGCATTTAGAAACGAAATTCATTTAAACTGATCTTTTCAGTACTGAAAAAATAAATTTGAATGAATTTCGTTTCTAAATGCTTGACTCAAACATAACAGAATTTTGAAGAGGAGATTATCATTTTCTGAAGAAAATCATATATTTGTCGATAATTAGTGATGATTAGTAATTGAAAATTAGTAACTGATGAAGCGACTGGTATGAAGTAGTTTTATCGAATTGACAATTTTTTTAATATTACAGAAATTTCGAAATTTTTTTAAAAATATCGAAATCTAAAAAATGTAATAGAAAGATGAAATCCGAGTCACATATGTAAAATTCGAATAGAAACAACTTTTTCAAGTAAGCTTTTTTGATATTCGAACAAATAAGCCTACTTTCAGCGATTAATTTGAAAAAATGTCACTTTTGACATGTAGCGAAAGTCAGGTGACCCCGATTGAGTAGGCCATTTTTCATCTTTTTTGAAGCAAAACTTGACGTCCAACTCGAATTTCAAAATAAGTCATTAATAAAAGTTTTTCCCATATGAAGCCGACTTTATGAATGACACTGTATATATATATAACTTGCAGTATTATAAAATTCACTTCAGCATAAGATTGTATGAAAATTATGAAAAAACTATTGGTCTATAATTGAAAAAAATAGACGATCAAGCAAACCATGTATTTCCATATTGAAAAATGCAGTGCATCTAGGGTACTGGTGAGAGGGGAGGGATAATTAATATAAAAAGTAAAATAAATTTCTAATAGACATATAAAATAACACTTATGGTGGTGATTATTTCGACGGATCTTGGAGGAGGGGATAATCACCCCCTTTGGATGCGCCACTGAGTCAATGTGTATCTAGCAGTTATCTTTCTCTCATGTCAACATATCTTCTGAGAGGAAATCAAGGTAGAAAAGAAAAAACTGCTGATTGGTTTTGATTTTTTGTTGGATTTTTAATGGTTCTTAAGTCAATGCAGTGGTGGATCCAAGGCAATAGTTGAGGAAAAAGGTAATTGATATGAAAAGTGAAATTTTCAACAGACATATCACAAATTAACATAAATGATGACTATGAACAATTCAACGAGATTGACGAGAATTGAGGAGGGGGCCATTTAGGCCCTCCCTGGATCTGCCACTGGATGAATGTCAATATAATAACTCAAAATTTACTATTATTTCATCAACAAAAAGCTTAAATCAAATTGTATGTTAATTTAGAAATCCCAAATTCATGGTCATCACACTAGACAATATAACTTGTTACATCTTGAAGCTGCAAATGCTAAACTTGGACATAAAAAGTTTACACATGAGGCGATTTTGGAATGCAATGAATTACCAGAGGATATCAAAAACAGCACAAATATAATATAGTTCAAAAATAAAGTGAATAAATATATTTATATGCAAAGGAATGATCAAAGCTGAAAGACTATGAATTCCCTTTTTTTTCTTATACTGTTTCTTTTTTTTTCTTCTTGTTCACTATTTGTAATTTCAATTATACAGCAGTAGATAATACTTCATGAATGATCTTATACCAGGAATTACTGTCTGATCATTCATGTCACTCCTACTAGAAAATAAGTTATACTTTATATATTATTTGTATAAAATGTATCAATGAAGAAAAGAATGTAATGCAATGACTGAAATAAAAAAAAACTGGCACAAACAAATAACATAAAGTACTCATATTGTCAGGAATTATAAAAAAGTTTGTCAGAATCCTACTAAACATTGTGATAAAGCCAGGGGTTCAATTGATACATCCACAAAATAAGAAATTTATATGATTCCAACCTGATTTCTGTTCAAAATACTCTAATCTTTTTTGAAATTTCAGTGCACTTATTGTCAGAGCTTTAACAATAACTTTTCTCTTGAAATAATAAAACATCCTTGTTAATAACATTTGTACCTATGAAATAATTGAAATATTTATATCAAGAAATAAACCATCAACTCACCATTAACAGCAATACAATCTGTCCCATTTTGTTTATAACCAGAAATACAAGAGCATGCAAAAGAGCCCTGTGTATTAGTGCACACTTGAGCACAGGAATCATCCAGCTCACATTCGTTAGCATCAATGCACTTGTTACCATCTGGTTTCTGACCATCAGGGCAATAGCACTTAGGACCATTGGGTGTCTGGTTACAACCAAAGCTGCACTGCAATCTGATTTTTTGGTTATTTTTACATCATTCTTAAACTTTTTAGGGTAAGGTGGAAGAGTTATAAAAATGCTACTCTTGAAACATAGCTAAACAACTTAGTAGTCAGATAAGTATTTGTGATATGAAAATATTTCATCATCATGAAATATTGATTTGATTTTTATTAGAAAGGATCCATTCAGGATGACAATAGGAACACAAATAATAAGTAATGAACAATGTTTCAAGAACTGTCTTGGTTGATAGTAGTAAAAAAATATTGGCATGAATATACATGCAGTCTAACAAACTGGAATATTGATAAATTAATATATTTATCTTGTTTTGCCAACCTGTTGCATGCTGTAGTGCGATTCTGGCAAAAGTCCCATTCATCACTATTTCCCAGACAATCACCATGACCATTACAAAACTGCTGGATGTGTAGGCATTCCAGACCCTCACCACAAGGGGCTTCATTCCATTTGCACTTCAGGCCTTTTGTACAGTTTTTGGGATCCTCATCTGAAAGATCTTGTCCAAATTCTGGGGATATCCCACAGTCTTTCTCCTCATCACAAACCCAACCTAAGAAATATTTCTCATTTAATCCTAGGCAATTTTGTAGCATTTATAAGTAGGTGGTTGTTTTCATAGGAAGAGGATAATGTTCAACCAATAAGAAGAAACAAAGCTTTCAAACTGAAAGATTCTGATCAGAGTTCTAATTTAAACTACTGTTCTATTGGATTTAGTGGATTTCTACTGAACTCATATTTCATATTTCTTATAATCAAAAAGTCAAGGAAGATGCAGCAAACAGGCAGTTCCTGTACAAGTTTTTCAAGTAGTTCTTCTTTTGACAAGTCATGGAGATTTTATACTATCAAAATTGCCTACAGCTACTACAGCTACATATGCTACAAAATATTATGTTTCAATATTGTTAAAGTTCGATACAGGTTTTCTCATTGAGTACCTTTTGGGATGCATTTTTTTGTCAAAGAACATTGAAATTGTTCTGGACGGCAATTAAGGTTCTGCTGACATTCAGGTGGTTCATCACTTCTGTCATCACAATCAGGATGTGAATCACAGTGCCAACTAGCAGGTATACAATGGCCACTGGTGCATTGAAATTGGTTACTGGCACATGAAAAAACTGCAAAAACAATAAAACAGATTTTTTTATCTCTTGGATAGCACAAAAGGGGGTCTCTAAAATGATCAAAGAACATCATGCATACCTAGGGAGGATAGGGAGCAGAGGTAGGTATTGGACTTTTCTTTAATTTTGAATTAGGACTACTTTGCCATTCTATCATATACAAATGAGTTTTGGTAAAGTGTTGTTCAGCATATTTCAAGATTAACAAAGATGGGATGTGTGAAAACAAAACCAAGGATGCTACTAAAACCTCAACAGAAAGACATAATCAACAGGAATAAAAATGAAACAAAAACACATAATAGGTATTCAATATGTATTCAATTGTTCATTTGAAAAATAAAACTCCTTGAAAGAAATGATTTGCAAGGTCAAGATAAACAATTGTCAGTCAACATTTGAAAAATAAAACACCTTGAAAGAAATGATTTGCAAGGTCAAGTTGTAATGTTTTTATTGATAGGAAGCTCTTGACCCATGAATTAATGGATGAAACATGATAAAGTAGAGATGACCCCTGTCGTAGGCCTGTATAATTGAATGATCTCGGTTCAATGTCATGGTAATAAATTATCAGTTTGAGCAGATCCATACCTGATTCCCCTTCATCATAGGAACTTGTTTCTGCATCAACAACAACCATATCCCAAGACGCCACAAAGGACCCAAGGAAGAGGATACAAAGAACATTCATCGTTTTGCGATATTCCCAACAAATAATTATTTGTAGGTATACCCCATTTTTCAACACAGCAATAATACCTGAATGATTAATCTTTTTCTAGACATTGGCATTACAAATTTGAAAGACTATTATTATTGGACACAAACACAAATCCACAAAAATTCACTAATTTTTGTCCCACTAAACAACCTTTCAGTCCATAGCTGATACCACAAATTGCGAAAAAATCGCAATAACAATATTATTTATAAAAATTGATAACAACAATCAACAACAATAGATGCTCTTAGATTCTTGTTCCAGCATCTCTGTCGTCATCATCACTGTCAGTGTAGCATGCTCTCATCTCTGTTCTCTGTCACCATATATCTACTCTTACTACTCATATATGAAGCATAGCTGTCCTCAAAGCGGGACCAACTTCTCAAATCGACCAATAGGCGTTGATGCCGACATAGGGAAAAAATTATGCGACAATAATATGGCTACTCCATCCTTCACTTTCCGTCCTTATAGATTCAACAAGAACCTCTTCTTGAAATTGAGTTCTGTCCACGAGCTGTATGATGAATATCAATTCATCATATTTATTCTATCATCATTCTATCAATGATACAATGCCGGCGAGTTCAATTCCTGGTCTATTTTTTTTTAATTCTGATTTTTCAAGTGCTTTTCCGAAAAATATACTTTTTCTCCAAGCGGCAGGAATAGTGGCTTCTTCCTGCCGCTTAACAAGCAGAAAAGGTGTTTTTTCACTGCCTAGGCAGGAAAAGTTTGCTATCTAATCAAAATTGACACTGACATTGGGTGTTTTGGGAGTTATCAATAAAAAAATTACACAAAATTGGTTTTATATCATTTGGAGGAAAAATTCTATGTTTCACCGTTGATTGATATATTACGCTTACACTGGGTAAGCGTAATATATCAATCAACGGTTTCACACAGCAGCTAGTAAATGTAGATTGACTGTCTTTTGGCTGAATTCCTATCCTCGATCGCTATACGCTCAGCTATATGAATTATCACTATACTTTTCTGTCTAGTAAAACAAATAACTATTTTAGGAACAATAAACATCTCTGGAAAAGGTTCATTTAGGCCATTTAAGGTCAGACTATTCAAAAAAGTAGTCTCCTTTCTTATGCCGAAGGTGGCCGAAGGGATATATTTTCCTTCCTCCCCGATAGTGATTCGCTATTTCAATGATTTTTTTCAGTAGACTTGATTCTGCGCTATCAAGGGTATTGGCTATTATTTTACTATGATGTGAAAACATTCGTTAATCGAATTTACCATGGACGTATCTTTTTTATACGTCCATGGAATTTGCGCATCGCCTATATACGATATCTCAACAAAAATGAGACGACCTTAGATCATACAGGGAATGTAAAGTCGTATTCAATAAAAAAGCGTACAAGCAAGTATTAAACATAGAAGGTTTCGGCATTCTAGTTCTCGTTGTGTAAAATTTGCTCAGCCAATGCTTTGTGTTTTTGAGAACCAATGACGGCTAAATAGTAAATATCAAGTGAGCTGCCGACCTGGGTAGGCAACCTACTTGATATTAAGCCGTCATTGTTGAGAACCTATGATTACTTTACTGTCAACATTTGGTAAACATTCATTCCTCCGATAGCTCGTTTTACGCAAATAGGATGACGTTAATTTATCCCTCCAATATACTTGTACACTTTTTTTCAATATGACTGACTGTATGATCTAAGAATGTGACCAACATGAGAGGTACTTTTTGAATTTATAAGGACGGAATATGAAGGATGGAAACAGCCATATTGGTTTGACAAGTTTCGTATTATTTTTTCCCTGCGTCGGCATCTACGCCAATTGGTCGATTTCCTACCCGCTTTGAGGAGAGCTATGCTTCATATATGAGTAGTAGAAGTAGATATATGCGTCAATACTGTCAACTGTCAACTCTCTTTACCTTCAGTAAATTTGAATTTTTCTTCTGAAAGATTTTAAAAAGCAAAATTGAAATAATAATATATTTTTTTAATGGTTTGATTATCCATTAGCTTCAACTTGTTTGACTCTAATAATTTCTTGTTATTATGTCCAAACCTTGGTTCAGAAACTCGAAAAATCAGAAGGTACCTGCAAACTTTTCAGATCCCAGTTCCATAGAGGATCTACCAAATTTTGGCTATCCTGGGTTCAGATTATATTTTATTGAAGACTGTAAGTATATTCAAATTGTAAACTAGCTAGTTTCTTTATATAAGTAAGTAAATTAAACAGGTCCTATGGTTATTTTAATCATTTCATTTTAAATATATTCTCAGCAAACTTAGATTCAGAAGAAGTAATCAAACACTCACAACATTTTGGAGAGTTCTTTGAAGAGAATCCAGAGTCCTACTCTACAACAGATATTACTAATGACAGATTTTTCATGGTAGATTTTAAATCTCTTACTGAAAATGATAAGCTCATTTCAAAATGGGATGATTTCAAGAACAATTTGATTGATAATTGTGAGTATTTCTTGAAATGTATGGGTCTAGCAATGCACCAGTTCATATTAAAAAGTCATCAATACAAAGAACAAGAAAAACAGGGAAATGTGGAGGTCCCAATGATTCAAGCCAGAATATATAATGTTGAGCCTATATTACTGTTGAGAGATCTTAGAGTGAATTATTTAGGTATGTCAGCAAAAATGAAAGAACTCCACCTCTACTGTGTTTCACTTGCAGAAAAACTTGTCACAATCAGAGGAACAGTCATAAAAGCAAGTCATGTGAAGCAAATCTGCCAATACATGACATTTTCTTGCAAAGCTTGTTCAGGTACACAAATCACAAAACAAGTTGATGGTGCTTTTACAGTACCATTAAATTGCAAGACCAAAGGCTGCAGAGCACAGTCCAAATTCCATGCAATACATGACTCTACTTTCAACAGAACTGTGAGCCGTCAGTCAATAAAAATTCAGGAACTTCTTGGTACAGATCAGGTACAGTTCCATTATTTATTCATCTATAAAAATCAAAAAATGAATATGAAATGGCTATTCACATAAGAATTGAGAAAAATCCAATAGGTACAATAAGATTGATGCCATATTTGTTAGCAACAAATTTAATATTTGGTTATCCACTGGAATTTTAGATGTTCTCAGTTCTTCTTGATCTGTAGGGTCATATTATACAGGAGGGCATAGGTCTGTGAATAAGTAAATATTTTTTAGTGTGACAATGCAAGAGTTCCTAGAACATTAGAATGTGAATTTATGGAAGATTTAGTAAAAACATGCATACCAGGAGATGATATTACCATTACTGGCATCATCAGAGTGAGTTTTTATTGATACTGAAGAGTATAGTTGTCAATTTGACCAGCATCAATACTAATTTAACACATGAAAAATACAGTGTACAATCTTCAGGTTAGAGATCCTATTGGAAATAATGGCAAAAATAAGCAGAACACTGTTTTCAACTTATATTTGGAAGCAATATCAGTTTGGAATAATAAGAAGCAAAGGAAGAGTGAATCTGCCTCTGAAGGAATAACTTTCAATACAAATGATTATTACCTAATAAAGGTCAGTGAATATTACATAATAGGTACTTTGTGAAATAAATATCAATGAATATGATTTTCTTTAGAAAATTCACTCTGAACCCAAACTGTTCAGACTGTTGGTCCACTCACTGTGTCCCAACATCTATGGACATGAAATTTTGAAGGCAGGACTTTTGTTATCCTTGATTGGTGGTACCAAAACTGAAACGTTCAGAGGAGAGTCTCATGTTCTGATGGTTGGTGACCCTGGATTAGGAAAAAGTCAGCTACTGCAGGCTTGTACAAATGTTGCTCCAAGAGGTAGAAAGTTTACCTTATGTTTTAAAACCCTATACATTATTAAACATGAAATATATTTTTCTGTCAGAAAGAAAAGAGTTAAAAGGGGTGGTAATTTTTAATGTGGCAGCCAATGATTTATTATTATTTATTTTTATTTTATTAATCAAAAATATCTTCCAGACAGAACGGGTTCTGGTATGAGGAAGAACATAATTATAAAATGATGAGTAATAAATTAATATCTATGAACTACTACACAAACATGAGTAGAAGTGAACATAAATAATAAATCATAATGAATCATTATATCACAATAAATCACAATAAAATGAAACAATCAATGAACAAAGAAAATGATTCTAGTCAAGTCCATAATTTACTGATAAATTTTGAACATTTCTCTCAGAAATTATCAGTTTTTTTACTTTCTTTTTAAATGTACCTAAATTTCTGCAGTTTTTGATTTCATCTGGTATTTTATTGAACTCAGATATGGCTGCATGAGTGAATCTTTTTTGACCCAGTGTAGAAATAGCAGCATCAAGGTGAAATAGGCTACATTGTCTATGTTTGATGACTATGAATTTCAAAATTTGTTTTTAAAATAGGTAATATTAGATTTCAATTTTTTATTTATGATATTGTATGAAATTTTCAGTCTCTAATCTGTATAGTTCTTCTGAAGAATATGTTTTTGTTGAAGCATACAGTTCAATTGTTGGTGTATAATATGGAAGGCAATACAGTACTTTTAATGATTCCCTATATAATGTTGATATTTTATTAAAATTATTTCTAGAACAAGATCCCCAAACATTTAGTGAATAGTTGATTCAACTTAGTATATGTGAGTAGAGTACTATATTTGCAATTTTCATATTGAGTTTGGGACATCTTCTCAATGCACTAATAAAAGGAGATATTTTCTTTGTCAGAAACTCAATATGTTTGTCTCACTTCAATTTTTCATCAAACCAAATACCTAAATACTTTGTCTGTTCAGTTTTTTTCAAGAATTCATTCTTTATTTGATAGTTGAATTTTCTGTTTATTTTTTTGTTGAAAAATCATGTATTCAGTTTTTCTGGATTGGAGCCATTTTTCAAACAATTTCAGATCATTATTTATCACAGTTTCTAAAATGAGAGAATTTTTGTTTTCATATAATAAAAGCACTGTATTGTCTGCATATTATAATTACTGACCAAACCAACTTTCCTGATATGTTGAATATAAAGCAGATATAGTATTGGTCCTAAAACAGATCCTTGTGGAACACCCTTATTCAATGACAGTTCATGATATAATATATATTTGAAATATTCTTAAGCCAAGAAAGGAGTGTTAACTCAGAGTTTTTTCAGGAGTTTATGTTTGTGGTAACACTAGTACAACTTCTGGTTTGACAGTTACTATGACAAGAGATGGAGGGGAATATTCTCTTGAAGCTGGTGCCTTGATGTTAGCTGATCAAGGATGTTGCTGCATTGATGAATTTGATAAAATGCCCTCCCAACATGCTGTATGTTACATATTATTATTTTATTAGAAATCTCAAAATATCAGCAAAATACTCTAATCATGAATCACTCTTCTTCATAAATAAATGTTATGAATGTGTGGTGTGGTCTTGTACCTCGGCGGTAAATTTCATTAAGAATATGCAAGCATGATATTCTGAGAATTCCATTTTATGAATCTATTATTATAGGGAAATAAATTTTGGGTGCCTAAAAATGTAAAAGTTGTTATTTGATTGAAAGGATTAAGAATAATCATCCAGGGAGGTTAGTTCATTTCAATGTGATGATCAGTGATGCTTCAAATTTTGTATAATTATTCTATCTTCAATTATGTAAAATTCTATCCTATCTAAAATTTTCATTTTCATGTGTTCTTTTTAACTTGCATGATCCTATAGTTCTATTTCAAATTTAATTTGAACGTGAAACCAATTCTAATAGACAAGTGGGCTGTCTTTTCTCATTCAGTATTTTGGCACTGATACTTTTTCATCCTCACTCAATTGGTAGAAAATGTTTCATTTTTGTAACTGACTTTGCTAACAGATATAGGTGCAACTGAGATGTTCATAAGAATAGTTGGAAATTTTTTTGATGTGTGTAACAACACAGTATAATTTTTAAATGTGAACAGTTCAATACCTGATGTCCAATTGCCTATTCATATTCTTGCACAAATACGATTTGAGCAGAGCAAGCATGACTAAGGACTAAGGAACAGAGCTTCAGTGTCTTTTAGAAGCCATGGAGCAACAGACTGTCAGTATAGCAAAAGCTGGCGTAGTGTGCACTCTTCCGACAAGAGCGACCATTTTTGCTGCGGCAAATCCAGCCGGAGGCCATTATAATAAAGCTAAGACCATATCCGAAAATCTGAAGATGGGCTCTCCTATGCTGTCTAGGTTTGACTTGATTTTCATTTTGCTGGATCTAGCAAACGAGGTGGGTTATCCTTGAGCATAACTTCGATGGTTGAAACAAATTCATCAATATTCACTTTTTATTTCAGCAACTAGATTCACAGCTATCAAAGCATATATTAGGAGTACATAATAATCTTATGGGGAAAGCAAAGAGCCAAATAACCCTTAATAGTTCCATTCTCAATGCATCGTCAAATGAGACTTTGAGGTAACCTATTGCAATTATTGGAAATGAAATTATGAATCTGTGGTAGAAGTCCATCTTATATCAAAGTAGTGTTTCACTCATTTTTGAACAGCTCACAAAAATATGTTTTTTTTTATGTTTTAATTCGTCTGACAGACATTTTTTTTATATTCGCGAGATTCACAAAGTGGGCGACATCTAGGTTACATAATACGAACTTCAAACTGGGGGAAAACAAACTGTTGTCTAAGGATAAAGTGCATAGACTACATTGCATTCAGCTGGCTGTAGCTGTAGTCAAACTTGTCAATTACATAAAGTCTTGGCACTGTTGGTAGTGATGATGGTTGAGTTGATTAATTTTTTTACATTACATTTTTATTAGTTTAGTAAGCAGTGAACGGGTGAAGAATTGGAGCCCAACTTCAATTTTACTTCTTGTGGGGAAGATTTCATCGCCGAAGTTTGTAGACAAAGTGCAAAAATGTGTCTTTTTGAAGTTTTCTGCCTCACACAAAATCACATGATTAACACGGAGAACTCCTTCTCCTTCCACTACTGGTCGGCTTTTTCCGTCTAAATAGAGCATAATATCTGCCAAAAGAACATCTACAACAGGCATTATTAGCGTTTTCGATGGAATATTGACAATTAATGTCAAGAAATTTGAAAACTTATCACTCTTATCAGTACACAGTATACAAGTTAATGACACTAATGGGATTGAGTGAGGATCAAGTTTGTTTTCCCCCAGTTTTGACGTGGCTTTGACATGGAACGATGAAAACCGAGCGCCACCTGGTAACATTGATTCCCGCGAATAAATGAGTTGGGTCCAATCAACTTATTTTGAACTGTATCACACGAGGTAGCTCTGTGTCCCAGCAATTTTGGGAAACAATGTGTGTAATGTCAGAGAGGTCAAACGTTCAATCACCGAATTCATGAACATATGATATTTTTGAAACAAAAAATGCAACATGTGCAAACCATATATTTGAAGAAAACCATATAGTTTATATTACTTAACGATCAACTAGACCTCAATAATTTACCACTGTTGAGTTTGTCTTCTTAGTAGGTAATAATATGTAATTGCTATCAACACTTTCAAGTTAATCCAGTACATTGTGTTTTATGTGCCTACTTTCCGAAAATGAAGGTTTATTCAACCTTTCCCGAGACCTTTCCACAGGTAATTCTAATCCTTCAGGTTGGGAAAGTAGGATATAAAAGTTGGGCAAACCAATTTGAGTTTAGTTTATTTTACCAGTATTCCACCTGGAGAAGAAGAAATTAGCCTTTCAACTTGTTGGATACTTATTACTACTATGCATTATGTTCATGAATGGAAAATAAAGAAACATTATATTATTATCGAAACATGTCATGTGATTAAGAATTTTGTAGAAATCTTATCGTTTGTAAAGTTTTTTACATTAATATATTTTTTGGTTTTCAGTGATCGCCTCAAATGCGATGGTGAACATATAGATTATATCCCGCACAATCTGTTCAGAAAATTTATAGCATATGCTCATAAATATGTGAAACCCCAACTATCAGAAGAAGCTAAAAATCTTTTGAAATCGTTTTATCTTACTCTCCGGAAACAATTTCGGACAGGAGACTGTACTCCAGTCACAACCAGGCAGTTAAATTCCTTGATACGTCTGTCTCAGGTAATTTTTTTACAGCTACAGAAAACAGAAAAAGGTCTTTGAGAAGATGTATCATTATATAAATGTTATATAAATGTATTCATCTACAACTATTGAGTTATAAATTCATTACTTACTCGATTTTCAACAGTAACTGATAGTCTTTGTTCATTTGAATTAAGTAATAATGACAGTACTGTTGAATATTCATCCTAACAAATCATGGAACAATGCAGCACTTAGTTTTCAGTTTTTACCTCCTTACAAATGCACAAGAAAATACGCAACGAATTGCATAGAATGTGTATTTTCGCTGCCTAGGCAGTTTTTTGCTATGAAACTTTCCAAATAATTTTAATCAAATTCGTAATCAAAATTGACAATGACATTGGGTGAACACAAGATGATGCAGTTTTCAATAAAAAAATACACAAAATCATAACATTTGGAGAGAAAATTCTATGTTTCATTTGGCAGAAAAGAAGATTCAGTGCCTTGGCTGGTTTCCTAGCCTCGGCTAGCCGCCTCATTACATCTTGTCCGTTTCTGCCTAGTAAAATTAATAACTATTTTTTGTAACTAACCACTTTTTTCTGACTGTCTTCCCCCCAAATTTTTTCTGGTGGTGCTCATGTTTATTTTGTGTACTCCTTTACGAAAAAATATGCACCCGATTACACGTGAATGTAATGTTCCCATGTCCTGGGCTTGAACAATTCCAACATTCTGATGAAATGCAGTTAATCGATTTTCGGTGATAATCAAATAGTTGTAGATGAAGACCTCATGTGCAATAATATTCTATTGTGTATTATTATTATTTGAAGGTTGTGATTTTGTAGGCAAGAGCAAAAGCAGAACTCAGAGAGGAAGCTACCAAAGAGGATGCAGCCAATGTTATTGAAGTAATGAAATTCAGTTTGATAGACATTTTTACCGACAGCTCTGGTCTACTTGATAAAACTAGATCACAAAATGGTACTGGGACTAGTACCAAATCTCAGGTAAAGCATTTGATACATTATTTCAATCAAGAGTTCAGTGAAGATTGATTTTTTTTAGATAACACGGCTATTGAGGTTAATTCAACGCAAGTCTGATGAAGAATCTAAGGCTACTTTCACAAAAAATGAAATTAAAGAGATGAGTGAGCTAGTAGGGATAAGCAAAGATAAGTTTTTCACAGTTCTGCAAAACCTTAATATACAGGGTTTTCTATTGAATAGGGGTCAAGGAAATTATCAGCTTGTTACTGCAGATGTATAAATATTGCAATCATTAAGTGTTATAATTTTATAAGTTTTGTATTTTTCTAATTAAAACTCGAGTGTCATATTGCACTTTTGTATATTCACTTCATCATGAAATAATCCCTATAAAATACAGAAATGTTACACATAAGTCAGTGAAATCGGTTTAACAGCTTGTAGTTAACAATTCTGAAAGCTATATGCAACATCTATTAGGCCTGTTTCAAGATGAACATTATGAATGATTCATTAAAGTTTGAGTGTTCATGAAGAAACTTCAAAATAATAAAGCTTTTTTTTAAAAAATATGGATTATTGTAATGAGTGTTTCAACGTTTGTTGGAATTATATTTATAATATGCTCTTAAAATCGGCAATATGGAAATTTAAACATCTATTAGGCCTGTTTCAAGATGAACATTATGAATGATTCATCAACGTTTGAGTGTTCATGAAGACATTTTTAAATAACGAAGCTTTTTTCAAAAAAATATGGATTATTGTAGTGATCAGCAATATGGAAATTTAAACGGGTGTGACGAAATCATATAATAATAACATCAACAAGAAAGTGAATAATGTAATCTTAGTCAATATTGTCGTGCTGCATGTAGCACATTTAAAATGCAAGAATATCATTTCTATTGAAAGTAAGGACAAGATACAATAGCTTTTAACATATGAGTGTTAAATGAGAATGTTTCAGTTTGTCTAATCTTATCAACTATCTATCTCTCACCGTTTAGGAAATAGCAATACTGCTCTGCTATCAAGTGGTTGAGACCAATAGAAGACATGGATTTTCGGTTTTTATTAGTACTACTCAGAAAAAACTTCTTGATGGGATTTCATTACTCTCGGTGCAGTGCCGATGCCGAGTCTTTAATCTCTTGAGTGAACAATGAAGAGCTATGGAATATGTGACAGCTTTTATGAATGAAAATAAGAGACCTTCAACAGGTTGAGTGCCACCATGTATCGAAAAATATCGGTTCCAGAGGCCGATACATTATTTTTGCCTAAAACATCAGATACTAACGTACTGTTGATATTTACGCGCGAGACCAACGTGTCACTACGCTATGCGCATGTCTGCATGTTGAGAATTGTAGCGGGGGACCGGCAGACCGGCTCAACTTGTCTCGTGATGCTGCACTGCTGCAGTTACATCATGTCCTCGTACGAGAAAGAACAAAGGCAATTGACGAAGTTATGTCAGTAGGTGTTGTCCGATGAATACGGAAACTGAAGCAATCAAGATGGAGAATCACTGTTTGGGGACGTGTATCTTTCTGATGAATATCAATGTGAGTCATCAGTAGATTCTTCGTCATCGTTGAAGAATGCATCTTCCAAACAACCGAGAAAACGTCCCAAAATTAAAAAGAGAGTCGGTGCTAGAAAAACTCATACATTCAGAAATGATATACCGTCCACTAGTGCAGTTTCTAACAGTAGGTATATTGTTCAATGAATGATATTTATTTAATTCTTAGAATATTCTGAATGATTTCGTTACATGTTCATGATGCATAAATGAAGAAAACTAATAAAAGTACCTATATATTTTCGTGAGAGAAAAAAAGATTACTAACATTTCTTAGCCACGTACTACCAATTTGGTCTCTCATATCCACAGGCCAGAATATGTCTCTGGACCACCAGGCCACGCTGTTTCGAATGCCAGTTAGTTCACAATGCTGTGAGAGACCGCTGTGGAGATATGCAGCCAAATCATTTGTGGATATATGCGAGACCATATGGACTCTCACGGCACTCAACCTGTTAAGTAACCTTTGAAACCGAAACCATATTTCTGTGCCCAAAATGAAATTGAACTGAATTATTATATTATGAGTAACCGGAAAATGAGCGTTTTTACATATTCCCGAAATGATACAGTTTCATACAGCCTTGAATCTGATGGCTGTGCAGCAGTTCAGTGATGAGACATTCAAAGAAGCTTTTAGTATCCAAATTGAAATACAATATCATATATTGTAAAAATAAAATATAAATATAAGTATATATAACATCATAAATAATAAAAAAATAATAATTTAAATTTTAGGAATGATCGACTTGGTGTAACCACAGAACTCAAAGACCTAGAAGGCCAATATCGTTCTATTGGAGTGCCCTAACGTGGCTCGCACGGCAAATGTGAGCATGCGCAGTAAAGACGCGACCATGCCAGGGACGAATTCAGAATTATTTGATTACCAGGTTCTTGTGGCTTTCTTGAAAGAGCAGACCATTGTAAAAAGTTCATATGACATTTGTTATGATGAATTCCTTCATGTTATCAGGAGTAATGGTTGGATGTATTCTCCATTAACTGAAGTGTGAAAAATTCACCATGGTTCTTCAAAATATGAAGCGGCATGAATATTATAACTATAATTCTTAGGACATGAAACAAAATTTGGTGCGAATACTTATGAAATGGTTACTCTGATCGTTGTTTGACGCAACTAGAAGATACAGGGGAGTTGTTTCCCTTTTGTCGGACTATTTATTGAACCACTGGAAATTTTCCAGAATTGAGATATTTTCCCAAATTCTCTGTTCAATTCAGAAATTAAGGTCCTCTTGTGGAATTTCGAATTGGAACTTCGTTTACGAGTTAATTGAATTTAAAAAAAAACGAGACCTCGCTAAAATTGGATAGTTTGAAAAAAACAGGACTCAACTTCTCAATAGTGGCATTTCAAATCTCGAATCAAGGCAATCATCCAAGCAATGTGGCAACTCTTGGTAAGCCTAAAATATGATTCAATATCATTAATTTCGGAGATCTGTAACTTCTTGCCAGATATTTTAGTTTTGGTAATATAATCATGACAACTTAAGTAATGTTCTTCTATTAGACAGAGCTGTCATGGCTTGAAATTTTACATTTTCATAGGAGATGAGATTATGTGAAACAATAACAACGAATATCATTGTGATATCAGATACGTATATAATAAGTATATATAATAGCAGAATTTTGTTGACCATATAAATTTGCCTGAAGTAAGACATTCCTGGAAATTGTTCTTAATCTTGTCAACAAATCATTCATTTTGAAAACACTGTACACAAATCAGTCAATGAATGTCGAATGAAATAAGTACTGTTCTTGTCATTATGACTACACCCATTACCCAAACTAGAGTGAAATACCAAAACTCTTCAATAATCTCAAATTCACTAACGAAAGACGTTGAACGCAAAGCACAACATTGAAAAACTGAACTTAATCCGGCTCTGTCTTGAGTCTACGTCAGGCAAAATGACAGAGGCACATTCTCACACAGTTGCCAGATGAACTCGTAATTTGAAGTTCAAAATAATTCATCGATCTCTTGTTAACCATTCAATTAATATCAGTGAGTCTAGGAATTTTGTTGATAATCAGTTACAAGAAATCTCGTAGGAAATGTGAACTAAATCCTGATGCATAAATATGAGATTTGCGTATGAAAATATATAACTGGCAATGTTGCCGACAATGTGCGCATGATCACCATTGCCGTTAGCACACTGGTAGTATCAGATTTCAGCGATTTCTCACACTTGCATTGGCCTTCTAGGTCTATGAGTTCTGTGGGTTTAACCTGTAACCTTAATTATACATTAATTTATTATGTTTCCTTCCTATAATAACCCGAATATCGTATATAATACTTGGCACACTGCATACCCGACTGTTGTGCAATTTTATTCGTATTGGAGATTCCTCACGTTCTGAGACCACGAAGGCACTTCTTGATGCTGTGAAGCCAGCCCTTCTCAGGTCATAGCTCAGATCTGTATTGCTCCCATCGTGCATCGTCCGATTCATGTGTTAAGTACCTAACACCCACTTGGTTTTCCAACGTTCTCAAATCGCACCACGTTTCGTAATCCTTCAAATAAAAACAATGTACAAATTAAAATATGACACACTTAGAGATGTATGAAACCACTTTGGATCCAGGGGTACGACTGTATTGGGAATTTTCAATAATTACCTATTACATACTGATCAATATGTAAGAATAATTAATCAAAGCATCAGTTTACCCCAAAATATAAAGATCGGAGTTCCAACGTTCTTAAATCGCACCACGTTTCGTAATCCTTGAAAGGAAAACAATATACAAATTAAAATAGGACAAACTTAACAGATGTATTAAACCACTTCGGGGTCAGGGGTACGACTGTATTGGAAATTTTCAATAATTAGCAATATGTAAGAATTGATGAATGCATCAGTTTACCCCAAGAAATGGAGATCGGAGTTCCACAAGGTACAACCCTGGGACCAATTCTTTTCCTAATGTATATAAACTCTCTATTCTACGTGAATATCGAAGGAAAAATACTATCTTATGTAGATGATACAGCTGTCATATTCTCTGGCAAAGAGGTATATAGAAAAAAAAAAATTTCCACTTAGCTTTAGACGTTTCGGGAACGAATTCGCTCCCGTTTTCAACATGAAAATGGAAAATATTTTTCTCGATTTGTCAGGTATTACTTTTGACACGTCACCATTTATCACTGAAAAGTGTACCTGACAAAGCGAGAAAAATATTTTTATGTTGAAAACGGGAGCAGATTTGTTCCCAAAACGTCCAGAGCTAAGTGAACATTTGATTTTTTATCGATATACCTATATTTCAAGCGAATGAATTCTTCTTTCGGGCTCTCTGAAACATTTTTTAAACGCAGTGACATTTTGGGGCAATTCATCTGGTGTGTACTCACTAAACGTAAATTGAAATAATACTCAATTTTTATCCTATAGAAACGAGAAGAAAATCTGGAATAATGAATAAACAAATAAGTTTATTAGACGGAACAGAAAACAAATGCTTCACATGGAATTTTTGTCTCATCCATTGTTCTGTTGACGTTAACGATGAACTGCCATGTTCAACCAGAGAGCTAAAAACGCTAATCTGGCGATAACTTTGATCAATCCCCCCTCGGCCATCTTACACAAAAATATGATTGTTTATATCTATAAAGTAAGGAAATATGACTCAGTTTCCCATAAATTATGAATTTTCTCTCATCTTAACCAATTTCTCTGTCAGAAAATAAAGGTTAAGAATTTTGATTGGTTTGAAAATATGTAACTCAATGTTCACACAGTCATTGGTTTTCTCTCATCTCATCCTATTCTGTGGGAATATCAAGGGGAAGAATTAATTGGTTTGGAAATTTCATTTTTTGAGATATTTCCAATTGGTTTTTCCAAATTGCTTTCCTCCAAAGGTATGTAAGTGAGTGTATACAGCCATTCTTTTTTTATCATCTCAACAAAGTTTTCTGAGGAAAAATCAAGGTGAACGATTTGGTTCGAAAATTTGATAATTTGAGGTATCTTCAATTGTTTTTTTTTTCAAATTGCTTTCCTTCCAAGATAATATGTAAGTCAACGTTCATACAGTCATCGTTTTTCTCTCATCTCGACCTATTCTTCTGTGGGAATATCAAGTTGAGGAATTAATAGGTTTGGAAATTTGATTTATTGAGATATTTTCAATTGTTTTTTCCAAATAGCTTTCCACCAAAGGTATATGTATGTCAATGTGTATACAAATTATTTTTCTATCATCTTAACACATTTTTCTGAAGGACAATCAAGATGAACGAATGGTATGACAGAGATTACCATTCACACAGTACAAGTTGAATAGAAATGAAATCAACTCACCTGTAACCAAGTATGTACTAATGATTTATCCACAGTATATCTCTTCCTCTGCTTGACTTGAAGTAAATTGTTAATGAGATCAATAGCTGAAAACAAAAACAAAATGTACTACTTTTCAACATAAACATGGAACATTACCATCTGAAGATATATCTTCCCAAGGATTTGTCGGATACATGAACGCGGCATTCTGAATTTGTTCGTTGATGTCTTCATCTTCGTTGAATGGGAAAGTACCGCTAAGACTAACATACACTATGACGCCAACGCTCCACATGTCTAACGAACGGTTGTAACCTTTGTTGCGTAAGACTTCTGGCGCTAAAATCATTAAATAAACTCTTGCATTCATGTTAACATTGGCTATTGTCGTTCTAAATGAAAACCTAGTTAGTAGGCGAGAAGTATAATATTGTCTTTTCAGTGAAACAAAAAAATGCGGAAATCGCCCTTATTGACCACATATTCAGTAAACTAGTGACCTCTATGGGTTGCGTGCAATTACTGTCAGATGACCGACCCTGGAGGTGAAACATCGTAACACAACCTCACTTTTCTAATTTGTTTACAATTGATTGAAATAGTTTTTCACAATTATTTTGGCATACGAAACGTGTTTTTCGGCTATTCATTAATTTGCGCATGCCATCACATTGTGCTGTTGTACAATGCACAAAAAATGCAGCGAGAGACGAAGGAATCCGCTTGGTACATTATGGTTTAGAAGTAAGTACCTACTATGGTCACTCACATATAGTTTTCATTTTGAAATTTGGTAATTTTTCTGATTTCTCATCGGAATTCCTTCTGCAATAGGAGCTAATAGAAATACTCGTGAAATTTCTAAAATAATGCAAGAAGATTGGATTCATGCTATCAATCGGGAGGACTGGTCTGACATGCTGACGAAATATCGTGTGTGCTGTAGACATTTTGAATCTATTAGCAGTATTAGCTTCTATTGCTGAAGTGGCAGAAGGAATTTCAATAATAAATGATATTTACCTGAAGACCTAAAGAAATCATATTCCTTCGTCTCTCGCTGCATTTTTTGTGCATTGTACAACAGCATAATGAGAAGGCATGCTTGAACTAATGAATGGCGCAAAAAACGCGATTCGTATGCCAAAATTTTGTGAAAAACTATTTCAATCCTTTGATTCCTCTGTAATAAAATAAAAAGAGTGAGGTTGTGTTTCAATATTTTACCTACAGGATCGGTCATCGTGCTCACGACATTTTCAAAAACTAGCTAGGACTGGTATTAACTCCAACTCAGACAATTCCACTCTCATTACAAGAAGTTTGATAGAAAAGGCAGCTCAAAACAAAACTAAAATCAAACTGGAATGGATACCTAGCCACACAAATATACCAGGAAACGACAAGGCAGATCAACTAGTCAACTAATCACAGCTAAATTAAGGGTGGACTACAGGAAACTATATTAGAGATCTTCTTACTAGAGTTAAGAAAAGAATACATGAGGCCTGCAACGAGGAATGGACAAAACTTTGTAAAATTAAAGGGAAAATCTATTCAACCTTCTAGAAATATTTCCGAAAAAGCCCTGGTTCCACAGGGCAGAAGTCAATAGAGAAATCTCCTTGCCTCACCCCGGAACATCTTCACAAGATTAAAATCAAAGACTCACCAAGATACAAATGCGGTATGACTGGAAGTCTACAACAGATTTTATTGAAATTCCAAACACATATAAAACTCAAATAAACTGTACAAAAAAAATTATATCCTTTCCACTTTATCAGTGGAAGACCTGCTTAGGAACCCATCTGCTAACTCTGCTTTAATCGTTTTCACGTATCTGAAATCTATAAATATGAAACTGTAATAATTATGGCGCTACTATGTTTCATGTTACCACAGGGATGGAGTGCTGATCACAAGATCTGACGCTTTCTCGTGCAGCTTCACTACTAAGAAGAATCTGGGAAAATAACCGAAAAGGTTAAGCCCATACAGAAGGAGGAAAGGGAAGGATCATAACCATAGAAATGTTTCACATTCCTGTCAAGATCCACTTTACTGTCAAAATTATCATACGATCAAATCAAATTGCCCATTTAGACAAATATTCTATTGAAACAAATGAGCTCTCGATGTTTTCAGTAATCTTAGTAATGCCATTTACAGACAGACAAGTATTGGATCAATGCACAGAGAATATTATAGCACTTGTCTACTAACTAGGTTTTCATTTCCCAGTATCATGACAAAATTACCTAGATATGCAGGCGTCCCAACTACAGATCTACGGAATGATTTTTCTCCTATGATTCTAGCGAATCCGAAATCACATAGTTTCACTTGGGGATACTCGGCGTCCGAGCTTAATAGTACGTTTTCAGGTTTCAAATCACAGTGAACAATATTCTTACTATGTAAATGCTTTAAAGCTATAAGTATCTACAACAAAAATTGTTAATTTTTCAATAACTTATGTCGGCTCTGAACTGCCATCTTAAACAAAAAAATGTTTCTACACATCTAACACAGGGAAGTGGGTGATATATGTAGAAGACGAAGGAACAAACCGAAATTACATCACCGAGCATTTGTTACTGTTAGGCAAGTGGACTGGTGATGTATAATTGGCATTCACTTACTTCACCATAACATCAATGGGATATAATAGGTTCTTCAATGCTATTTGACAAGTATTATGAATAAATCCCATGAATCTCTCATTGGCTTAATGAAGTTGATTACTAGTAAAGATAAATTGATATTTTGCGATAGTGTCAGTAATTTTTCACTATCGTTATGTCATTTTTTTAATGATGAATTGGTTCCTTAAAAAAACGGACATATTTTCTAGGGAAGTTGCAGGTTATATCTTGCAAAAGCGCCTAATACTTCGAGTTCGTCCACACGACTCACTGATAGACACAACGAGAGGAAAGAGCCATGGCTTCATTCTGTTCTGACCGATGGCAGTAAATTAGGAAGGATAGTATCATTAAATGTAGCCGATAGTGATTCATTGATTCAATGATATTTTCGTTTAGGATCGAGCTCTATTCCAGATATTTTAATGCATAAATAACAAAACCATAACCATTCGTTTATCATTCGTTAGCTATCTGCTAGCTATATTCTTCACCATCAGCTATTTTCAGACTAGATTCAGAATGTACATCACAGTTTGCAGCCCCGAAGATTAGAAATTGCTTCAATTTGAAAATGAAAACGACTTAGACTTTATCGGTCTCCATTCTGTACGGCGTGGACATAAAACCTTAAAATCGGCCGGAAAAATCAAATCAAAAATATGGAATTGAGAGATAATTGAGTCATGATTATATTTGAGAAATACAAAAAAACAGTCCAATCGCCTATTGTGGAAGTTTTGTTTTAGCATGCCAGTTCAGAGCCGCTCAAAAATCCCACAAATAGAATGACATACTTGCGTAATAATAAACTTGGTGACACGTTCGGTCAACCTTCCTTTGTCATGAGATAATATCATTTCCAACATATCCCCCTTGAGTTTCTCCATGACCACGAAAATCCTTTCGGGGGTTTCGAACATGCGCTCCAAGTTGACTACTCCCGGATGGGACAGATTCTGCAGGATCGCCACTTCGTTCTTCAATTGGGCCTCTTGTTTGGTGGGGAACCGCAATTTATCGATTACTTTGATCGCAACCGGTCTCGCCGACCTCCTGTGCACACCCCCGTATACTATTCCGAATTGGCCGGAGCCCAAAACCTCGTCCGGATAGATCTGGTAGATTTGGCTCATGTCCGTTATTTCTTCTTCCCTGACACTTGTTTCCTCGTGTTCTACGATGTAACAGGAATAAGGTTCAGTATACAAAAAATGGGGTGACAAAGGACATGTTGAGATGCAATTATTGAATTCACTGGTGTTGCCTAATCGATTATAGCACTTTTTATGAAGTATACAAAAATGTTTCATTCGCCGACTTCCTGTGCACACCCCCGTATACTATTCCGAATTGGCCAGAGCCCAAAACCTCGTCCATATAGATCTGGTAGATTTGGCTCATGTCCGTTATTTCCTCTTCCCTGACACTTGTTTCCTCGTGTTCTACGATGTAACAGGAACAAAGTTCGTAAAAAAATGGGTTGACACAGGACCTATTGAGATGAGATTTTTAAATTCACTGGAGTCGCCTAATCGATTATAGCAGTCTTTTCAAAGTATACAAAAATGTCGACCTCCTGTGCACCCCCCCCCCCCCCCACCCCGTATACTATTCCGAATTGGCCAGAGCCCAAAACCTCGTCCGGATAGATCTGATAGATTTGGCCATGTATTTCTTCTTCCCTTACACTTGTTTCCACGTGTTCTACGATGTAACATGAAGAAGGTTTAGTATAAAAAAATGGGGTGATACACTATGGAAACATTTGAATAAATCCGAAGATTTGAATGAAGTATTAATTCAAAATCGAATTTCAAGGATTTATAGTTTCTGAATGTTATCTTAAATAAAAAAACATTAGAATAACTACCTACTGTTGGAACTTTTCCTGGTTGGATTTTATTATTTCAAACTTTCCCGTATTTGATATACGGGAAGTGGTGGCGTGATTTTTATTCAAATTATTTTCTGCAGTTTCCAGAGTTGTACTACCTTTTATAAGAAGTGGATACTGATAAATCTAATACCATGTGCCAATTTTCTGCTGTAGAAACGAATCTGACATCGATTTATTTCTTCTTTTTTTGCTACATTCTTACATTATGTTTCTTTTGGTGATGATGGTACCAAGAAGTTTTCGTTGGCATACCATGTGTATCGGAGCTGAGGCATACATTAAATATCTTGATGACATCATATTCAAGGCGTTTTTTATTGCGAAAAGCTATTATCCATGAAAAAAATCGTTTCAAAAATTTACTCCTAGAACATTTTTATATTTAGTAAGAAGTTCTCAAACAATTGAAATGCGTCAGAAGGTAGCTTGAAATATATTTTTTTCCAAATTTAGGTTGGAGTACCAATCGACGAATTTTCTAATGATTGTACTTGAAAAATCATTAATTCAATCACCGGGATATGTAATATTTTACTTAACGGTTACATAAAGAAAGATATGTTTCAAAACTTCCGTCTGTCAACAAGGTTATGAGAGAACTGGGATGCTCAAAAATTCTATTTCTTACTTGTATTGGCCTGTACTGGCACTATTGCTTGTCTTATGGTCGATTCCCAGCTTTTGGCAAGATATGCACCAACACCACTGTCAGGTGGTGGAAGATTCACCAAACTTCCATCTTGCAAATCAAATAGTGGATCTTGACCGACAAAATAATCAATGTTGGCTGTCCTTATCTCAAAGCAGTGCATAAACTCTAAAAAATATTCAAGTGAAAATATGATTTCACCTTTTTTTGTAGAAAGAATGAAGGAAATGATATACTTGTACATATTTTTAGTTCCACAATCAAATGATATAGATGAGTGGAATATGTTCATTTAATTCAGTTATGGTAATGAAAACTTGCTTATCCTTTCTGATAAGGAGGTTGTTTAATCAACATTAATTTCTTTTTTGAATGTTGGAATCAACTGAACAGGAATGAAAAAACTGAGTGATTTCCACCAAAAATTATTTCCATGAGATAGGTATATTATAAGGCTTTGATTAGAGGAAACAATAAATGTAGATACATGTATTACATAACACTTTGTATAGAAATCATGCATATAATAAGGATGTATAACCTCCTTGTTTTATTCTTGCTGTATCTATTGTCAGAATCTCAGAAAGAGGTATTTCTCGGTAATACTTTGAACTCTGTTCATTTTGAAATAACACAATGGATTTGGTATCCAACCTCCAAAAATGTCTCCTTATCTGAAAAGAAGATGGTGTCATTTTCAATGGTGATATCAAATGTTGGTAAACTTCAATAAATAAATGATCTATACCAATATACAATTCAAATTGGATGAATAATTTGATGGTAAAATTTACCGTTTTGTCTTTGTTAGTGAAATGGACCAGCCATCCTTCTTTGATCACTTTGGAGCCCCTTCTCTTGGTATGTTTCACTGATTGAACTATTCGTTGTAATGGAATGTTGGCACTGGGAGTTGAGGAACTGCAACTATTTTTGATAATCAATTGCATACATAATCGGTTATAGTTACCCAAAAGAGACAGAAAGAAATAAGAAACCTTATACCCTCTACAAGATCATAAAAAATTACAAAGATTTCAAAAATGTTATAATCTCGAATATTGAAAGTAGTTTTTCCAAAAGTGCCGTCTACACCTTTTCCAATTGTAGTTCAGAAAGCGTCATATGTAATTCAGACAATGTCATTTGTTGTAATTCAGGTTAGTTAATTGAACTTCAGAAAGCGTCAATTGTAATTCAGATTATTCAATTGATATTCAGGAAGTGCATTTGCAATTCAGAATGTATCATTTGTGATTCAGAACGAGTCATTTGTAATTCAGGTTAGTCAAGCGAAATTCAGAAAATATCAATTGTAATTCAGATTAGTCAATTGAAGTTCAGAAATAGTAAATTGAAATTCAGAAAGCTTCATTTGTAATTCGAAAATATGGAACAATGTTGCCTTTGCTTGTTATGAGCCAAGCATAATAATTGCGTTCCGTTTTATTACTTCTTCATAATATTATGACCCATTAAAATAAATTTCAATTGACCATCAATAAAAATAATACCATGATTCTCAATTCGCTGGTTCTACATGAATACCTACCGACAATTCATTAGTCTGAATTACAATTGACACATTCTCAATTACAATTGACGATATTCGAATTTCACTTAACGCTTTCTGATTTTAATTTTACTAATCTGAATTACTATTGAAGTTTTCTGAATTTCACTTTTCTAATCCGAATTAAAATTAATATTTTCTGAATTTCAAGTTACTGAATTACCTACCAATAACGAAGTCGAATTACAATAGTATGAATTTCAATTGATGCTTTCTGAATATCAATTGACAAATCTGAATTACAATTGACACTTGATGAATTTCATTTGAGAAATCTGAATTACAATTGACGCTTTTACAATTATTTAAAAAAGTGTAGTTGGTATTTTCAAAGTTCCAAATTTGTACCATGGGTCTGTGACACACACGGTACGGTATATGAATCAGTATTCTGCCAACACTGAAATTCCTCAATACTCAATTTTGTCCAATCTTCTGGACTTCTTTTTATTGATTTAGTTTATTATATCTCATTCCATTTAGGGTTTGGACAACCCCAAATTATAAATAGAATAATAGATTTAATTCAAAAATATTCCCAATAAAATCCCCAACTTCTTGGTATCCATTGAGATATTCTCCAGAAAAATTAACATCAAGGGTGATTATCGAAATTTGCGATTTCCTATACAGCATATAAAGTTACTAAAATACTATGAAGAGGCACTGATTCATGTTTTTTTCAAGTTCAACTTCAACCTGTTTATAAAAATGTCGAATAATGGAACTTTTGGCATGATAATCTGCTACATCCTAACACTAACCAAACCGATTTTTTAAACGCCAGGACATGTTTACATCAAAACTAAGTGTCAAGGTGTTTAAAAAATCAGTGTGCTAAGTGATGAAACAGTGTAATGGGCTGGTTATAAATGTTTTGGATAGAGAATTGTTCTCAAAAATAGGCAACAGTGGCAACATCGAGAACTGTGTTCTTTGAATCTGTGTCATATATTTCAACATGTCTGTCCAATATATTTCCAATTTTTTTTCAGTATCAATAAACTAGAAAAATTATTTGAAACCTGTGGTTATATAAATATTCTCACATGTGGTACAATAGTTTTTACCTGGAAGGAGTGATATCAAGATCATCATCATGGACAGGCATAACCTCAATGAACTTGTCACCATTTTCTGATGATGATGATGAGTCTTTTACTGCATCTGACTCTTCCTCCACCAGAGTTGAATGCAAATGATCATTGTTCATACAACTATCAATGTACTCAAAATTACCTGAAATAGAATTATTATAATTCATATAGTATATTTTATTGTTGAGTAATAGACATGATTTTTCAGGGTACTTTTTTTATGGGAATCTGATGGACAAAAAAATACACTTTTTTTTGCTCAGTTCGATTTCTATGACATATTCATAGCATATTTGATTAGTAATTATTTTTTTGATTTTTCTATTATTTGCAATAAGTAACCTGACTTTTTTTTCTAGTAATATTCTGTAGCATGTTTATGATGAAAAAAAAAAAGATAGGTTTTGAGGATTTTATCTAAATTCAGAACATAATATGAGCTTGATAATAATAGACTCCACCATACCTGATGCATCTCTTGGTAGTTCCCCTGTACAGTCTTTGGGAACTTTAGGTATACACTTTTTGTGTGCATTATAGTTGCAATCCTTGCACTGCAGCCCTTGCTTGTACAACCCTTTGAGTAATTTTTTGCAATACTGACACACAGTTGGTCGAGTGTAGGTGTGTAAAACAAAAGTATGTGGAATTTTGACTCTGGATGATAATTCTTTTTCAACCCAAACAGGCCTACCTCCCAAAGATGGCGATCTATTATTACTCTGCAAATAAATGGATCATTTTTTCTAGAAATGTAGTATTGAATGCCTGCACTGGAATGAGTACATACTCCAAAAGCAAAATTGATTTTGATTATAGCTTTCAGTCAATTACTGCAGAGTTGTTCATCTCAAAATATGAAGACTTGGAAGAAATTGGTAGCTCTATGACTTTTGGAAAATATATGAAATGTAAAAAACTTGACAAATGATTAGATTTCCACAAAATTCTAAATAACAGGACATACTTTGCTAACACAGTAGCTTTTTCAAGTGAAATATACTGGTACAATTAACTCAATAATTGTTTATTGCTTGATTGTAGTATTTCACTTGAAGAAGCTACTGTCTGTCATGTTATTAAGAATGTTGTGGAAATCTTATCCCTTGTGAAGTTTTTCATATTTACTATGGATTTCCATTAAGTAACTGCTGAGTCAATTCAGAAAACATAGTTTGGTTCAGATAATTTTTGAAACTTTCTTGTTAATTGTTGGATTTTAAAGATATGGGTGTTTTTAATGGAAACAATTTTTTTTTCAATAATGCCAAATTTGTTGTACTATAAAGAAAATATATACTGCAACAAAATGCTCCTCACACTCAAAGCCATGAATATAAAATTATATACAATTCTCTATTTGAATTGAGAATCTAATTTGGTGTTTGTAATATTTCAGGAGTTTTCAGACTGTATCATAATAATTTAATATAATATCAACAACATCTACTATCTACCTCATTCAAAATTTCCCACAAATATTCAAAAAACATTAAAATGACTGAATATTATCAATGATTTTAGATCCACCACCACACTGGGGAAACTGAATAAAAAAAAACAAAACTTGATTAATATAAAAATTTAATTATGACAAAAAATAACTATACAAAACATAAAAATTTAAAAAAAATATATGTATGAACCTTCACCACAAAGAAAATAATTCTAAAAATAATATATTGGACGGATTTATCCTTGTCATAAATTGAGCTACATAAAAGTACCCTCAAATCTCATTAGTTATTATTCATAAAAAAGTCTGCTAACTGAAATGCTAACAGTAATGATGTGAAAATAATACTGATACAAATACTGAAGACTCAATCCAGAGTAACACCAGTGAAAAAATTTGCAAGTCTTACCAAGCCACTATCCTCAGTTTGTGTAGAATTTGCTGAAGCCAAAGAAGTATTTGAACCACCTGAAGGACTTCGTGGTACCTGGAGATTTGTTGACCTTCTTCTTTGTTTTTCCTCTGCCAAAGTATAAGTACAATTGTTTGGCACTTTTACCACACATCTCTTATGGTAATTTTGACCACAACCTAAAGGTAAACATTCAGATTCCAAAATACAACTCACTAATTATATAATTAATAATTATAAAATGAATCAACTCACCATCACATTTTAAACCTTGTCTGACTAAACCAAAAAGCATCTCTCCACAAAAATCACAAAATGTGGGTGTTTTGTAAGAATGAACTGAGAGTGCATGTGGCCTTACTATTGTTATGTCTGGTCCAGAACATTCTGTCATCACTGAAAATAGCAATACAATAAAGTCATTCATTGGGCATTGTAATGAAAAGTCCCTACCTTTCCCAGTTAATACAATTTCAATTAGGGTCTCATCAGTAATTTCAGAAGCTGAGTTGATCAATTGTAATATATTATTCGAATTGTAAGCATGACGGAATAATAACAGCCGATCTTCCAGCTTGTTCACTCCATGATCAGGAATCTAAAATTTGCAAATATAACAAAAGTAAAAAACTCATGTTCATTACCAAAAATTTTGTTCTGGTGAGGATACAGGATACAGTACTTACCTTGGAAGTCAGGAACGTACAGGCGAGATTCTTGATAGTTTTGAGATTAAGGGATGACTGTGGTACTGTAATAGCATCTCTCACAAGGCCAAATTGAAAGAGGAATGTCACCTCTGGTCCCTGTTGTTCTTCCATTTCTTCTAGGTCCTGCAAAAGTATTTGTAAGGAAAAACTGAAATATCAGAGACTTTTGAGAGAGCAATACTCTAATATTTACCGTTATTTTTACAAGACCACCTGACATAAGTATATACAAAAACTTCTTACCGCAATTCAATCAATAATTAGATCATCGGCTTGTGATAAAGTGTGATCCGGTACACACATCCGGTCGGGTTTTTTGAGAGAGAGAATAGGTAACACTTCAACACAATTAATAACAAATTATCATATAAACGCAAAAAATATGAATATGTGGTAACCTTCCTTAACTCTTGTTTTCGATTTTTGTTTATTCAGTTTTTTTCATGTCAACAATGACAATGACAGTACAGTACTGACACTGACCCAGTGTTGCCGTTTCAGAATTTCAATTTGTACTAGAAGCCATACCGAAACTGTACTAAATTCAAGTATACTGTACTAAATTGAGAAAATAACACTTCAAAATTTACGATCCACACATTTGATGAACAGCTTCATATTCATGTATAAAAATTCAAAATAATAATATACAGCACATTAAAACACCTCTGAAAACCGTAGGTCATGAAAAAATAATTATGACTAATAAAAGCCGAAAATAAGAGATGAAAAGGAAGATCAGATTAGAGATTGAGATCAAATACTATCATACTATCAATAAGATGTAATAGATGACTACTTCATGGAAATAACTTACATTTAATTTATTTTTGGTTTAATTTAATTTTATCGTATGCGAGTGAATCGTCCATTGTAGAAATATCATAAATGCATTCAGAAATACTTATTACGCATGCTCAGAAACATAAATATGGTTACTTTCAGATTTATATATTGGTACAACTGACGCTAATGCTCAATGGACATCTTATTTTCAATGTTTTTTTTTTAGTTGTTATTCGATGTTGGTCACAGCGTACCACAACATGAAATCGCCGGCAGCACTCTGAAGATTCACAAGAATCGATGTTCTATAGTTGTCGAGGCTCTTGTTAGCATGAACCTGGGGCAAATAATATATATTTGGAACTTCTATTTTTTTTAACTTCATGAAATGTACTATACATTTTAGTGTAACAATTTATATTACCTAAATGTAAATACAGTAAATTGAATATAAATAATTTCTATGGACTGTCCATCAAACTTCATAGTCAAATCAATTCATCAAAAGCAGCTCATTGTTTCTCCAAAGAATAGGTTCGTTGAATTGGAAATTATAGACTTTTTATCAATGAGGGCTTCATTAGGATTTCAAATCATTGTTTTGTATGCAATAATAGCTTGGACTACCTCATGGTATGGTAGGGTCCCTTGATGGAAATTGACTTATCCTCATGGGGCTATCCGGCCAATGACGGATCCGGCTCTTGTTTCTGTACTAGATTGGTGTTGAATGTGTATGAAATGTGCTAGAAAAGTAAATGTACTGAAATCAGCAACTCTGCACTGGCCATTACTTATATAAGGACGGAAAGTGAAGAATGGAAACATTGGAAACAGCCATATTGGTTTGATAAGTTTCGGATCATTTTTCCCCTACGTCGGCATCAACGCCTATTGGTCGATTTCAGACATAACTTGGTCCCGCTTTGAGAACAGTTACGCTTCATATATGAGTAGTAGATATATGATCGCATCTCAAGTTAAAGTTCAGTGATCTCAATCGCATGCATGTCACATTGGCACGTCAAGGCAAAAAAATGTCAAACGTCAAACATTTTGATCCAAAATAAACAAGAAGTCAAATGTGATACGTGATTATTATATTATAATTTTATTGTGCTGATAATACATTATTCCATTTGTAAACCTACAAATATTCTTTGCCTGAAGAAATTCAATATATATATCTGTATAAATCATGTCCTACCAATTATACAGGAATACAACTTTGGGACACACTCTACAAGAAAGTTTGGATGAGCTGATCCAGGTAGATAAATATAAATAATAAGAATTTCGAGGAATAAAAGAGTTGGTTCGTGAATATTCAACTCTTCTGTGATTTTGATTCTCTTGTATTCTCTCAATGATATCAATAAATTATGAAACTACTTAAATGATAATCTGACTTTTTTGTTTTCTTGATGATTGATGTGTTTTATATAATGGATTTGTTTTTCAGTATGGACAAATTACTCCACAATTAGCTTGTAAAGTACTATTACAGTTTGATAAATCCATTAACCAGACTCTGGCCACTAGAGTTAAAGCAAGATTAACTTTTAAAGCAGGAAAACTCAATACCTACAGATTCTGTGACAATGTGTGGACATTCATGCTCAATGATGTAGAGTTTAGGGAAGTTCAAGAGATTACAAAAATTGATAAAGTGAAGATTGTTGCATGTGATGGAAAGAGTGAGTATTTCTTTGAATCCTCTTGTTGATATCCTGTGATAATTTTCCATTGTTTTCCAGATCTTGCTGATGAAGGAAGTTCAAAAAAGTAATAGTGAGGATCTCATGTATCTTGTGTGATTTTGTAAATAGACTTTATTTTATGCTTCATGTGTTTTTTAATTTCAATATCTAATAACTATCCAGCATTGTCCTATGTTTTTTGTTATATTAAGTTTCATTGATATTGAAGGTGTGAATTCAGTGTGAATAATTCAAATATCATTATTCAAACCTTGTTTTTTCATTGTTCCTTCAATCCAGTTACTGGAGCCAATAATTTTAATTTGAGTGCTTGGTCAGTACCACCAAATTATTACTTGGTGCTCAGTTGATGGTTATATGAAGTGGTTTTCAATATGGGTCTTTCCAGGGGTGTTTGAGGAGCATGATGATCAAAGATTACAAATTACAACATCCTGCTTTCCAGTTACAACCGACATCTATGTTGTATTGGTTGTATAAGTTTTAGGAGTAACCGTTTTTACTGTGCAAAAAATATGACTCAACAGTTTCATCTTTCATCTTTGTTTACGAAGTGCGATGAACAAAAATAAGAAAACAATTCAACTTTTGCAGCACAGCAGCTGATTGGCCAATTCACACTATTTAGGTCATTACTCATTTGTCCCAATCAGCTGATATCTGTCAATGGTTTCTGGTCATTCTGGTTTATTTATGTATGTATGCTGGTTTTATGTCACTGTTGTGTGTGTTGATGTTGATCCTGTTTTTCAAAATTAGGCTAAAAATTAAAATTATGTAAAATTTCCTTGCCTTTCTGAAGTCATCATGATTTTACGGATGAAAATCAATTACTGAATATGGTATGGAAAATTTGATTATGAAATTGAGCCCAGTTTCTGGTTGAAAATATTTATGCTCTCTGGTGTATTTTACATTTAAAAAAAAGTTGATATATTGAGGCACATAATGGATAGAGGGGCATACGAGAAACTGAGCATAAGAGAATCTGCATCATCCCTAAAAAAATATGGAAGTACCAGCAAACACTTAACTAGAAATGAAAATTATATCAAACACTTTGTATCTAATGCTGATACATTGCAAGGAATATCACTAAAGTATAATGTAACAGTAAGGTGTTATACAAATTAGCTGCAGTGAATGTTTCTAATGCTTCACCTTCTAGATTGAACAAATTCGTAGAGCAAATAAATTGTGGGCTTCTGACAGCCTGTTCCTAAAAGAGTTCCTCCTAATTCCCAGTACTGAAAAAACTGAACCAAGTAAAAATGAAAAACCAGGGACTACTTCTGAAGTAATGTCACCTACCACTTCTAGTTTTGATGATGATAATGATAATATAGATGATTATCTGAGTAAAATTGATGCTGCTATTGCATCAACAAAAGAGGATATCAGGAAAACTACAAAGAAAAGCGAGTAAGTACTCTCTGCAATCTCAATTTGACAAACTTTTCAAATGTATTTGTAGGTTTGCAGTAAATTCAGATTTTACTGGAGATCGTCGCCAACCTGCTATTTCAAGAATGAAACAGAAGGTGAACAATAATATCTCAACAGATCATCATTTACCACACACAGTTGTAGTGCAGCAAGGTAAAAAAATCCGTACTTCTCTGCACCTCCATGAACAACAACAAGAAGAATTATTTGAGTTGTAGCAGCCTAACTGAATTTGTTTTTTGTTAAGTATAAGATGTTGATTATTTAAATTACCTACAGCAGCTGTGGGTGCCCAAAGAAATGCAACTAGGCTTCAAATTATTGGGACTTTGATGAATATTAATAATCATAGTTATGTTCCAACTCAACTATTCAACTATTGATTATTATGACTGAAATTTGTGCAAATGCTAAAAAACAGTGAGTATTAGCTATTTGAATTGTGTTTATATGGTATGAACTTGCTTTTGATAAGTTGTAATTGAAATGCTGTTTACTCATATAATTTAGTTGGATTCATGAATTCAGCATAACAGTGATTTCCTTCCCTTATTCTTTCTTTTTTAAGACATTTCATTTAATGAGACATTAGAGGTACCTACACAAGCATATATATTATAATGTTATAATCTGTTATGTATTTGTATGTAAATTATATGAGTATGATCTGTATATATATAGATATATCAGGATCAGGTAGGTGCATATGTCATATTTATATATGGAGATTTTTGTAAAAATAAGAATATGAGATTAACAAATTATATTGAAATACATAGTTACTGATTATTATAAATAATAAGGTATCAAACAACTAGTCTTTCAAATACATAATAAATTGAGTGAATTATTTTTTTCATAGAAACAATTAACAGTACAAAATTTGTTTCACTCCAAGTGTAGTTACATGTGAAAAGTACATACCTACCCATAATGGATGAAATGTTTACTGTAAAGACATTAACAAAAAATTTAGGAACTTTGGCAGGTATGATGACACAATTGGGTTTAGTAATGAATTGTTTATTTATTTTATTATTACTGTTATTTTTCAAGATACAGCAAATTATAGATTCTTCAGAATATCCTCAATTAGATCAATATAGTGATGATAAATAAATAAATAATATCTTACATTAAAATGTGATGTGAGCTTTTTTCGTTCAGATAGGAAGGCATAATATCAAATTGTTGCCTTTTTGATAAGCTGATTCTTGCATGATTAATTTGGAGACTTGAAAAAAACTGTCAAAATGCTCTGTGTAATATATATTAACTCAACAGTGTAACATGAAATATTATGGTGAATTTCAGAATCTATGATTGTTTTTAACTTAATCTAAAATATTTAAATAATAATTTCTTTCACAACAGTAGGTAACATTGAAAAACAACTGATAACATTTCAACAATTTAACATCATTTACTCAACAATTCTTTGATTCTCATGTCATTTCTTAATATATTGCTATGAGTCATTGTTATTTCTTGTTGTTGTTTATTGATTTCTTTTTGTAGTTGATCCAAATGTGCTGTAAGTGGTTTATTGGCTTCAATGCTGATCCTAAAAAACCAAGAGAAACATTATCCACATACTTCTTTTCCGGTCATCTCCACACCTTTTAATAATATATAGATCATCAGCAGAAGATACAAAGATATGTAGAGAAAATGCATCTTTGTACTTCCAGATAATATTGACTAATCTCTTGGATAACTTACTTCTTCTGTTTGATAATTTCCTCAGAGAGTTGCCTTTTGGTGTTGGACCATATTTGAAGTTCATTGTGCATAGCATCAATATCTTCATGCAAATAATTTATCAATTTTCCCAATGGGTTTGCTGTTTTCGTCAATTTCTGTATCAAGCCACGAAGATTCGATACGTCTTTATGTGTCCCATCCGTAGAATGGAATGCTAAAAAATACATTTTCATTTTCTGCAAAACCCTTATTTGTTTAATTAAGGCCAAAACTAATATTTTGTTTGCATTCATTACAATTTAGGTGCCAATAGTTGAAAAAGCGTTTTCACATTTTTTCCAAATGAGGCGCAACATTCGAGTTTTTGGTTGTGTTAGAAATTACTAAAATGAACCTTTTTAAACGGTCATATTTCGGAAACTTGATTTCAGCAGTGAAGTCTATTGAAAAAAACTGTTATAATATAGTGTTAGGAGAGCCGGCTGCGCAAATTCTATTGTATCGAATGGCACCTGATGTGCCAATCGATCACTATCCTGAGCAAAATGATTGAAAAATTTCGCGATTTGAAAACGAGAATGAGAATTATGATGGCTATCCTATACCAATAATACCCGTAAAACTTCTCAGTCTGAGTCAAATCCGCCACGGTACAACGATTTATTGGCTGGCATTCATTCCGGAAATACTTCCGTCATGGGATACCCTCATAACACACTTATGTCCCATGGATATCCTTAGGACGTCCGGTCGGGTCATTCAGGACGTCGATAGGACGTTCGAATTTGGTACCGTGGACGTCCATCGGACGCCTGTGGGACGCACAAATGTCCCACTTGAGGACCAACTAGGGACGTTCATGAGGGATGTCCCTGGGACAACTATCGAGTACCTAAATCCTGCAGTATTCCTCATCAAGCACTACAGAGGACGTCCTTAGGATATCAATTGGATGTCCATAGGATGTCCCAGGGACGTACGAATTATTCTTGAATTTGAATTTTTCTGGGTCCCTCTAGGACCAGATCTTGCATAACTGATTAGGACATCCAGTTGAGTTGATGGTCCGTAGAAGGTCCTCAAAATGTTTCCCATGGATGTCCAATGGACTTACGTGAAGGACATTGACGAGGAGTACTTATAGCCTACAAGCAATCATTCGTCGGCGAGGTGTAATTTAACGTTCTCGCAGGGACAACATATTGAAAGTACCGACTGGGACGTCCATAGGACGACGTTATTTCTAGGACATTGGAAGAGTACAGTTCATATGTACATCAAAATGGGACATCCGACGGATATCCCTAAGGGACTTTTCGATTGTTATACGATCCTGGAAATATTAAGGGGGTCTGTGCAGATATTTGAAGAAATGTACCATCAGGGACATTTCATGGTTGTCTAGAAGGAACATTATATAGGATCTGAAGTCATGCCAGAATATGTACTACTCGGGACATCCGATGGATGTCCCTAAAGGAACATTTAAAATCATATCCCATCAGGGACATGCCAAGGACGTCCTTGCATGGACATTCTACAATATGTACCACGTGGGACGTCTAAGGGATGCTATTTCTAGGACATTTGAAATGATATGTACCGGCTGGGACATTCCGTGGACGTCCTTGCTCGGACATTGCATGAGATGTACGGGATGGGACGTCCCAAGGACACTTATTTTTGGTTCGGGACATTCGGACGTGAATTGTACAAAATAGGGACGTCCCTAGGACGTTGTGCTATCAGGGTATAACGAGTTGAAACAAAAAGCGAATGAAAGGGGATTATGTCCCTTTTGCGAAATTTTAAAGATGATGCAGCTATTTAAATTGATTTACTATTAGTTATTAGTATGGCCAGTGGCAGAGCGTCAATTATATTTTCGAAAATATTGTGCCCCTGTCGAAAGATAATATCCGATGAACCATATGTAAAACTCATGTTTTTTTTATCAATTATCGTAGCGCACGAAAGGAAATCCCTATAATGTTCAAAGAACATCGTGCGTTCCTAGGGAGGATAGAGAGAGGAGGTAGGTATTGGAATTTTTTTTTAACTTCTGGAGAATATATGTTGTTGGGAATACTTCCTCAGGCAATGAGTTCCAGAGCCTAGCCGTTCTATGGATGAAGGAGTTTTGATAAAGTGCTGTTCGACATCTTTCGAGGTTGACAACGAAAGGATGTGCTGACTGGGCTTGTCTAGTTCGTCTGACAGGTATTGCTAGTGAAGGGATGATAGCAGTTTCCGAAGCACATTTCCCGTGGAAGTATCCATAGAAAAGTTATTATGACCTGTATTACATGTTGTGGTAGCTCTCGCGTGTCCCATCAATTTCGGGACACTCTGTATATACCTTCAGTTTCCCAGTCGATTTCCGTCTTCCTCTTTCCATCTCCCTCCTCGGCGATTTGCTCCAGTATCTGTTCCACCAACTGTCCCTTATTCTCCGCAGACACCTCCAAAGGGCCTAATTTCTCATCGGGCGCCTCCCCCACAGTTTCTATGACGACAGTCTCTTCGTCGTCCGCCGCATCCACGTTCTCCACGATGACGTTGATGTTGCCCATCGTCACTGGTTCTTTGATGGGCAGCGCCGAATCGGGCCTGAGTCGGGGTGCCCCCGGTCTGGCGCTGGACGGTCTCACGCTGGGCGGGCGCAGCGAGCTCTTCGGCCGATTGGTGGGCTTATTTTGCTGGGTGGCTGGAACACAGAAATTTTTTATTTATTGAACAAATAACTTCTAGACAGAATAGGCTCTCTGGTATAAGGAAGTACAGAGTGATTCACCATAAATGCCCCCCCCCCCTATAGCTCACTTATCTTTGAACCGATTTGAAAATTTGAAAAATAATGTAGAATGGTTTTTCAGATTTTTTTTCCCGTTGCATCAAAAAATACAGGGTGCTCGGAACAAACTGCATTTCATTGTCTTCTTGATTTCTTCCTGAAGAACTGATTCTATCAATACATCACACTTGGGGTCTAGCGGGAATGAATACAGAGATATAGGGTGTTTCAACTTTAGGATTTTTTCGTGTCGAAACTGTTCATTATTGGTCAAAACGGCTTGTATGTCTATATATCTCAACTTTTGATTTACTATCTACTGACATTAAATTGGAATATTTACAGAGTGGTTCAAGATTCAGAATTCTGATCATCCTGTATCCAATTATTGAATGTCAGTAGATAGTGAATCAAAAGTTAAGATACGGACATGAAAACCGTTTTAACCGATAATGAATAGTTTCGTCACAAAAAAATCCTAAAGGTGAAAAATCTCGATTTTGAACACCCTATATCTCTGTAATTATTGCCGCTATACCCTGTACATAATTATATACCTATAGGTAAATATATCATTATTCAAAATATATCAACAACTGTAAATTGGCAAAGAATAATATTTGTAAAAAAAAATTTGCATGAATAATTTATCCAGTTCGCTCAGAAATAATCAGTTTTTTTACTTCATTTCTGAATGTACCTATATTTCTGCAATTTTTTATATTGCCAGGTAGTTTATTGAATTCAGTTAAGGCTGAATGAGTGAATCTTTTTTGTCCGATTACGGAGCTAGCGGCGTCAAGATGAAACAATAAGTTATATTATCTAGTTTCATGATTATGCGAATTTCAGAATTCCGTATCAAAATAATATTCGACTTCAATTTTTTATTTATGATATTATATGATATTTTAAGAGTTTTAATTATATATATATATTTTTTATCTAAAGAATAATATAATAAACCATTGTCAATTTGGTTTTCAAGGGGAAGACCACTGAGGGAAGAAATCCGTACAAACCTCTTTCAATCGACGAATCATGATTTACATTTTATGTAAAATCAATATTATGAGTTGAAGTTGAAGGAAATCGAATCTATATCGTGTTGAAATCAGCATATTTCATTCGATATTTCGAACAGCCAAATATGATGGTGGAGTCGTGACGTATTAGTCCCGAACTGTAGCTATCTCTCTCTGATACCTCTTCATTTTGCAGTGTTGCAGTGTAATTGGCCAGTTCAAGGACAATAGGCGTGTTGGGACTGAGACGTCGCACCAGTCACACCAATGAATTGATGGCACAGGAATTGTGTGTTTTGAAATGGACATATACTAATTTATTTTTTTCATCGTCTTAGCATAAATGAAAAAATTCAAAATTAATTCACTAGTAGTTTTTCAGTATAGAGTTCACGAAAATGTCGTTTTAAAAAATCAGTGGTCTTCCCCATTTTCTCTTCACTGCAAAATACATATTATATTTAACTCTGAATGCTGAATGATATGGAGAAGCAGCTGCAGCAGTATTCTGCGATTTTTCAAAAGCTTTCGATTGCGTTCACCATGAATTACTGCTGCAGAAGCAGTTTTAATCTTCTCCTTAAGATGCTAACATATAGTTAGCGAAACACGTGTCGAGGCGTTTAAAAAATCGGTTTGATTAGTGGTAAAACAGTGTAGTGTATTATCGTGCCAAAGGTTCCAGTCTTCGATATACAGGGTGTCCCGAAATAATAAGCCTGCAAAACTTCACTAGCAGCTTCTATACGATTAAAAATAGGGAGAAAAGTTTCAATAAACATGAGACAAGATATTTCTCCTAAGGGAGCTAAGGCCCCCTGAGAGGGGGCTCCTGAAGCCCAGATAGCACAAAGACATCTTTAAGACATCCTAAAGACATCGTTTTCAGACGTTCACAACGTCTTTAAGACGTCTATGGACGCCTTAGAGACGTCTGAAAGACGTCCTCTATAGGCCGGATGTTAAAAATCACGACGTCTTTAAGATATCTTTATAATGTCTCTTCTGAGTCTTATAAAGGCATAGAAAAGACATGAGAAAGACCTCATTTCTGAATGGATTTCAGGGTTCCTCTGGGGATTAATTAAAGTGGAATTTGAAGTATTTGGATGTTAAAAGTATTATTCAATAACTGTTTTCATTCCTATGTTATTCAAGTCAAAGTGCCAGTTATGAAACAAACATGTAGGTACATACAACACAAAAAAATAGTTGATCTTTGTGACATTTATTTGAAAAGTACAACTACCAAGGACAGGTTTGACATTTCCAGAAAAGAAGTTGCTCGTCCACCCTGTTTGTGATAGGAAAATTGAGAATATTCATTATGTTTCATATAACTGGTCTCTTCATTTTTTTTCTCAAAACAGGGCATCTCATCTACAGGAATACTGATTGTATTAGTCCCTCTGTTGATTGCTTTTTGAGTCAACCAAGCATATTCATATCTCTGGAAGATCCCACATTCTTCCTGAAAACAATGATATAGAGTTGAGTTTCAGGAGTGTACCAATATCATTATTAGGGAGAGTTCTTCTTACCTGACACACACAGTGGACTGTAAACATAATAAGGCATAATACTTATTATACTTCAATGCAATCATTTGCATCCATTTGACCAGCCAAAACCAGGTGGCCCGCATTTATCAGCTCAGCTTCATTTTGGAGACACTGAATCACTGAAAAAGTGTAGACAGATTGAAATGCACAGGCTAACTGGCCAAATCATAAGAATTCTTGTTCAATAATGATAAAAACTTACAGCTTATCATTATGTTGGTATAGGTTTTAGGTTCAACATTCCAACTAGAGGTAGGTAGGTGTTCTACTGTTAAACATCAGAGATATTATTGTGAATGTTGGTATAGGTTTTAGGTTCAACATTCCAACTAGAGGTAGGTAGGTGTTCTACTGTTAAACATCAGAGATATTATTGTCCTCAATCAAAACAAAATGAACCACTGGAAAACACGGATTCAAAAAATTCACAAATATCAAAGCTGAGATTGATTGAGAACTCAAAACGAAATTAACATAAACACACCTCTCAATAAACACTATCACCAAAACCAAACAATGTAAAATGTAAACAATCGAATAGTACTGGCATTCGCCGTTCTGGCTCTGGCGCAACGATCTCTCATTCGTTTGACATGGCGGTATTTTCAAATCATCCCACCCGATTTATAAAATAACTTACTCTGAACAATCTGTAACCTCTATGTATTACGGTGAAGTTATAAAAATTATGAAATTAAAAATATTCTATTAGCCTGAATCAATATGATCATACCTATATTTTGTATTAAAAGTTCAACGCATATTATGAGAATAGAACCATAACTATATAAGTAAGTGTGGAATTCAGGAATTCTGAGAGTGGAGAACGTTCAGATATGACACACTAAAAGTCATTATGATTAATACTTATTATAATATACCAAATATCATTATTGCTCATTTGTATTATTACGATGTCTTTAAGACGTATTCAGGACGTGAGAATCAGATATCTTTAAAACGTCTGAATGATGACATCTTGTAGACGTCTTATTCAGGGAGTAAGACGTACAGACTAAGATAGGATATAATTCAGACATCTTAAAGACGTCTTGTGCTATCTGGGAGATGATATTTCTAGACTATTTTCGAAACTCCCTGTGATGAAGAGATGCAATTTGGTACAAGAACTAAGCTCTCCCTGCCCAGTGCAGTGAAAATAAAATCATTCCAAAATTTCACTCAGGAGTGTATAATACAGGGTGAGACTACATTGATATAGCTCAAAATTTTTCGTATGCATATTTTTCGAAAATTTAATCTAGGATTATGAATATCCATACCTCTTTATAGAAAAAAGGTACTCTTTATCCGTAACGATCAGGTGTATCGTTAACGAGTAAAATATAAGCGAAGCGATCTAAAAATATTGTCACTTCTCAGATATTATGCATAACATTGCAATGAGTCGTAGTTCCTTGTACCAAATAACATGATTTTTTCAAGTGGCGTTTCGGAAATAATCGAGAAATACCATCTTCAGAAGCCTCCTTTCAGGGGGGCATAGCTCCCTTTAGGAGACATTCCTTGACTTATGTTCATTGCAACTTTTCTTCCTATTTTTGGCCGTAGAAGCCGCTATTGCGAAGTTTGGCAGGCTTATTGTGGGACACCCTGTATATGATAACCCCATATGTTGTACCATATATCGGGATCTGAATTTTTTTCATAAAAATGAAAAAAATTGATAACCATCAACAAATAGATAACAACATATACGGTTATAGTTTGATCGGAAATGCCCCCCCCCTCCTACAACCCCCACGTTTTGATTCATGACTTATATGGGATACCCTGTATATGTTCCTATATATGCAATGAGCTCGGAATAGAACAAAACCTTCAACTCCTTAACCACGGGGGCATGCATTGAAGAAAAAAATTAATCAGAAACAGAGGCGATATATACAGTCTGTCCAAGATGAGGTTGAACAGCATGGGGATCTCGAAAACGGTAGGAGATACTAAGTCGGTTAAATGGGGAAAAAGTTGCGCATTCGGAGGCTCATATCAAGAGCCTTCGAACATTTGCAGAATTATTTCTAGTTTTTGAGTTGTATCGAAAAGAGTGAATTTTAGGAATATCTATTTTTTTTATCCGTTATTATCAGAGATATAGAAGAACTGAAGATACTTTTTCGTAGCAACTTTTGATGACGTTTAACGTGGTGATACCGATTTTTTTATGCGACGTTTCGTTTCCGTAGAACCATCATCAACTTTTGTTTTTTGACAGATTCTGGAAGGTTTTTTTATTCTGAATTCAACCATGTATTATAGTGTGTGATTCTAGTGTGTTTCGACCTATTTCTATCCATCATCAATGTTTTTTCGAACTTCCAAAGGAAATGTAATATCAGTTCCACTTATTTCTGATCATTTAGTGTCAAACATTGATGGATTAGTCTAGATAGATCAGATTCAATACTGAGAAGTGAATAACAAATATTTCTACATCATATTCAATGCAGCGCTTAAAATTGTTGATGAATTCTTACGCAAATTATTTTAACAACTTAACTTTGACAATACCAACAGAAACATTCATAACAAATGTTCAAAATGATAACCATTATTTTCTGAACAGAGATATCCTCTTCTCACAGTTGCTTCTAAGACTAAGCATTTCTGGGGTTATTTTTATTGAATGCTTCGATGACACTGTCCCTTAAGGCGACCGCGCTGGCCAAGGGACTGCAGAATGCGAGTGGCAATAATCCATTTTTCTGGATAAAAACGCACGGACTTCTCTGGAATTATGATTATGTACCGGATCTTGTTGAAACCAACATCAGTTCTGAACTTCCGCAATCGGTAAATCATCCCAGAGCTTCCTCAAGATGATTCTCAAGCAAATTTCTAAAACGTTCGGAAGTCTGTGTTTCATGGTAAATGAAAGGACCAATAATTCGTATAACAAATATTGCAACCCCCATATTAAAGCCGAAACGGTGTAGGTGTCTCGCTGTAATGTATAAATCATTTTCTCGTGAACAATAATGTGTATTTTTTTTATCGAAGATACCATGATTAGTGACCATGCTTTCATCAGTCCAGCTGATTGTTCCAGGGAAATCTGCATAATTTTGACATTTTGGTATACCACTCACAGAATGTCCTGCGCCTTTCGTCATCGCCTGGTTTTAGCGCTTGACATGTTCTGAATTTGTATAGATGGAATTTTTGTTTCCGCAAAATGAAATGGGATGTTGATTGAAACCAATTGATGAGGTATTAGTGTGTTGACTAATTTTCCTTCAAAATAAGTGGAACTGATATGGCATTTTTCCTTTGGAATTTCGAAAAAACATTGATGATGGCTAAAAATAGGTCGAAACACACATAAACAACCTTGTATAATACATGGTTGAATTCAAAATAAAAAAACCTTTCCGAATCTGTGAAAAAATTATCAGGACCTTATTTGAAAAACAAAAGTTGATGATGGTTCTACGAACACGAAACGTCGCATAAAAAATCGGTATCACCATGTTAAACGTCATCAAAAGTCGCTATAGAAAAGTATTTTCAGTTTTTTTGTATGTCTAATAATGACGAAAAAAAAATAGATATTCCAAAAATTAACTTTTTTCGATATAACTCAAAAAACTAAAAATAATTTTAAAAATTTTCGAACGCCTCCGATAATGCGCAACTTTTTCCCCATTTAACCGACTTCGTATCTCCTACCACTCCTACCGTTTTCGAGATCCCGCCCATGCTGTTCAACCTGCTTATCCTGGACAGACTGTATACTGCTTTAATAATAAAATAAGTGTTTTGAATCTACTTCCTACCTGAGATAATCCGAGGGTCTGCATTATTGTTTATTGGTACTACTTCTTGCCTAGCTGCGGAAAGTATTCTTTTTTCACCACTTTTTGGTCTTGCAGATTTTGGTCTAACCACCGAACTACGAGTATATTCTTCATTAGTGGACATAGATATTTCTGCCTGATTTTTATTCAAAGAGTCCAACTTTTCTCCCTGATTTGCATCAACTTGATCTTCTATAATAACATTCTGTTCTGGTAACGATTCATCTGGTTCTTTTCTACTGTTCGATGGATCTATAACATTTCCTGAAATATTTTCCATTGCTGATGCATCAGTGATGGTATCTTCAGCTTCAGTTTTGTTAGTGTCTTGTATTCTGTCGTTAACATCAACATTCCTGCTAGAATCAATGTCATTAGTTTTGGGGGATGTTTTATTTTCTTTTGAAATAACGACTGTTTCCTTTCTAGCAGACACCTGTTTTTTATCCAATAATTTCTTACTGTCATCTTTAACCTTTCTGGTCTTGGTGTCTCTATTTCTTGAAGAATCTAAAGTTGCCTTCGACGTTTTAGCCTTTGGAGTTTCATCGCCAGTATTTTTAGCCTTCGGAGTTTTAATGATTGCTTCTTCCTTGGTTATTTTTTGACGAGATTTCGTTTTTTCTTCCTTTGTAGGAATTTTCCTAACTTTTTTTTCAGTCGTACCATTATCTGATTTGATTTTATTCACGTAACTGGATGAATCAACATTGGAATCAAGTGCAATAGCTATAGCTTGTAAAAGTGAATTTGTTTTTGCTGGTTCCAGTCCAGCTATAATTTTACTTGAACGAACTGGTAGATCGATTTTAGTTGTATTCTCTGGAAAGCAAAGTGGGGTTTTTATTCAAGTATTCAAGTATTAAAACTGGTTCACTCGATCACCAATTATTATAATTTTATACTTACTGACTGCTTCGATAAGCTTGTTCAGAAATGCGACTTTGGCCTCTTTTTCTTTAACTTTGTCGGAGTTGAGTTCATCTTCAGTAAATAAACCCTTTAAGTAGTTAGTTTCGCTTACAATAGTAATGATAATATCGTGTAAAAACCTGAAAGGGGGTTTTCGCAACAATTTTTCCGTCAGTGGAGGTTTTTTCACATATTTTCCTAAACTTTTTTGCGTTTTCTTAATTAGATCTGAGCTTACGTCTTCACTCATTTTGATGAATGATTATTCTCTTTTCATTTCCATAAGTGCAGACTGCAGACACCACATTCATACAATTTTACATGTTGACCTTATTTTTGAATTTCAATATTTTTCGTCACAAGGATAAAAATGCGAAATGTTTGAATCTTGAATGTTGTCGATTTGTAAGGTTGGCATGGCAACCCAGTGACGTTTAATAGCGCATGCGCAGATGACAGTTGCCCCTGTGAAATAGCCCAGTCTCCATTTTCTATGTTCCCGAGATAAAACGGTTGTCAACATTTCAGGGGCGTAAGTTCTTTGATAGGAAAGTTTTTGAAGTTTAAAGTTTGTGTATTTTTGTTTGACGAATGTTCTTATTCTGGACTGAAAGACGAAAGTGATTTATGATCAGCATATTGGAATATTGGCTTGTAGCTAAATAAGGGCGATGTCTCCTGTCCCGAGATGGTTACATATGAAATATTTACACCAGATTCTTGAGAACCTAATAAGACATGACATATTTCTGTGGATGAATTCCCTAGAACAGAAACATAACATTACTCCAGAAATCCTCAGATACAATATCCTTTTTAGTATTTCAATTACAATAATCATCAGAGAGCTTTCTCATATCTATCTAGTCACAGAGATTAACAAACCTATCTAGTTCACAATAATCATTATCTTTATCATATTAATAATAATCAATTGTATTTATCTGATATTTCAAGAAAATGGATGGGTCTGTGATCATTTCCCATCTTAAAAAGGAAGCAGATGTAAAAACCGAAAATTCAGAGACAGTTGAGATAATTGAGATAACTGAACAAGACATTCAACAGGTCATAGAGTTACAACAAAATGTTCAAGAAACAGAAGACCCCAGTACTGTTGTTCTACAAAATATTGAAATTGAGGATGGAAATGAGCTCCCAATTATTCTACATGACTTCAGTAACAACTCTGATGGGAACCTACAGATTGATAGTATTGGTTCCTTAGAAGAAGATGTCATCCACACATACATTATTGAGTAAGTTTATAAACTAGGTTCCTGCCTCCAGAAGTTACATTTCACAGGATTAGGTCTTTTACCTTTTACTTGTGTAATATATATAGTTTGAAAATATTGTCCATGACACCCCAAATATTTTTGTTGTAGAGGTGAATATGATGAAGTAAATGGTCAAGAAATAATATACCAGGAAGTTGATGAAGATGAGGATGAAAATACTGTGCATTATGTTATCCATCAAGAAGACACTGAATATGATGAAGATCCAGATGAATTCCATGAAGATGGTAACCATACTATTAGGTACACATTTCAAGAAGCAGAAGAAAATGTTGATGAACCTGAATCTACTGTTGAATATGTTGAAGAAGAGGATTATTCTAGCAAACAAATTGGCAAAAACAAAATTGTGCAAGATAAATCAGTGCAAGAAAGCACTGAGGAAGAAATTAAGGTGCCATTCATCAAGAGAGAGGAGGACCTAATAGAATGTGATATTTGCCAAAAGTATTTCAGAACTAAAGCAGTAAGTATAAGTTATACTTACTGGTATATAAGTATAACTTTCAACTTATCTTTCTTCAAGACTACAGTTCCTCAATGGGCTATTGGCTATTTTTATTTTGACATTTTTGCACAGACACTGGACAAGCATGCAGTGACAACTGACAGTGAGATGATTTTGAAGTGAATCTTATGTTTTGTCAGACAAGGACAAGAGTATGTTTTTTCCTCAGATAAAGGCAATGAACTATTATGTAAACACCTGGAAGGGAGTTATATGTCCATGGTTCAGGCTACCAGCAGTGGCTATGAATACCTATATCTTTCTATCTTATGTTGGCTAATGGGAAGCACTGCCATTATTTGAAATATTTTCTCGTTTTTTGCTTTTATTCAAGAGTAAACGCCATTAAATATAAATATTCATTTAGGAAAAAGAATAATGATATGCAATCAATTATTCAAAAATAACTATTATTGATTTTGTTTATTGACTCAAAAGTGAAATTTAATTTTTATTCTTACAGACAGGATTAGGAAGTAAAATGAATACAAAATTGAAATTATATATTCTCATTCAAATGTCACTATATATTGTACTACAGGGTGAGCTAAGCTCATCAATGTCTCAGCACTATCAGAAGAGAAAGAAAAACGCTAGAAAACATTTGAAAAGAGGTTCTTGAATGGTATTTTAAGCCTAATTTTTGAGAGTACTATTTTTATATAAACATTTCACTATCAGAAGGTGAATGCAAGTTCAATAAAAGTACAATGTTAGGATTTGTTTTTTAAAAGATGAATATCTGCTTCACCCAGAATGTACACCTTCATTTTTTCCTTTCTGGAGAAGCTCCAAGGGCAAACCTGAAAAGACAATATGATGTAGCTCTTGAGTTTAAAAGTTTGAACCTGTAGTTTTTACCTTCAAAATGTTTTTTCAGTATCTCATCAAGATTGTCACTCTCCTTTTTACTTTTTGTTACAGTGTTTTTACTTTTCTTTGCAATATAATAGGTCTTCTCAAATGAAACAGTTTAGGGTTTCATCATCAATGAAACTTGTAGAGGCAAATCAATGTCCATATGGAAAACATCATACTCAGAATCCTAGTTATGAACATCCACACACACATCCACAGATACATCTTGAAAATAAATTACTATAGTTTTTTTAAGAATCTGAAGGACAATTTCTTCTTGTGTTGCTTGTTTTGCATCCAAAGGCAACACAATAATATGAATAACCATCGGTTATTAATTCAAAATCACAAACCTTTTCTACAACAATCAATTCACACCAACAAATTCAGTTCCTTTGAAGAAACAAAACACACCAAATTTAGCGATATTTCACATAACATAAAACAGTGAAGTTCTGTCTTTACTTTTTTGCCTGTGTAGATGAAAAAAAATCTCAAGTACTCCAATCATTGGATAAAAGGAAATTGAAACACCAATCCGCCATTAAACAACACGAGTGTGAAAGAGACAGGTATAACACAAGCTATCTTTGTTGCAGCTAACCCTGACACACTCCTTACTATTCGAGAAAACGGCAGTCTCCCTTCCAGTTGTATACATTTAGTTCAATGGATAAAGGCTTCTTGTATCTTCTTTCCTCTACATGTTCAAGGAAACGTACATCCATATATCTTTCTTTGTCTTTCATTTTTGAATGAGAGTGGGGGGAAAAGGGTAGGATAAATTATTTCTTTTTTTTTTTTATTATAGCAATTTTTTTTTTCAACAATATAAACATGTATCACACGATTTTCTTATAAGAGGATTCTTGAAATATGAAATGATGAGGATGAAGGACCTCAATGGAGGCGGATTGCAAGTTGATATGTATGTACATATATACCAATGGAGTAGATATACTATTACAATGAAATGATAATTAACTGAGCGGAAAGTATATATCTATACTTACGTTCATATAGGGGTTCAGTTGAATAATTGTTGTAGCAAAAATGTTCAGAATGGGCTAAAAATCGACAAATTACAACTAATAAAACATACATTTATTTTAGATCAAAAATGTTTGCTCATACAAGAGTGGTAGATGTATAGGAACCCATAATATGACTATATACAGAGTTTTGCGCTCGACTCACTATGGATCGTCCTTCATATTGCTAGAGTGGTTGTTGATTCGTATCCGGCCATCGAAAGATCATTTTCAATAACATCAAATGGTGCACGGGTTGAAGTGTTCTTGCCCTTTCATCATCTCTTGGCACCCCATAAGTTTTTCAAAATCCACTATAAGTTGTAGTGGTCAACTGGGCACAAGTTCAGAGTTCAGACTTGAGATTTCAACTTTGAAGGAAGGGATACACAAACAATCCATTTCTTAATCTTCGAAGGAAGCAATACACACATAATCCTTTTCTTAAATAGGTACATCAGACTTCCACAAAGTGACTATGTTTCACAAAATGTACAGTATTGTTACGGTTGGAAAAAGCTTTCCACACATTTCTCAATTTGACAAACCTTTGAAATTGAGGTCATGTACGTTCATGTACTGTCAGTTCCCTTTATTTTTCATCAATTTATTTGTGGTTATGTCTAACTGTCAGTGCTTATTGTCATAGTGTCCGTACTCTCAATATTTCAAGACTATACACTTGAAATCATTTTAGGCGCTCAAAAGACACATTTCAGTGAATCATCAAGCCAAAAATGAAATGGATGTGGATGATCCATTGACATTAAAATTATGCTTATGTTGTGGAGAACCTTCAGATTCTGGTCACACTGTAAGTAGTATAGAAAAAACAATTAACTATGTTTTAATACTGTCTGTTTTCATTTTCATGATGAGGTATGGTGAAGTTGAGAGTACTTAAAATTACTATTTCAGGTTGGAGATTTCAAATGTGAAACTTGTGGCAAACTGTTTGTCCAAATGAATTACTTGCAACGTCACATTAGCATTGAACATCCTATAGATGAACAGTATGCTTGTTCAGATTGCAAGAAAGTGTTCAAGATCAAAGAGGAACTCCTTGAACATATGAAAATCCATCCCATTAAGACTGTGAAGTGCCTTGATTGCAATAGGGAATTCAGTAGGAAATACCACTTGGACAGACACATTGGACAAACTGGGTGTATGGGACACCCTAGGAAAGCATATGACTGTAGGGTAAGTATTTTTCCACCTATTCAGAGCCAAAACTATCCTCATAAGAAATATTTGTTATTCAGTAGTCTCGTTTTGGTACTGAGATGCTGAAATAACAATATTTCTATATAGATACACTTTTAGGTATGCAATAAATTTTTTACCCGTAAGGACAATTTGGCTGAGCATCTGAGGGCTCATGCAGGGCAGACCAAGAAGAAGAAAAAATATACTTGTGAATTTTGTAGTAAAGATTTCCATGGCATCTCTTTGCTGAATATCCATATTAGAACACACACAGGTGACCATTTCTTAGTAATATTCTATAATAGTATCATTTGAAATTTCTAAAAAATTATAAATATTGAAGGAAAACTTGGATTTCATTTGATACCTGTTTTAGCACATGTTACATTTCATGTAAATAATGAATATAAAATATATAATTTCAAATTGAGAATAAAAATCGGATAGATGAAAAAAAAAAGATTTATGGTTTGAATTTCTGATGAGAGTACGGTTTAAATTAACATAACAAGATTTCAGAGTTGCTCATTTGTACCTACCTGATAAATTACCTTATTTTTCTATATGTTTCAAATAGGTGAGAAGCCTTACCCTTGTGATCTCTGCCCAAAAAGTTTTCCTTCCAGTGGAGCCATGAAAAAGCATCGGCGAATGCATACAGGAGAGAAACCATATCGATGCGATAAGGTATGTTTCTTTTTTGAAAGCAGAATAGAGCCATCAATTTCCCAAATTTTATATGTTTATAAAAAATTCAGTTCATCCAATTTAATTGTGATGATCCTGGCAAAACTTAGATGGGACAGACTAGGAGAACTAATCAAACATAGTTCAAGGAACATTTAGTACATTTGATACATGATAGATCAGATGCAACATTTTTATTTGATCACAATCATAATACAAATTTAATTAACTGGCATAATTTTCAAGGGGTGATATCCGTGTTTATGTAGGATAGTTACAATTTTTTAAGTACTTTTGCCAATATGGTTAGATGCATCCGTAGTGGAATAATTGGGATTTTCTGAATATAATTATATTTTTCAGGAACACAAATATTTACTTCATAAGTAATTCAATGTTTGTTCTACCTTGGTAATAAAGCCATATTTCCAATTATCCATCTTCATCAGCAATGACAGTGCGTCTTTTTTTCATCTTCACTGAAACCCATATTTCTTCCGAAATTCTATGCAATGAACATATGACAGAACGTTTTATTGATGACAACTTGCGTATGTGTTGTTTTTTCTTCATGGCAATTGCGATTTGGTGAAATCAAATTAAAACTAAATCTAAAATGTTCAACCTCGAATATCTCGAAAACGGCTGAACCAAATATCAATGACCAATATATTTTTGGAATCAGGAAGAAAAGATCTTGGAATTTTTTCGAAAAATATATATAGGGTGTTCAATTGAATATAACGAAGTTGGTACCCATTTCCTATATCAGCGATATTCATTTGTTTCATCTGGTATAATTTTCTAGAGGTTCAGAACAAACCCTACAACTTTTGCATGCGAAGTTTTTCTCTATCTTCAATGATAAACCCTGTAGAAGCTGTTTAAATACACGTAATGACCGTGTACCATTCATTCAATATTCAGGGGGTGAAGTAGTACGTTATCATTTATTTTCGTCGCAGTGCGACAAGCAATTCGCAGCCAAGGAGACCTTGAACCGGCACTGTCGCACCCACACCGGCGACAAGCCGCACAGTTGCCAGTTCTGCGGCAAGGCGTTCATCCAGCCGTCGCAGCTGCGCGCGCACATCTTCCATCACACCGGCGAGAACGCGTACACGTGCCACTACTGCGGACGCGCCTTCAACCGCAGGCTCAGGCTCACCCACCACATCAAGTTCATGCACGAGGTAAACAAGAAGAAGATTTATACCGTTGTGGTTCTAAACTCAGAGTAATAGGTCTCGTGTATGGTGGAATTATAATATGGTGTGCTAAACATCTTCGTATACGTCACTGCGAGTAAAACAATTGCTCACAGTTATCAATTCGTCCAGTGATCATTTTGACATTATGCGTGAAAGTCAGGAGTAGCATAACATATAGTATATTTCCACCATAGCAGCGTGCACAAAATGTCAGATGACCGACCGATGGACAATCTCACTAACCTCACTTTTTTTATTTGTTTACATAGGTCGCGTACACGTTGACCGTCCCTGGACGTAAAACATTGAAACACATCCTCACTTTTCTTATTTGTTTACCAAGGAATCAAAGAATTGAAATAGTTTTTCACAATATTTTGGCATATGAATTTTGTTTTTTGGGCTATTCATTAATTCAAGCATGCCATCACATTCTCCTGTAGTAGGTTGCACAAAAAATGCAGCGAGAGACGAAGGGATATGATTTTTCAGGTAAATAGTTATCACACAGTTTTGATAATGAAATTTTGTCATATCTGCAATAGAAGCTCATACTGCTAATAGAGTGAATACGTCTACAACACGCATTATATTTCGTCAGCATGTCAGACCAGTCCTCCCGTTTGATTCCATGAATCAAATCTTCTTGAATTCTTTTAGAAACTTCACGAGTATTTCTATTAGCTCCTATTGCAGAAGGAATTCCTATGAGGAATGATAAAATTTCAGAATGAAAACTCTATGTGAATGACTATAGTACTTTATTTAAATCACAATGTACCTACTTACCTGAAAAATTGGATTCCTTCGTCTCTCGCTGATGCATTTTTTGTGCATTGTACAACAGCACAATGTGATGGGATGCTTGAATTGATGAATAACCCAAAAAATCATAATTCCCATGCCAAAATATTGTGAAAAAACTATTTCAATCCATTGTAATCAAATAAGAAAAGTGAGGTTGTGTTTCAATGTTTTACCTCCAGGGTCGGTCATCTGACAGATCTCGCACGCAAATCATAGGATTGAAATAGTGTTCCACAATGATTTTGGTGTACGACTCTAGATTCATTACTAAATGATTAAAAGTGAGATAGATAATAAATTAGACTCAAAAGGTTTTCAAACAATAAATAACCACTCATTTATTAAAACCATATATCGTATTTGCATTCCAAATATTCAAAATGTCTTCCTTGAATTCAAACTCCAATTACTATGCATTTTAATGTATTGATATATTTATCAATTTATTCATTTATTTAATTTTTTTGTTGTTAGGGGGCAGAACCATTGCCTTGTGAGGAGTGTGACAAAACTTTCTACAGGAAGGAAGACCTAGCTAGGCATATGTTGTCGCATAGCGGAGAAAAATGTAAGTACTTATTACTGAGTAGAATTTCATATGATTGATTCCTTGTGTAAATGATCGAATTAAATCAGGTTCTAGGTCCGCGTACCCACCACCGTTAACAGAATGTAACAACAAATGAAACGCAACTCATGTCTAATTTCCTATCTAAGGAAGGTATCTGAGGTTTTCCGGGGTTGGAGATAATGATTGTTTCTCCAAACTTGGAAAATTCAAGATTACGGATCCAATCTATAGCGAAAGGAATTTCTAATTATGATCTGATTCTATTTAAGATTGGTATCTGGGGGTTTTCGGGGTCGAACTTCATGATTTTTTGTCAAAATTGGGAAATTCAAGATAGCAGATCCAATATGGCGAACGAGTTTTGTAATTATGATCCGATTCTATTCAGTAAATCAAAATTGGCATCTGGGGATTTCGTGGGTCGGAGATTATAATTATTTCGTCTTTCGTTACTTTCATCAATAAATTATTCGAAAATGACTTGTTATTCAAAGGAGACGGAAAAATCAGGTAAAGTATATTCTATTCTTTATTTTCCTACACATTTTACGAATTACTTTTTATCAGCCTACTTTTCGTCCTAGACGAAGTTTTATACATAGTGTGATATAAGTAACTCCATAGATTCTTCTCCGAGTTGGATTTCCGAAAATATATTCAGCACACATGACATGAGTACATTAGTTTAGATACCCACATCAAGGTTTCCACCATTTCTCAATCATAATAAGGCTCTGCTCATTCAGCTCATGGATAAACTACTGCTCAGCTTGAAATCAGAATTCATTCAGTCAATTCAGTCAACCCTAGTATACAGTCAAAGAACAGTCTCCTTTGGTGAAATATATTAAGCTTTCGGTACAATTCATAATATGTTCCCTACCTCGCAAAGATTATGCTGGAGTAGTAAACTCTAAAACTAGAGGATTGTTCATCTATATCTTGGTATAGTTGAATCAGGAATTCCATATGGAAATTACGTATGATACGCCAGTGACCTCAATATAACCTAAAAAACAACGAATGTCAAAAATCTAGTGTTTGTCCCCAGAATTGAATAATGATGGAACTATATAACTGTTTCATAAACACTTTAGAGTGAGAGGAGACGAGGATCTGTCCGTACCCTGTTAAGATGACTTTAACGTCAATTTCCATCAAGGGACCCTGGATTGACGAAAAACGAAACTTTTTGAAAGTAGAAGACATTTATGAGACATTTTTATCGTGCAGTTCACAAGTTTATGATTCTTTCAAGTACGACAGGTTCCATATGTTTATTCCCAGATCAAATTAATTCTCTCGATCTCCGAAAATTTTCTCCAATCACCACAATCACTGCTCCAAATATTTGTTGATTGCTTTTCTGGATTCTCGTTTTATTTGTGAACTTCATTCTGTTTTCTCCACCGCTACCAGAATGGAACAAACTTTAAACTGACTGAATGAAAAGTTGCAACCGGAACCGGTGGAATTGTAAATAAAACGAAACCGGAAAGTGATTCCAGTGGCGGAATCGGATCTATAAAACGCAACTAGATTGTTTTCCCGTAGTTTTGAATGTCATCGGAACGTCATCTAATGACCTTGGCAACCGTGAATATTTCGATACAGTCTACCAAATATAATAGGGGTATTCCCGGTCCTCGTATAATGCTTCGTATTTTCGTATCGTCGTATTCAGCAAACTAATCTGATTGGTCGATTAGGATACGCGGTCCTTCGTAACTTTACACTACCATTTTCTTGTGTAAGATTACAAAATTGCCGTTCTGACAAAACTGTTCTGACAGAATTTTGTCCCGTGTTCCGTGTTTCAAGTGGTGAGGTTAGGGTTATTGTTATTATTCAAAATTATGATCGAATCAGGCGTGGCCTGAGCATAAAGCACAATATAAATACCTCTGATTATAGCAACTAATCTCTGGTATTGAGAATTTTGATTTGAATAAAGGTATTTCAAAAATGGCAAGAATAAGAACAAAAACTATGTGTCAATCTTGGAGAAGGACTTGAATTATTGAAATTTTATTTTCAGTCATACAGTTCTAGCTCTGTTTCCAAGACAGATGATGAATTAGAATTTTTCAATTTCGCACTGGAAGCTTCGGAATAAGCTGACAGTTTACATTGCTATCCATGGGTCGTTCCCGTGTTTGAGGTTTCGTAAGAATACGTAGGCCATTTTCGTAAATATACGAAGTCAGATACGAGGGCTCCGGAATACCCCTAATATATAATCTTCCGAATCCTCGAATCGGTCCAAAATTAACCAAATTACTAGGAAAGACTATGCACGCACAGCTGTAGATCAATATACCTTTCCCTTTATTCCAGCATTCGTTTGCGAAATCTGCCAGAAAGGCTTCTCCGTGAAATCCTCCCTGAAAATCCACAAACTGACCCACAAAAAAGAGCAGCCATGCAGCTGCGATACGTGCGGGCGCGCCTTCATCCGCAAGGACTGTCTCATGCGCCACATCCGAGCCAGGCACCGAGACGTGCTCGAAGACATCATGGCCAACGCCGAAAAGAAGCGGCTGCAGCAGCAGCTGCTCAGCGCCGCCTCGAGCGCAGCTTCGATGACCAGCTTGGCCGAGAACCACATCTGGAACGAGCTGACCTTGACCGAGTCGATCAAGGAGCTGCTGACGCTGCTCGTGGACGAGGAATGTTTGCTGGAGTTCGGGTACCCTGATGCACCTGTGGACAGGGTGTTGGACTGCGTGATAAGGAGGTGCGGGTATAAACCGGCTTCCGAAGAGGACTTTGATTATATTGGAAGGATGCGGGAGAACGCGAAGCTGTTGTTTACCGTCGTCATCGACGATGAAGCTGTCAAGGAGTTGCTGAATAATCAAACGGTGGACGAGGTTATTTTGCATGTTCTCAGGTTGGCGAAGAAAGTCGAAGATGTGTAGGTTTTTTTGCGGTAAATGGTTGAAATTTCTATATGGCTTATGTTGAATTTATTCATATCTGTTTATATCCTCCAAACGTTCATAATAAATGAAAATCTTGAATTCGCCTTCTGAGTCAACTAGAATTCTAAATATTTAGTCGGGGATTTTGATTATATTGGAAGGATGCGGGAGAACGCGAAGCTGTTGTTTACCGTCGTCATCGACGATGAAGCTGTCAAGGAGTTGCTGAATAATCAAACGGTGGATGAGGTTATTTTGCATGTTCTTAGGTTGGCGAAGAAAGTCGAAGATGTGTAGGTTTTTTTGCGGTAAATTGTTGAAATTACTGTATGGCTTATGTTGAATTTATTTACATCCTCCAAACGTTCATAATAAATGAAAATCTTGAATTCGCCTTATTGGAGAACTGGAATTCTGAATATCTAGTTGGGGATTTTGATGATATTTGAAGGATGCGGGAGAACGCGAAGTTGTTGTTAGCCGTCGTTATTGACGATGAAGCTGTCAAGGAGTTGTTGAATAATTAAACGGTGGACAAGGTTAATTAGCATGTTCTTAGGTTGGCGAAGAAACTCGATGATGTTAAAGTTCTTTGCGGTGGCATTTATGGATGTGGTTGGAATTTCTAAATGGTTTCTGATAAATCTCTATCTCTTTATATCCTCCAATTTTTCATAGATAAATCCTTGAATTCACTTTCTGGGAGGACTGGGATTCTAAATATCTAGTTGTGGACTCATCCTCTGAATAATCAAATCATAATTCAAACTTGGAGTTCAATCCTAAAGCAAGATTGTCCGTCATCCTATAATGAAACTCTACACAAGGTTTTATTCATCTCTTGTCGACGATCGAGGAGCTTTTGCTGGAGTTCAGGTATCCTGATGCACTGGATTTCCAAATATCTAGTTGGGGATTTCGATTTATTGGAAGGATGCGGGAGAACGCGAAGCTGTTGATTACCGACGTTATTGACGATAAATCTGTCAAGGAGTTGTTGAATAATCAGACGGTGGACGAGGTTATTTTGCATTTTCTTAGTTTGGCGAAGATCTGTAGGTTTTTTGCGGTAAATGGTTGCCATATGGCTTATATATGTTAAATTTATTTATATCGCCCAAACGTCCATGAAAAATTAAAACCTTGGATTCGCCTTCTGGGAGAACTGGAATTCTATATATCTAGCTGTTGTTTGCTGTGGTTATTGACGATGAAGCTGTCAAGGAGTTGTTGAATAATTGAACGATGGACGAGGTTATTCTGCATGTTCTTAGGTTGGCGAAGAGAGTCGATGATGAGAAGTTTCTTTGCGGTGGCATTTATGAATGTGGTTGGAATTTTTATATGGTTTATGGTAAATTTATTTATATCTTCCAAACTTTCATAAAGAAAACCTTTAATACACTTTCTGGAAGAACTGAGAATCTAAATATCTAGTTGTGGACTCATCCATTGATTCATCGAATCAGAATTCATGCTCGGAGTTCAATCTCAAACATATTTACTGAACAAACTTCACTCAATCTGAGTGAGACTGACTCTTATTACAATACCATACCGTTGACTTTTTCCATCACAAAAATATGTTTATCACGGTTGATTTGATGCTATCAGTTATTCTGCATCTCCTTGGGTTGGATATAAAAAGACTATGAATTGTAGGTTCTTTATGATTTAGTATATATGTTTGTTGAAATTCTATATGGTTTATGTCATATTTATTTATATCTTGTATATATTCCTCCTGATGTATGAAATACTGATAAAAAGCTCGGATATGTCCGTTTATTAATGGCACATTCCTCTGATTCGCATTTCAGTAAAAAAATATGTCAGATTTTGAAAATGGTATATTTATATTACTCACCCTGTATATGTTTCACATGGTTCAATTACATCTCATTTATTTAAATGCCTATAAATGAATTATACTTGTTAATAATTGTAGAAAGATTGCTGCAGATTATAAAATGGTCTACGAAAACTCCATACTTCTTATAGTGTTATTACAAATCTGAATTTATTTCAATTTTTGTTCTATTCTGCTGTGGTATGTTTGATATTTGATAATATAATATATTATTTGAAAAAAATAAATCGTACTTTTATATCACAGAGTTTTCATGAAAAAGTGTCGTTCGCCTTCTGCTTAGGGATAATATATGAGTTCGTATTATATCTATTTCATCCAAAGAACATGTTTTTGTTATTTCATACACTAGATAAGTTGGTGTTTCAAATGGTAGACGATATAGTAAATAAACCATGTATACAGATTTTACAGTACTTTTTTATGAAAGCAAGAATCGTCCAAATTCAGAAAATATGATAAATGAAGACTTGAAAATATTTGAAAAATGGTCCACTCTAACCTTTTATCAATAAATACTCGGACAAAAAAGATTCACTCATGCAGCCTTAACCGACTTCAATAAAGTGAAAAAACTGATTATTTCTGAATGAATTCAATATGCTTTTTCTATAAATATTGTTCTCTGTTTACCAATATATTTTCATTTATGTATTTTGAATTATGAAATGAAAAAAATACATCATTTGATGAGATCATTTTACTGGCCATTTTGGTTGCTAGGAAACCACTACCCTTGTTGATAGCTAGATTTGCAAATAATTAATCAATACTGCATGATTGACGTTCACTGTCTATCAAATCAACTACCATAGAATAAAATGGGTACCGATTTCCGAATAGAATGGGTGAAAAAAAGAATCACCAAATTTTTCGGCCTGGGTTCCCAGTCATATTTCGAAGAAATGATCACGAGCACAGACGACCTGGAAGACAAACTGGCGTCTTATCTAGAAGACGATTATTCAAACCGTGATGGCAGCAGAGAAATTTTTTATGTATATAAAACCTCACACGAGAAACTGGTGGAAGAAGAAATTATGATTGAACAAAGAAGTAAACTCAAAACAAGCACCCTTTATAAATTATCTAGTTAGTATAATTACTTTCAGTTAAAAAAACACCTATTATCGAAGAAATTCCTAAAGAAGCCACTGACTCCAAGAAGAAAAAGGGTAAAGATAAGAAGGGCAAAGGAAAGAAACATAAAGATAAAAATGCTGCTCAATCGACTGCTGTATCTCCCGATGGTAAGTGATTCAAAAACCAATTACTTAACAAGAATCAGAAATAATGCCTCAACATTTTATACAAAGTGTTTCTATTTCATGTTTTTTAGTAACCCAAGGCGATGAAACGACACCTTCTGAAGTTGGCAATACTACAACACAAATTATTGATGGAGAAGAATCAAGAATTGAGAGTCCTGTTTCTCCAAGCGATAATGCCAATACAGAGTCTCAGATTACTGAAACAGATGCTTCCACATTGCCTTCACCTGTGTATACAGATATTGAAGCATCTGATGAAGGTAAATATTCCTATTTTTCAAATAATTCACGAAATCACAAGTGATAATTACGGGGGTTGTGAAAATTTTCAACAGTTCAAATATTAATATAATTAGGTAATACCCAATAGATATTCATCATTATAAAAATTCTAGGTAGTCCGAAGGAAGATCATGAAAATAAAACAAAAAAGAAGAAGGGGAAGGGTGGAAAGAAAGGAAAAAAGAAAAAAGTCGAAGGTGAGCTATATGTTATATATGATTGACACAGCATGTTTTCATTCTTGGAACAAGGCAAAGACATCAAACCTAGGCAAAATGATGAGAGTTCAGGTGGGCTTCTTCAAACGCTTATTAGCATTGTCAAAGAACACTCCTGATTATATTGTTCGTTTAGAAACAGGTTCTCATAAGATTAGTATCTTAATTTTAAAAGCAGCTATTTCATGGTTGACCAGTCTAAACAATATGGAAAATACAAGATTACCTAAACTATGTCTACTACGACTTTCAACTTTGAATAATGTCGATCCAAAGTACAACTGGCTGCTCCAGGTCAGGGAATATTTGGTTTTGGCGGATCAGGGACATGAGTGGGACGCTCTAATTAACAACCCGTCGAAAAAGTTAGCCAACAAAATTATAAAAAATTTCAAAGATGCACTGCTAAGAAGAGATCTCGAAAGCCTCAATCAATCAAATTTTCCCCATGTATATCAGTCACTAATGCTGTACGACGCCAGCCAAAAATATTTGAAAATTGCTTGCCCAATACACATTACCAGAATTATTGCTCAAATTCGAACATGTAGCAAAACACTATTAAAATTCACTTTCTCGGGCTCCGCTTACATTATCAACACAGAAGAACTCTGTACTATCTGTAATCTGCATGAGAGAGAGACTTTAGCACATATTTTATTCATATGTCCTATATATGCTGGCATACGGAGAAGTGAACTGTTCGAACAATTAAGCAATATGGATGATTTGATAGGTATCCTTAATTCTCATTCTTTTGACACTTTGAAGCAGCTGGTTCATGCCATCATGAATATCTTGAAATTACGATCTTTCATCATTAATGAGTAATCTACTCTTTTTGCGTCTCATTATTTTATTTCTTTTTTTTTTGTTTTCTTTGGATAGCACTGTACTCGAAATGTTCTCAGTTTTTTTTTTTTTATTCTCTTTTATATACTTCTGTTAACAGTGTCTCGATTGTATATAATATAAATTTGGCTCACACCAATTTCCTTGTAATAAGAATATGATTCTTCAGATACAATAAATGATATTGATTGATTGATTGATTGATTGAAACCTAGGCAAAATGAGTAAATATATAACCGTTTTTCAACGTCATAATACAAGGATTCATTTTCTGAACCATGGTGATTATAACAGTAAATGTGCTCAGATATATTCTATGATATCCAGTGGAAATGAAGAATATAACAAATGATATAAGTTGTGAAACATTCATCGTTCAAACGAGTATCTAGCAAGAATGAAGACATGTTTTCTCTATATCTCAGTAAAGTTTTATTGTAAAATGAGTTAGTGTGCAAGCTAAAGCTAATCATTCACACTTACAGTAGATGATAAGCCACATGACAGCCAAGAAACAGAAAACGACGAAGAAATAATATACGTTCCTGTATGTAATTGAAAATTTTTCTTGTACCCATATAATTTGAGTTTTTCTTTTATGGTATTCAGCAAATCGTTCAGAAGCTTGTTATCGATTATGCTCTACATGGAAATTTCATTAAGATCAATGAACAAATCGTTCATGATGATGCTACTCGCTTTGTATACTTGTATCGCAAAAGTGATGATGGTATTCCAAACTTTGAATATGCCGCAGATGCTGATATGAAAATGCCAGCATATTTTTTGATAGGCACAAGCACTAGAAACTTCTTGAATTCCATTGGATTTTTATCGAAAGAGGTAAGCCAACATTTTTTATACATATTTTATTCCATTGAATAAATCAGTGAAAGAATTTGTTTTTGTTATTTCAACTGCGGAATCTAAGTCTGTATTCATTCATTTGATATTATTCGATAATTTCGGAAGGTATTTTGAAATTTACATCATCAAGCAACTGCTGAAATTTCTAGTATAAGATTCTAAATGGAGGCATCGTAGATATATAGACCCAATTTCAACACTCAAACACATTTTTATTCACTCAGGACGGCTTGTACAAAGATGACCGTTTATAAAAACACAACATCGACAAGTGATTCGTTCTGATGCTACGATGCTAATGATAATAAACCTGCTTCAATCTTCGATCACACGATGATTACGAATACTGATGAGTCGTCAAGGCGTTATTCTAAATTACGGGGTGATTTGAACATCGTCGAAACACATTCAAACCACCTTGTTTAAAACATGGCTGTATTCAGAGTAAAAAAAGCTTTCAGACTCTGTAAACACATAATCGGGATCGTATTTTAAAAAATAGTTGATGATGTTTCTAGAAATAGGAAACGTCGCGTAGAGAAATCAATACCACCACGTTAATTCTAATCAAAATTTGCTGTGAAAACGTATTTCTACTTTTTCTGTATTTCTTATAATAACGTAGAAACATTTTTTGTCCGAAAATTCACTTTTTCGATATAACTGAAAAACTATAAACAATTTTGAAAATTTTCAAGCATTTGGTATACAAACGAATTCTTGTTCACCCCTTCCCGAGATGCCCATGCTGTGCATCTTTATCTTGGTCACACTGTAGTTCACCCCCAGGCCGGTAAAAAATATCAAAACGAATTCTTCCTCATACAGACCAGATACTGCAGAGAATTTAACTGTGTGCGCACCATATTCTTCTGAATAAAAAACCTATAGTAGGCAGATTTTATTCAGACGGACAATGATAGAGTAAACTTTGAAGGAAATAACGTTGTATTCCAGCTTTTCGTACCTTTGTTGGTGAAAACGTTCATGGAGCCCGCTTTGAAAGCTGCCCAAGCTTCCGGTCAAGATTGCAGGAACGCCTCTGAACAAACTTCGGACTTTCAACGACCCTCCGATTATCGCAGGATATCGATGAACGTGAGAAGACAGACAAGGCAGACCGGCATATCCTTCCATGACGGATCGGGAGATGGGGGGGACCAGGGAGATGCTAGTTCTCCAATCAAAGACGAACTGGTCAACGAAGTTAGTGGATTAGTCACCACTTTGGATTGGTGAGTGGGAATTGGAACGAGAACCTTGTCGATCAATCCTTTGAAATGGACTTAATTCGTCGTCTGATAATTCAATTTTCATGAAGCATTAAAAGAGAATCCCAGAATTTTGTCAACCTAATTATCAGGCAAAAAACTATATAGGTACCAAAACATTCAAAACAGGTCTAACCTTTGTTTTTCTAACTGAACATCCAGTCAGTAGGCATGAGGTATAATAATATAATATAATAGTTGTCTGTTTATTGAAAAAAAAAACAAGAAAATCGTCCTCATTGAATACAAATTTGGGGAACTATATAGTGACCTCTACTCCGAACCAAGTTATTAATTCGCTATCCCAACCCTAACAATTTCTCAAACTTCTGTCAAGATCCACTTGCTTGTCAAGTTTACCAAAAATCTCTCATGTTTGAACATTTTGAGTAGGTACAGGGAACCCCCCTTTACTCTTTTGTTTTCAGAGATGTGAAAAAATGTTGGATCAAAAAGTTGTTTGAAACGACTAAAAACTTTCATTTGGTGAAGTTTCTTCATATACAGGGTCATTCGTTTTTCCGGAAAGGACTTTAACTTCGATTTTTATTTTTAAACATATTGCTATTGTAATTATGACTTGCCGGACAATGGACATATAATTTACATAACATGGTCAAATAAACTACTCTACTCATTATTATACTTACTGCACTCACTACATTATCTTTATTTCTGGTATGTCAATTCATTATTATGAAATAAATAATACCTAGGTGGCTCAAGAAGAAATTCCTACCTATCTTAACTATGTTTTTGGAAGTCAATGAATGCTTCCTCAAATTCACGTCATCGTTGAGAAAGGAGTGTTAAAGAATTCACATACCTCCACCTATTGAAGAAGTGCAAAATGAACACCATAAACAAACAACAAACCATAACTAACTGGTAATCAGATAATCAAATCATAATTCTAATTTGTCTGAGATGACGTTTTGTTTGAACTGCGGCCTAAAATTGACTATTTTGGCAAATATTATATTAAAACAAATGAGCTCTCTGTTTTCAGTAAACTAGCGCCATTGACAGGTAGACAATTATTGGGACAATGAACAGACAATAATATCGTACCAAAACATCTAGCAAAATGAATTATACCTCTCGCCTGGGTGGATCTACTTAAGATCTACTTGCCAAACAATATCTGTTCGAGAAATAAGTGAATAAAAATGAAGCATTTTATGATCATGATCAGAGGATTTTTTCAGGGTGTGTGAGCATGTGGAAGATGAACTTGACTTGCCAATGGTTGATCTGACAAATTTACTACACTCAGATCGCACTGATGACGAAATAGCAAGTGATCCTAAAGTAGTAGCAGAGTTAGAAGAAGTCGTTATGGGTTGGGAGAGGCATATACTGAAAGTTATCGAGAATTATTTGGCAAAGGTAAATAAAACATAAAAATTTGCAATTTCAGTTGGGATTAGGGAGCATAGTTCAGTATGACAACCAGATATATTCAAACGACACATACTGACATAATTATTATGCATACAAATGAGTGATTTCATTTACACATTCCACAATACTTCTTTGTACTCTAAGTGTTTTCAGTATTTTTTAATGGAAACAATTATTCTAAGAATTACTTCATGTAATATTTCAGGTTCCAATGGGAAATGGACCACTTCCTGAATATGAATACTGGCATGAGAGAGAAGCAGCTTTCAGCTCGATTGTAGAACAGCTAAAAAAACCCACTCTTGTCAGAATCAGCAACATTTTGGAGAGGGCTAGGTCATCTGTTGTTGATGCTTTTATTTATTACCAGATTGATCTGAAAAGATACTATGGGCAAGCTAAAGATAATGTGAAATTTTTGTCTACCATCCAAAGACATTTGAAGGTACATACATGCTGATTTCAACATTTCCTGAAACATATGAATGAAGTAGGTATCTATTTTTCGTCATGTGAAAAATTCAATCTGAAGACGCTAATGGAAACAATTTATTCAACTCAGATGTGTCATATTAATGTAGACAAGAAAAATTCTTTGGGTACCATATACAGGGTGTCCAAAAATTGCTGGGACACAGAGCTACCACGAGAAATAGAGGTCAAAATAAGTTGATGGGACCCAATTTATTTATAAACCAAAATGTAAACCGTTTGTCGTTGAGAAAGAGTTCTAAGTTTACATAAAAAAAAACACATTTTTGTTCGCTGTTCAGACATGAGTGGAACAAATTCAATGAAATTTGACAAAAGTGAGGATCACTTTTTCAGTAATCAAAGAAACCCAAAAGAAAGTGTAAATAATTAAATCAACCCTCACCCCCTGAAATTTTCTTCAAGGGTGGTGATACGGTTTTCAAATTTATTTAACGAGAAGACAGATTAATTATCTTCATTTTGTTACTCTCGTAAAAATTTCCGAAGGAAAAAATGTTTTATTAAATATTGCTAACAGATATTCCAAGTACAAATTTAATAATTGTAATACAAAATTTAGTTGACAGTGAAAACAGAGAGAACGTTTTCTATAATAAATGTTCAATATGACGGCCACCTTCATCAATTCAAAGGTCAATTCGACGTAAAAAATTGAAATGCTGTTTTTTCTTATGTAAACTTAGAACTCCTCTCACAGACAAAGGGTACATTTTGGTATATAAATAAATTGGGTACCATAAACTTATTTTCACCTTTATTACACATGGTAGCTCTGTGTCCCAGCAACGTTGGGACACCCTGTATATACCTTATTTTGAAGGTGATCACATACAGCACGGAGTTTCAAAAAATCAAAGACTGCATTCCGATGTTGATGGAAGGTCTGCATTTAATATGGGTCTTGTCCAGTTATTATAATACCGACGAAGTCATGGTGCCTTTCATGGAAAGAATCCTTTGGTGCTTACTTGAAAAAGTTCGGAAAGTTTTGGATAATGTAACATTGTTCAGGTATTTATCTTTTTGTTGGGCAAATGATATAAAATGCAATCTTTTGAACCATTGTCTGCTAAATATGGCAGGTTAGGTTAGGTTTAGCAGACAATGTTTTGAACATATCCGGCAACAGGATTGAATGGTTTTGAAAAGGTTGCTGTGGAAAGACTGTTTATTTGACAAACGTCAAATAGTTATAAACTTGCAGTTTATTATTGAAGGTTCTGTATTACAACGGCAAATTGGTCGGTTAATCAACGGATCTTTGCTGTAAAATCATTTGAGATGGGTAAGAGAGTAGACGAAAAGGGCAGTGTAAACTCAAAATTGCATTTCCTCTTCAATAATAAACTACAATTTTATCACTATTTGCCGTTTGTCAAATGAACAGTATTTCGACAGCAACCTTCTCAAAACCATTCAATCCTGATGCCGGACCCTGTATATTGCTCAGAAATAAGTGCAGTCGATATGGACCTACTAATGATCGAAAGGTCGTGAGTCCTTTCAATTACTTTATTTGATGAATATATTTCATTAACATTGTTTCTTGAACAGTATTCCCAAACATGTATCAAATAGTTAATGCAATGAGTAGAAAAAAAAAAACATTATATTTGCAACTTTTACATAAAGTTTAGGACATCTCAAGAAATTTCTTCACATTAGTTCATTTCAATGAATCTTTTGAAATCAAGAACTATATTCACAGTTTCACTAATATTTATCGATAATAGGTTTCAAATGTCATCAAGTCTTTGTAAGTATTTTTTTCTCTAATAATAGGATTTTCATCATGGTATAATGGTGCTTACCTACTTTCTGTTTAAATTTTGGTGAGATTTGAATATTTTGAATATTGAATTTCGAAAGTAAATATAAGGTTGGTCCTAATAACACATATTCTGGAGGAACCCCTCCAGTTTTAGGTAGTTAATGAGACGATGGTAGATTTGGTACTATCTCCTATTTTCAAGGTAGGGTAGGAATATAAATGGCTCCTTACATTGCCTCTGAGACTTATTGATTAGTATAATTGATGTTATAATCATCTCAACAGTGTCAGTTGAAGCCATGCAATTTGCTTTAATAATCAATTTGCTATTATGCAGGAGACCAATCCACGAAGTTCATGGGCTCACTCGTAGTGCCAAGGAAATGTTGGAAAAGTGGAAGTCTTCTTATCTGCAGACTCGGCAAAAAATTGAAGATTCTGGAAAAGGTCAAAGATGGGAATTCGATAAGAGAAAACTTTTCGGGGCTTCTGACTATATGGCCATTGTGTGCAAGGATCTCAATGAAGTCGCCAAGGTAGTCGAGATGATTATTAAAATTATTCCCAATCAGCCAAAGTACATATTTTAGACGTCTTGAAGAGGTACATTTTCCAATTAAATGTGCGTCTTTACGACGTCTTTATTAGGTCTTTTTGGTCCAGGTCCAAAAATTAATCTTTTCAATTCATTTTCACCTGAGTTGGCAGCTAGTGCAGCCAAGCATTGATTTGAAATTTGACAAGTGAATCTAATTCCGGTGACATTTCGTTGAGACATTATATATTTAATGAAAAAACAAAATGGTATCTAGGGGTTTTCGGGGTTGGAGATTATGATTCTCTCGCCCGAATTGAAAAATTCGAGAGTGTATAATCTCTGGTATAGTTTTCTGATAATGGTCTGATTCGATTCAAAATTGGTGTCTGGGGGTTTTCGGGATCAGAGATTATGATTCTTTTGTCGAAAACGATAAATTCGAGATGGCGGCTTCGGAATGGCGTAACAAGTTTTGTGATTATACTACGATTTTATTCAAAATTTGTAATTGGGGTTTTTCGGGGTCGGAGATTATGATTTTTTCGTCAAAATTCAAGAATCTAACTCGAGAGCTCCAAGATGACGGATAAAACAACTGAAAACATCACTTGTTGATATGAAAAAACTGAAAATTTGAAAATAAAAAACGTGACGCTGTATCAATCTTCACACATGGGAGAACATGGATACCTTTGCTCCCTTCATATTGAATATAGCTATTTTCTTCAGAAGAGATTTTATATTATTGTACATATCTGTACGTCCTAATGACGTACTCGAATGTAATTCTTTAAGACGTGTTTTTACGTCCTGAGGGGAATGACGTGAATCGAACCTAAAATGTACGTATTTAAGATGTACATTTTTCACGTGTTGTGAACGTACACGAATGTACGGTTTTAAGACGTCTATTATACGTCCTTATTGGACGCGAAGACGCAAATCGAACGTAAAATGAACGTCTTTAATTGGATTATATTTTCAGATCATTTATCATTTCAAGAATATATTTGGCCCAGAACTAAGAGCGATTGTTAGCGATCCTCAAAGCATAGATAACGTGGCAAAAAGGGTGGACAAATTAGTGATACAGATCGAAAACACGGATTTCGATATATTTGATCTCAATTGTAAGGAAAACTGGGAAGCGATAATGCAGCAGTTCTACAAAGAAGTCCGTCATTTGGAACTTGAGGGTGTCAGCTTCATTGACCAGAGCTTCAAAATGATAAGGTGAAAGTTTGTTTATAAGTCAGTCAAACAAGAAGATACGATAGTAGGTAATAAATTGGACTGAAACATTTTATCAATGGCTTATTTTGAGGTATATCATATACAAGGAATCAACGATCCTTCTGTAGTTGTATATCTTCAAAGAAAGACAATAAAAACACGAAGTTGGTCGACCACAAATCAAATATTAATCAATAATAGTAGTAGTGACTAGTTTCGGCTTCGTGTTTTTATTGTTTCTCTCTGAAGAATTGGACTACTTTGAGAAGGATGGATGGTTTCCATGACTTGTATGTATCATTTTTCTCTTTATATTTCTGAAAATATTTTTCTTCTCGATTTATATAAATTCATTCAAATCAGTGTAAATTGTACTACTGGTTTGTTCATTCTATTTTCATTCTTGTCTAGATCATCAGAAAGTGCTTTAGAATTACTGTTGAAATTCAAATTCATCGAAACCAGAGAAGTCATATCTAATAAACTGATGCTGAAATTCGACGTCATATTGGACCAGTATATGAAAGAGATACTAGCGATCGACGACAATTTCACGGTGAGTGATATGAAGTTTCACCAGAAAAACAATTCTCATTCTCCAATTTCCAGAGGAACAAAAGACATCCGATACTCTACCGAAATATACCGCCACGCGGCAGCGCCATCTATTGGGTGCAACAGCTTTACTATAAATTGAAACGCCCCATACTGAAATTCCAGAGGGTACCCGAGTTGGTGAACTCTCCATTGAAGGCTGATACTTTTACAGCTTACTTGAAATTCGCCAAGGAATTGAAGAGTTACGAGCAAGGTGAATTGGCCCACTATGTGATCCATTTCCAGATTCGACCATTGATTAAATACACTCACCGACAAAAAAACGGCCACCAAAAAAATTAACCAAATTGAAATTCCAACCAAATCGGAGACTTACGTTTCGAAATGTTAACCTGAATTTTTTAGTTCCCAAAGAAAGCTGAAAAAACAAAAATTACTATTTCACTCTCAAATTCTTAACGCCCTGTGGCTAAAGTGAGTGGTTAAACCTGGTTTCATTTTGTTTTGGATTGAAGGGTGATCGCTTCTTAACACAATGGTTTTTGGTTCACGTCAATATCTACATTTTTAGAGAAGATACAAGTGTTTTAAGAAAGTATGGAGTTTTTAAATTTGCCGATCCTACATGAACTTACCGATAAAAATCTCGAAAAAACATCTAAAAATTGATATCACTTATTTCCACCCCTCAAATTTTTCATGGGGGGTGAATCGTAGCTCTTGAATTGTCTCTGACAAGGCTGGGCGAAGGCGAATGAGCCTCTGGACTTCATCTCAAAAATACTCTATGAAAAAAAGGAATTTTCTCAGATAAATTATGAACATATAAAAATGAAATAAGGGATATACATATAAATAAATACATTGAGAATTCGCATTCTCTATGTGATGAAAATATCAATTCTTCATCGGTTTATTCAACAGGAAACAACTACTTTTCATGCCACCACGAACATTGAATTTTATCTTATGAACACACACGTTAAGAATTCGAAAACAAAATCTTCTGAAGTAGAGAATTTGCATTCTCCTTCATATAAAAATATGCATATAATATAATTCTGAATATTCAACAGAAAACAACTACTTTCCTGGTTTTTTGCCTCGTCGAACATTGAATTATATCTGTTGAACATCCAAAAAGAGAGCATGAAAAATTAAAATGCTTTAAAATTGAGAATTGACAATCTCTCAAATCTGATGAATAATATGATGTATTATGATATAAAAATATAACTTCCCTAAACATTTGTATCTTTTTCAAAAAAAGAAGATATTGACGTGAATCAAAACCATTGTATTGAGAAGTGCTCAAACTCCAATCCAAAACATGAAAAAGCCAAGTTATGGGGGAAAGAGTAATTTTGTTTATTCCCTGTATACTATCAAGTCATCATTTTTTTTAAGAATTAGAGTTCAAGCTAACATAAATCTATGATTTGGTCGAAATTTCATCAGAATCGGACAATGATTAAAAAAGTTACTGGGTGATCAATTTGGGTAAATTTTTTGCTGGCAGTTTTTTTTTGCTGGTGAGTGTATAATCACACTACACTGTTTTATCACTAACCGGACAATTTTCTAACGTGTTTCGCTATATTAGCATCTTATGGAGAAGGAGAAAGTACTATCTAACCACATCTAACACAATCAAATTCATAGCATTATAACCAACAATCTAACCACATCTAACACAATCAAACTCACAGCAAGGCGTAATGAAATCAGCTGTAGGTTGGATTCTGAATACTAAAATAATTGAAGAATGATTCATCATGAAGTGCTTTGGAAAGTTGACAACGCTAGGAACTGCATCACATTTCAAAGTTAGCCTTCCAAAATTGATAAGGAAATCATTTGGAAGTGAAAGCTCAGAGCAATCAGAGCATAGTCTTGCATTTTTTCCAGGATATAATTCAACTTCTCTCCCATTCACGTAGAATATTCACATTCTCAGAGACGCTTAAAATTAGAAAACCCGGAAATTAGTCATGAGCACTTGATCACACTCTATAAAATATAATGAATAATGCATAGTTGACGTTGGTCGCATTTTTTAGTCAGATTTGATGACTGGGTCGATATGATTGGACCGACAATGGATAAGTCCATGCAGATGGATATTTTGAAGCTTAGTAGTGTCAATAAGAAGGGTGGAACTTTCTTCAAACCCATAAAATCGACTGGTCATTCCCAAGGCAAAATGTCTACTGCAGGTGGGACTAGTCAAGTAGTGAGTAAAAGTAAGTGTTTATGGAAATGTTACTTAATTCATTACCTTCGTCACAATATATTTCATTACTTCCATTAGATATTCTTACATGGGGTATCTCTTAAAGAACGCACTACTCCTTTTTTTTTTTCAAATTTCTTGAATGTGTGAAAATCTTTCGTTTTTGAAGAATCAAATTTTTTAATGATTGTGAAATAACTAAAAAATCAAACCATGGATTCCTGAGATCAAAATAAGATGATTGAATCAAATTCAACTCAATACCGAAACCCTCTGTTTAATCACAGAAGAGATAAGATAGTGTGGAAAGCTATTCGTACCCCTAAATCCGTAGATAAAATGCATTTAGAATCTGTACATACTATTCTTGAGAAGTTATTAGCAAAGACCATTGATTTTTTCATCCACTCCGTATATTCCACCTATTTTCAGAGTGGACATTCATCATGGAATGAACGAGTTTCCCAATAGGTTGTTCAAGTTGTAAGTCATAATAAGGATGCCAATAATAAGTACATAACATGGATGTTACTTTATCAAAAATAAAACATCTTGTATATAATATGTCTGATTAGGAGATGTTAATATCACGAATTGTAGATGATATTTGTATACTACAGAATTTAAATGAAATCCCACCGCTCACTTTTCCTAAAACCACTGAATTATTCGCTACGCTCCGACCCACCCTGTATATTGTTAGTACGTGCAGGAATTATTATACTTCATAGTAGATTCGTATCGGTCATTCGAACAATCAATGCACAGTTGATTTGGTTTTGAAATTATGAAAGGTGTCTCCACAACTTCTATCTAAAATTTTGGAAATGTCAACTTCATCTTCCTATATAATCTTAACTGTTGATTTTAGAGCGTTGGTGCAATGGAGACATTTGATCAGCACCACGAGTTCTACAATATATAAAAAATTCGAGTAAATTCACCGAAAGCCAATTTCCCATTGATGCGGTGCGGGGTCCGTTGATACCATCTTGAAAATACATGATGTTTCGGTTGGTTCGCTAGTTGAGTATTTGACAAAATCAATTTTGATCCAAATCAGTGTTAATTTGATGACATCACCTAATTTGGATTATTTTTTGTCTTTATTGATGGTATTTGAAGGTTTCTCAGTGACCACGTTCTCTACTGAGTTTAAAAAAAAATTATCTCCTTTTTTGACTATAATAAAGGTACAAAAATGTGGAAATAATTCGTAGGATTCCAAATAAATCATTCTAAACAATTAAAATTCGCACAGGTACTAAAATGTCAAGACCTTCAAGCAGAAACACGAGCATCAGTCGATCAGCCAACACCATTATGGAACGTATACATTCTCAGAAGAATCTCACTTGGCACGAGATCATGGGGAACTACGTAGTCGCCGATTTGGGTATGCAGTTCGAATTGAACTTCAACGAGCTATTATGGACTCGCTTCAAATGCGTGGAAATTCTGGAGACAATGAAATTCACCCTGCCAGAAAGCATCCGATTGGTAGCCATCAAAAAAGAAAATATACAAAAGGATGTTAACGCTGTGCAAAACATGATCAAAACCTATAATGACATCATTGATAAATTGACCGAACCTCAGGTGAATATTCCCAAAGATCTAATGATATATATATACTAGATGATTCAGTAAGGGTGACGAAGTACCTTATCTCAGAAACTGATATTTCATGAAAACACGTCCCCTAGCGAGGGCGGTAAGATCCAGAATGGCATGAATGGTTTTTTATTTTATTCACCAAACTTTCCTGTTTTCATTCAGACCTTGTTAGTGGAATTATAAGTTCCTGAAATTCAGTTCCTCGTCAACCTTATTGAATCACCCGGTACACTCACCCGAAAAAAAACCGGCAACCAAAAAATTTGCCCAAATTGTTCATCCTGTAACTTTTTTAATCCGATTTTTTTGAAATTTCAATCAAATCGTAGATTCATGTTCCGGAATGTTAGCCTAAATGTTAGTTTCTTTGAAAAGCTGATGACTTGATCAAAATACAGGGAAAAAACAAAGTTGAACTTGGTTTCATTATACTTTGGATTGAAGTGTGATCCCTTTTTAACACAATAGTTTTTGATTCACGTCAATATCTTATTTTTAAGAGATGATAGAAGTGTTTTAAGAAAGTATGGAATTTTTCAATTTTTATTGACAATACAAAGAGAGAGAGAGAATTTCAAGGTGAATAAAAAAGGCTACAGAAATATACAGGGCGCCATTTGAAGAAAAAAAGGTAGGTCTACTTCCGATGAAACAGTTGGTTGAAGAAAATTGTCATTGGGTCCAAGGGAAGCGACTTCGTCGATAAAATAACCCTTGTGAATTTCAAATTTTTATCTTTTCAAATAAAAAAACTACAGGCTTTTACATGTCTCCTGTGTCACCCAGTATAATATATTGATTTATTTTCAGATGCATCTACTTAGAGACATTCTCAGAGAAGTTGAATTGAACCTTCAACCAGGCCTGATGAGGATAAAATGGTCCTCTCTAGGAATCTGCGAATTCGCAGAAAACTGCCTAACGCTAATAATCAACCTGAAAACCCTCTACCTGCAAATCGAACACATAGAAAATAATCTGCAGAAACGGGTACGACTTTTATCGTCCGCGAATCTGTTCGATTTCGATACGGCAAAAGAAAACCCAGCAAGATTGCCTTGCAAGGAGTTTTTCGGTCAAATGAACGACAACCGTACCGAAAAAATATCTAAAATGATGAAAACATACCAGTCTATCGGTCCTATCTTGATAATACTTGAAGCCATCGTTCTCAACACCAATACCGGTAGATCACCGAAAATGGTCCATTACTACGCCTTCTGGGAAGGGGAAATATTCAAAGCGCTCATAACGATGACCTTGAGAAATCTGGAGACGTTCAATACCAAAGTTGAGTCTAAGGAAGTTCTGCTGCAAGTGGACGCAGTAGTTATAACGCCAGAAATTTTGTTGAGGCCTACCGGCACGGAAATCTTCAACATCTTTATCAGGAACTCGAAAGATTTTATGGAACGATTGAGAACGCTTCCTCGGTGGCAGGACGAATCTTGCATACTCTGCGAACCTGTTAAATTGAGTTCTACTGAGGAATACTTGCACTCGTTTTATGATGACGTCATCAAAGTCCAAGACGTCAATGATGCTATAGTGAAGCTCACAGAAAGCACCCACAAGGTTATCGTTAATGTCAATAAGCTTTTGCAGAGGTGGAGGAGGTATAAAAACCTATGGTCGTTTGACAAATCGTTGACTTGTGAAAAGTTTTTACAGACAAACAACTCTTTGTCTGTTTACGATGAGAAGTTCATGTTTTACAACGATATTATAAATAACATAAATGAATACCGTGTTCTTGTTGATGTAGGCAGTATTCAGTTGAATCTTCGACCCTTACTCAATACGATAATACAGCATTGCTTGGAATGGAAAACCACACTTGGTAATCTTATCGATTCCAACACAAAACTCAAAATGGATGAAATGAGAGCCAGAATAGATGTACTGAAAGTTGCAGTGAGACAGAATATCAAGGGTCTGGAAAGGTTCAAAATTGTTATGCAAGCTATATCTGAAATCCAGAAAGGGAACATTTCGGCGGAGCTAAATTTCTTAAACTATCAAGAAACTTACAGGATCTTACACCAGCACGGCATTCACTATCCAGCTGAGCATGAAGCTGAAGCACATCACTTGGAAAAAGATTGGAAAGAGCTGCTATTGTCTGCTCTCTATAGAGAACAGACTTTAGAGGCAACGAAGGAACGTTTCGCGCAGTTGACGCTTAACGAAATCACAGAGTTCTGCGAGGTATTAGCCCAGTTTTTAATAAAATACGAAGCGGAGGGTCCAGGATCCGTTGGTGAGAATCTAGAACAAGGTGTAAAGCTGATGGAGGAATACCGAGTGAAGTTTGAAGAACTAGAAGTTAGACGAATAGACCTAGTGAACGCTGAAAGACTGTTTGATATACCCCTTGCAGACTACTCTGACTATCTAAAAGCAAAAACCGAGTTCGATGGTATGGATCAACTGTACAAATTTTACAAATCTCTGAAGCATACTAGAGAAGTTTGGGGAAAAACCCTATGGGTAAACTTGAATCCTCAGGCGCTTGTAGATGGAATAGACGGTTTCTTGAAGACCTTCAGGAAATTCGACAAGGACATTCGGGTCCTTCCTGTAGGTTTAACGATAGAAAACGATATGAAACAGTTCAGGAATGCAGTACCGTTGATGGTAGCCTTGAAGAACGAAGCTTTGAGAGAACGTCATTGGAAACAACTAATGAAAAAAACTGGTATTGAATTCGATATGTCGCCTGATAGATTCACCCTAGACAATATGTTTGCTATGGAACTGCATAGGTTCCAGGATATGGCTGAAGAAATAATCAATAATGCTATTAAAGAGCTGAGTATAGAAAAAGGTGTCAAAGAAATCGCAGATACATGGGCTACTATAACCTTCAATGTACATAAACATCTTAAGGGCAATGAAGATCGTGGGTATATCATAGGAGCCACTGATGAAATCGTTCAAATCTTAGAAGACAACTCTATGAATCTTCAAAGTATGGCTGGTTCTCAGTTTGTGGGTCCATTTTTGGGACAAGTACAGAAATGGGAAAAGGCTTTGGCGAATATAGGGGAAGTGATCGATGAATGGCTAGCCGTGCAGAGGAAATGGTTGTACTTGGAAGGAATTTTTGTGGGGGGAGATATTAGAGCTCAGTTGCCTGATGAAGCTAGAAAATTCGATGATATTGATAAGGGTTTCAGGAGGATTATGCTAGAAACTGCTAAGAAACCGGTGGTACTAGATTGTTGTAGCATCGCAGGGCGATTAGATGAGTTCCAAGGACTTAGCAACGGCCTAGACCTTTGCCAAAAATCTTTGAATGATTACCTCGACTCAAAACGTAGAAGATTTCCTCGTTTCTACTTTATTTCCACTGAAGAGCTTCTGTCAATTCTCGGTAGCAGTGACCCTAACGTAGTCCAAGACCATATGATCAAGATGTTCGACAATATCAAGTCCTTGAGGTTTAGAAACGACAATCAAGAACGCGTTATAGCCACAGCTATGGTTTCATCAGAAGGTGAAGTCATGGAGTTTCGCACCCCTGTAACCATAGAAGGCAAAGTAGAGGAATGGATGAACGACGTTCTCAAGGAAATGCGACGATCCAACAGGTTCATATCTAAGAGCGCGATTTTTTACTATGGCAAGATAAGACGACCAAGAGCTCAATGGATGTTGGATTACCTAGGAATGGTGTGTCTTGCTGGGAGCCAAGTTTGGTGGACTGCAGAAGTAGAAAATGTTTTCGCTAAAATAAAAAAAGGGAACAAACGTGCAATGAAGGAATACCTCGAACAGCTCAACAAACAACTGGAAGAAATCGTGTTCACAGTAAGAGCCGACCTGTCCCCGAACGATAGAACAAAATTTAGAACCATAGCGATCGTAGAAGTGCATTCCAGAGACATAGTTGAAGGTTTTGTACGAGACAGTGTCACGGATTCACAAGAGTTCGAGTGGGAGAGCCAGCTCAGATTCTATTGGGTGAATGAGCTGGACAATCTACGGGTGACCCAGTGCACGGGGTCCTTTGAATACGGTTACGAGTACATGGGATTGAACGGCAGACTAGTGATAACGCCTTTAACGGATAGGATATACCTCACCATCACCCAAGCCTTGATAATGCACATGGGAGGAGCTCCTGCAGGTCCTGCTGGTACCGGCAAAACAGAAACCACCAAAGACTTGGCTAAAGCCATGGCGCTGCTGTGCATAGTGACAAACTGCGGGGAAGGCATGGATTTCAAAGCCATAGGCACCACACTTGCTGGACTATCCCAGTGCGGTGCTTGGGGGTGTTTCGATGAGTTCAACAGGATAGATATTTCTGTATTATCTGTCATCTCTACTCAGCTGCAAACGATTCGTACAGCTTTGATGATGAAACTAGAAAGATTCACCTTTGAAGGAGTTGAAATCAGCCTCGACTCGAAAGTAGGTATATTCATAACTATGAATCCTGGGTACGCGGGACGAACAGAGCTACCAGAGTCTGTCAAAGCTTTGTTTAGACCGGTGGTTTGTATCGTACCGGACATGGAGATGATTTGTATGATATCTTTGTTCTCCGATGGGTTCTTAGAGTCCAAAGTACTCGCCAAGAAGATGACGGTGCTCTATAAGCTCGCCAGAGAGCAATTGTCCAAACAGTTCCACTATGATTGGGGTTTGAGAGCGCTAAATGCCGTACTGAGAATGGCTGGGGTTTTGAAGAGGGCCTCGCCTGATATCAAGGAAGCGTTGGTACTGATGCGAGCTTTGAGAGACATGAATCACCCCAAATTCGTCTTCGAGGACGTTCCACTATTCTTGGGCTTGATACGAGATCTATTTCCTGGCATGGATTGCCCAAGAGTCGGTTATCCAGATTTTAACGCTGCAGTCGAATCAGTACTCGTGCAACACGAGTACATAGTTTTGCCCTACCAGGTGGATAAAGTAGTACAACTGTATGAAACCATGATGACTAGGCATTCTACCATGCTGGTTGGGCCCACAGGCGGTGGAAAAACTGTGGTTATCCAAACTCTTGCTAGGGCGCAAACGCTAATGGGATTAACCACGAAAATATTCAAGCTCAATCCTAAAGCTTGTTCTGTCATCGAATTGTATGGCATCCTAGATCCAGTCACTCGAGACTGGACAGATGGTTTGTTATCCAATATTTTCCGAGATATGAACAAACCTACTGAGAAGCAAGAAAGGCGCTATATACTATTTGATGGTGACGTGGATGCGCTTTGGATAGAAAACATGAACTCTGTCATGGACGATAATAAGTTACTAACCCTAGCTAATGGTGAAAGAATTCGTCTACAACAACCTGTGTGTGCTCTAATGTTTGAGGTGGGTGACCTTCAGTTCGCTTCTCCAGCCACCGTTTCTAGAGCTGGTATGGTCTACGTAGACCCGAAAAATCTAGGTTATCAGCCTTATTGGGACAGATGGCTCAAGCGAAGGAAGAACGAACTGGAAAGGGAAGCCATGCAAGAGCTTTACCTCAAGTTTATCCCAGACTTATTGGGCTACGTCCTGGAAGGTACATTGGGGAATCGTCAGGTATCGCCTTTGAGGACCGTCATACCTCTAACTGGTCTTAATATGGTCACTCAGTTCTGCTATATGATTGATGCTATTTACCCAACGAAAGACGAAGTGCCTGATCCAGAAGAAGAGATCGATACAGATCTTTTGACAGCTATATTCGTGACCTGCATATACAGCTCTGTGGGCGCTGGTCTGGTAGACGCGAGTAGAGCAGAGTTTGATGATTACATGAAAACACAAATCTCGTTATTACCAGCTGACGATAGCATTGAAAGCATGTGCGACCTCAGACACTTACCCACAGCTTTTCCGTATTTTTACGATTACTTTCTAGATCTGAAGGAAAAGAAATGGGTAGCTTGGAAATGGCTGGTACCGGAATATGTCCACGATAAATCGAAGAGATTTTCTGAAATACTTGTACCAACTGTTGATACCGTCAGAGTTACCTATTTGCTGAATCTGATGAACGAAATCAAGCGACCAATAGTACTCATAGGCGAAACTGGTACTTCTAAGACAGCAATAATCCAAGACTTCCTCCGCAACTTGGACAAAGAAGTCTACATCCTGTTGAACATCAACTTTTCCTCCAGAACTTCCTCTATGGACGTCCAGTTGAACTTGGAATCTTCGGTCGAGAAAAGAACCAAAGAAATATTCGGCCCTCCTATGGGCAAGAAACTAGTGTGTTTTGTGGACGATATGAACATGCCACAGGTAGACGATTACGGTACTCAACAACCCATAGCGCTCTTGAAACTTTTGTTCGAGAATGGCGGGTTTTATGACAGAGGAAAAGACCTCAATTGGAAGTCACTGAAGGATATATCCTATTTTGCTGCCATGGGCGTGGCAGGAGGAGGAAGAAACGAAGTAGACCCCCGTTTTATGTCGATGTTCACCGTCATAAACCTAGTGTTCCCCACTTCCACGACTTTGAATCACGTCTACACATCGATTTTGATGGGCCATCTTTCGTCATTCAATGAAGTCGTTCAAATAGCATCCACCCTGATCACAATGACTTTGAATCTTTACGATATCTGCGTGGCACAACTTCCTCCTACCCCTAGTAAGTTCCACTATATTTTCAATATGCGTGACTTGTCCAGAATAGTAGCTGGAATGTGCATAACGACTCCACAGTTCTTCCAGACTCTTCCCCAACTGGTCAGGGTATGGAGAAACGAGTTCATGCGAGTGATTTGTGATAGGCTGATTAGTCTGGAAGATCAGACTTTCATGTCAGCGCACATTATCGATCAACTCAATAAGGCTTTTCCCAAAAAAGAGATCAAGGTTAAGGAAAAACCTAACGTAGACGACGACGACTACGTTTTCATGCCAGACGAACCTGCTGCACCTTCAGAGGAACCTGGTGATCAGATAGATGTGGTAGAGTATGCCCTGAGAGACCCGATTCTTTTCGGAGATTACCGAAATGCATCGAACGAAGGCGAGCCAAGATTTTACGAAGATTTACTCGATTACGATGCTGTTTACTTCCTCTTTCAAGAACTGATCGAACTGTATAACGAGAGGAAAACCAAAATGAGCATTGTGCTCTTCAACGATGCCTTAGAACATCTCACCAGAATCCACCGAGGTTTGAGATTGCAAAAAGGTCATGTGATGCTGGTGGGTGTAGGTGGTTCTGGTAAAAGAAGCCTGACCTCTCTAGCAGCATTCACAGCCGGTTGTGAGATATTCGAGATAACGCTGTGCAGAGGGTACAACGAGAATATGTTCAAAGAGGATTTGAAGAAGTTGTATTCCCAGCTAGGCATAGACAGAAAGCCTACCGTGTTTTTCTTTACTGCAGGACAGATTGTTGAGGAAGGATTCTTGGAGTTCATTAACAACATTTTGATGATAGGTTATGTACCTGCCTTGTTTACTGAAGAAGATAAAGAACAAATAATAGGTCAATGCAGGAGTGCGGCTGGGAAGGCAGGATATGGTATAGCGAAAGATAGCGTTTGGCAATATTTCCTGCACCAGTGCCAAGACAATTTACACGTGGTATTATCCATGTCTTCGACAGGAGACATTCTGAGCAAACGATGTAGAAATTTTCCAGGATTGGTCAACAATACGACCATTGATTGGATATTTCCTTGGCCTCTACAAGCTCTGATAGCAGTGGCTTCAGTTTTTCTCAAAGAGTATCCTAAAATACCGCTGCAATACAGGGAGAATATAATAGACCATGTAGTATTTGTTCATCAGAGTGTCATCCAATACACTGTGGACTATCTAGCCAAATTGAGGAGGAAGAATTATGTGACTCCTAAACACTATTTGGATTTCATAACTACCTATTTGAGACTACTCGAAGAAAAAGATAACTATATCAACGCTCAATGCGAGAGACTGAAGAGTGGTTTGACGAAAATTGCTGAAGCTAGCGGCGAGCTAGAAATACTCAACAAGAAGTTAGCAAAACAAAAGGTAATAGTAACCCAAGCAACGCAAGCTTGTGAAGAAATGTTGGCCGAAATAGAAGCTGGAACCAAAAAAGCTACTGACAAGAAGGATGTGGCATCTCTCAAAAGTACCGAAATAGAAGAACAAGCACGTATTATAAGCATTGAACAAGCAGAAGCCGAGGAAGCTCTTTCAGCCGCCTTGCCTGCTTTAGAAACAGCCAGACTGGCACTGTCTGATCTGGATAAGTCTGATATTACCGAGATTAGATCTTTCGCTACACCACCAGAGCCTGTTCAAACTATTTGTGAGTGTGTGCTGATACTGAGGGGTTATAAGGAGATTTCTTGGAAGAGTGCCAAGGGTATGATGGCAGAAGGCGGCTTTCTGAGGTCGCTACAAGAAATGAACTGCGACATCATAACTCAGACACAACAGAGAGCTTGTAAAGCCCACATGAAGAAATCTACAAAAATGGACGATATGCAGAGTATTAGCAAAGCTGGATTCGGCTTGTTCAAGTTTGTCCAAGCAGTTCTTGGTTATTGTGCTGTATACAAAGATGTCAAACCGAAGAAAGACCGAGTAGAACAGTTAGAAAATGAGTATAACAATGCTAAGAAATTCCTGGAGAAGCTCTATAAAGAAATTTCGAAGCTAGAAGATGACTTAAATGCACTCAATGATAAGTACGCTGTTGCTATGAAACGTAGACAAGAGCTGCAAGAAGAAACAGATATAATGATGCGAAGGTTGATGGCAGCCGATAAGTTAATATCAGGACTGAGTTCTGAACAATCCAGATGGACAGAAGATCTCAAGAAATTATATTTAGAGAAAGAACAACTTGTCGGCAACTGTCTGCTTTGTTCCGGATTCTTAGCCTATAGCGGACCTTTCACTTACGAGTTTCGTAAAGATATGGTCTACGTCAAATGGCAAAGCGATATTTTGGAAAGAAATATTCCATTGTCGCAACCATTCAGAATAGAAAACAATCTGACGACAGACGTTGAAGTCAGTACCTGGAATTCAGAAACTCTCCCTCCAGATGAACTTTCAGTCCAGAACGGTATTTTAACCCTTAGGTCGTCCAGGTTTCCACTGTGTATTGACCCTCAACAGCAAGCGTTGAACTGGATAAAGAAAAGGGAAGAAAAATTCAACCTCAAGATACTCAGCTTCAACGATTCAGATTTTCTCAAGCACTTGGATATGGCCATCAAGTACGGTTCCCCAGTTTTGTTTCAAGATGTGGACGATTATATTGACCCTGTTGCTGAGAATGTCATACAAAAAAATGTGAAATACGTCAGTGGACGAGTATTTGTCATTCTGGGTGATAAAGAAGTTGATTGGGACCCAAATTTCAGGATGTACATGACGACAAAGTTTGCCAATCCCATTTTCAATCCATCAGCATACGCAGTTGCTGTGGTTATCAACTACACCGTTACTTTATCAGGTTTGGAAGATCAGCTACTGAGTGTCGTAGTGAGAAATGAGCGTCCAGATTTGGAAGAGCAAAGGGAGAACTTGATTGCTGAGACTAGCGAAAATAAAACATTGCTTCAACAGCTGGAAGATTCTCTACTAAGGGAACTCGCTACCACTACTGGAAATATGTTGGATAATGTTGAATTGGTGGCTACTCTAGAGAACACCAAAACCAAAGCTACTGAGGTCATGGATAAATTGGTTCTGGCAGTCGAAACTTCTAAAGATATCGATAAACTCAGAGACGGTTATAGACCTGTGTCAAAAAGAGGAGCTGTGTTGTTTTTCGTACTATCTGACATGGCTGGAGTGAATGCAATGTATCAATACTCACTATCTTCCTATCTGGAAGTTTTCGCGTATTCTCTGAGGAAGGCTCTACCCCACACACTACTGATCAGACGATTACAAAATATCATAAACATGTTGACGAAAAATGTGTATGATTATGGTTGCACTGGCATTTTTGAAAAACACAAGCTTTTGTACTCATTCCAAATGACTGCTAAATTGGAACAAAACGAACGCAGAATCTCTCAGGCTGAACTTGACTTCTTCATCAAGGTAGGTGTCCAATTTGAATTCCAGCCAGAACAGGTACGTTGATTATATACGTTTCAGGGTTCTGTGAGTTTAGAAAAATCGACACGCGAATGCCCTGCAAAGTGGATGACCGCTCAAGGTTGGGAAAATATCATGAAACTATCCAACGACTTTCAAGATGCCTTCTCCAAACTACCGATGGACATCGAGCACAATATCGACATATGGAAAGACTGGTTCGATATGGATGCTCCTGAAGATGCCGATATTCCCTGCGAATACAAAAAAAATTGCACCCCCTTCCAAATTTTGATGTTGCTTAGATGCTTCAGAATCGACAGGGTATACAGAGCTGTGGGCAATTATATCACTGAGATAATGGGGGAGGAGTACATTATGCCTCCGGTTATCAGCTTGGACAACATATATGAACAAAGCAGTCCTCTGACGCCTGTTGTTTTCATTCTTAGTCCGGGATCTGACCCCACAGCCGAGTTGATGAAACTGGGTGACAGGTACTATTTCTCACCGAATATATATATATATTTATTTATTTATTCCACTTATTTATTCTTTTCAATTTTATCCCTCAAAAAAATGTATACATACATAAACATGATAATATGATGCATATTATTTCATATTGAAATAAAATTCAAAATTTTCTGAGTTCTCTATCAAGCTTGTTTTGATTTTATGCTTGAATCTAAAAAAAAATTGAGCTGGAGGTCATTTATTGTAAATTTTTTCACCTATATGAATGGAATATTGTTGCATTAAAGTTGAAGAGCATTTCTCAGTTGATATCCAACCGTTGATTCCATTTTTTGTGTCATATTTATGTTTTACTTGAATATCCTTCTGTGAATGTTGTCTAATGTATATTGTTGATTTTTTTATAATATAATTTATTACTTAACAGATAAACTGTGATATGAAGTGGTTTCAACACTTGTTTATATAGACCTCCCCAACCTATTATGACATGCATAGGCCAAATTAGATTGAAAAATACTATGATGGAAACTGATAATTAATTTGCAACTGAAAATGTTCCTCAGGAGTGTCTTCCTTAGTGTTTGTATTATTTCATTAATTTGCTTATACCATTCCCAGATACTTTACTACATCGATTTTGCTAATATGTTCTGTATACAATTAAATCCTTTCCATTTTTAATCAAATTTAGCATTTAATACTGTGTCTTCCCAATTATTTCCACTAGGTATAGGTACCTCTTTATACACTGTATCGTCAGCATTAGGAAATGAATTTCCTTTTATCTACAACTGTCAAGTAATGATTATGATTTGACCCATTTTTGAATGTCATAATGAAGTTAATTACCGTACCAGTGCTTTTTTGAATCTAGGTAATGAGATAAGAAATAAATTTCAACCCTACAGCTTCGTCGTGCAATCCTCACATGCGTGTGTTAATAATGTCTATATCCCACTCGTCACGCATATAACTATTATCTTTGTTTCAACAAATCATTAATGTAAATCAGAAATAAAATGGGTCCTGAAACTGTCCCTTACACCACATTTTACAATTCTAGGGTTGTTTTTGACTTGCTCGGTCTGAACATTTTGTCCCCTTTCAGATAAATAACTTTCGAAAATTTTCAAGCAGATCCCTCGAATACCAAGCCGTTCCAATTTTGATAATAAATTCTCATGTTAAACTGTATCAAACGCTTCCTTCAAACTCAGAAATATTCCAATAGTTTTTCGTTTATTATGTAAGGATTTATAAATGGTTTCAGTCACGTTGAATATTGCATCTTTTGTTCCCCGTTTTCCTCTGAATCCAAATTGTTTCGAGTTTAATAATTTATATTCTTCCAGAAAATCTGTCAATCAGATTTTAAAGAAGTATTTTTCCAGAATTTTATACAACCAGATGTATATAGATGCTTTTCTGAACTCTTCCTTCAAAAATGATTCGAAACTGAACACGATTTGGAATTTGAAATAATTTCCCGAGTATTGCAAATTCAATAAAATTTGAATTGGGTAAAAATAACTTTTCAGCTATGCCTGCATACTGACCTTATTTCAGATGTGGCTTCGGAGGCGGTAATTTCAGGTACCTCTCCCTAGGCCAAGGCCAAGAACCGTCTGCCCTGAGTCTATTGGACACCGCCATATCTCGAGGCCAATGGCTCATGTTCCAAAACTGCCACTTACTCATCTCCTTCATCAGAAGACTCGAGAAGCAGCTGGAAAAAATCAGCAAACCCCATCCGGACTTCCGGCTCTGGCTGACGACCGACCCAGTGGAAACCTTCCCGATTGGGGTACTGCAGAGGTCCTTGAAAGTGGTGACAGAACCTCCAAACGGTTTGAAACTCAACTTGCGGAATACTTACTTCAAATTGCGATCGCAGACTCTGGATGCTTGTCCTCACCTAGCGTTCAAATCCCTGATTTACGGCCTGGCGTTTTTCCATGCTGTTGTCCAAGAAAGGAGAAAGTACGACAAGATAGGATGGAACATCTGTTACGATTTCAACGAGTCCGACTTCAATGTATGTGTCACTATCTTGAACACTTATCTGACGAAAGCTCTCAAAGCTAAGGACTCGAGGATACCCTGGAACAGTCTCAAGTACCTTATAGGTGAGGTTATGTATGGAGGGAGAGTCATCGATGATTACGACAGGCGGATTGTGGGAACTTACATGGACGAGTATATGGGAGACTTTCTGTTTGATACGTTTCAGCCTTTTCATTTTTTCAAAGACGATACTGTCGATTATATTATTCCAGTAGATGGGGCTAAGGAAGATTATATTGGTGAGGTTGTGATGATATTCTGCTCACAGGTCATTTCATCTGGTTACATTTTCATATTTCAGCATTTATTGACGAGTTGCCATTGACTAACAGTCCTGAAGTTTTTGGTTTGCATCCGAATGCAGAAATTGGATATTATACTCAAGCTACAAAGGAAATGTGGAGATTGCTTATAGAATTACAACCACAAACTGGTTAGTATATGATCGAATCAATTTACTATGTGATTCAGAAGATTTAAACGAGAGGATATTTGGTTTTATATGAAGATGAGAGAGGTAGCATGATACTTGAATTGAATATTTTCATTTTGGATATCCTCAGAGTTATTCCCTTTAATAGATCATTCAAATCTGTAACCAGTTAAATTTGAAGATTTTCTTTGTTTGTATCGATTCTTCACCTTGATTTTCTCACAGAAAATACTTATGTTGACGCTGCGTAAGCGTGATATATCAATCAACGGTATATCTCAGCCTCACGACTTCACCATTTCATCACCCACCTCAGATTAATTTTATTATGACAGCTATGTCTGGAGAAGGAATCAGTAGAGAAGAATTCATAGATTCGGTAGCCAAGGACATTCTCAAGAAAATCCCCGAGGAGTATGAAGTGTGGAAGGTGAAACGTTTCTTCCAAAGAGCGATGTCTCCCACCGTAATCGTTCTGTTGCAAGAACTAGAAAGGTTCAATAAACTGATACACGCCATGCGGAGGACTCTGGTACAGTTGCAAAAGGCTCTGGCCGGTGAAATAGGCATGGACGCCATTTTGGACAATGTCGCCATTTCGTTGTACAATGGGCAGTTGCCCAACGTTTGGAGAAAGCTAGCTCCGGCGACTTGCAAGAACCTAGGGGGGTGGATGGAACATTTCGAGATGCGACAGCAACAGTACTTCAACTGGGTAGTTGCATGAAACATGCAACAAACTTAGCATTTACTTTAATTTTTAATTATTTTCAGTCTACCACTGGAGAACCTACAGCTTTGTGGATTTCTGGTTTACATATCCCAGAAACTTATTTGGCAGCCCTCGTACAAATAGCATGTCGTTTGCACAATTGGCCCTTAGACAGATCCACGTTGTATACCTACGTTACAGAATTTCTTGATCCTATGGATGTGATTCTACGACCATCGCAGGTAATTCGAAACTATTATGAAGGCTGGTCCAGATTTTTGTGAATCAATCTTTTCGATGTGATATTGGCAATAAGGGACTTTTCTCAATGAACATACCTACCCCCAAAATGCGTGATTCCAGTGCATTAAGTTAGAATAAAAAGGTTCATTATTTCTTATCTTGGGACATACAAAAGTAATCATTTTCAAATCTTGTACACTGAACAAACATTATACCCAGTATAATACCTGCAGATAGCTATTATTATGTCATAGTTAAGATATGACGACGCAAAGGGTAACACTCGTATCAAAAAGTGACATCGCCAACAGGGTTGCCAACTGGACATCGATTCACTCGAATTTCCTGTATTACAATAAATATCAAAATCGAGATAGACCTTTCAAGAAAAAATCGTTCAAAGTAGCAGAAACAATATTTTCTGATTTGTTTTTGACTAGATAGTTTGGCAGAATCGGTGTATTTTGTGACAGCGTCTCAGAACTGTCATAGAATACCTTCAAATCTAGGATGAACTACTATGAATTCCGTAACTGGGGAATGTTGCCAAATATCAACAAATTTGCTGTTATATGGCAGAAGAAAAACTGCCCATAACAAATTTTTGACAGAATGAGGAATTATAACGGTATATCTAGTCTTTTACATTTGGTTATATGACTCCTTGCGGTGACATTGGATTACTTACATTTTACTTACAATTTGGCTGCTGCTCACACAAAATTTTTCAAAGGTTATGATATGACACAAATTTTCAACCCTGATCACCAAATATCACATTTTCGTTTGACAGCTGGCGAGTATCATTCTTAGGCTGCTTTAAAATTTTCCCACCAGAGGCGCGACTCAAAATCTAGGTGCCACCGATTGAAGGAAGGAATAGATCGGAATTCAAGACTTCCATACTCGCTCACCCTGTAGCTTCTTTTAATCTCGAATACTTCACCCTGTGTCTCAGTTCTTATATCTTGTTTTCTTGTAGGGCAACTGTTTATTACATGGGTTATTCCTAGAGGGAGCTACTTGGGACATAGGAAATAACTGCTTGAAAAAATCAACCCCCAAAGTACTGATCGAGAAGTTACCAGTCTTAGGGGTAGTTCCCATCGAATCTTTCAGATTGAAACTGCAAGATACCCTTAAAACCCCAGTTTATACCACATCTTTGAGAAGGAATGCTATGGGGGTTGGTTTGGTATTTGAAGCAGATTTAAGGACTACTGAACATATGAGTCACTGGATACTACAAGGGGTGTGTTTGGTACTGAATACGGATTAGTTTTCTTATGTTACGTTATAATCTAGGTTTATAACAGTATTTTTTGTAAATGAAACATTTTTATAAGGTATTTTTTTAATAAATATTCTTTTGGTACAATGATTCTTTTTCTGATGATTTGATGATTTTTACAGTTCAAAATGAAATGCTGCCTCAAGATAGATGAATTTGATAATCCGCACGTTCATCAAATCCAGCTTTCTCAGTATATTGTCACTAAAAAAATAAAACATCGTTTTAGGGTATAGTTAAAAAAAACGTTTTGCTCCATAAAATGGGCCCGTGGACTGGTTTTTCTAATTTTGTATTCTCGATCTTCATATTTTCAATTTTATATTTATTATTGTTTTTCCAATTTCTGAAGGATATCAAGTTCTAAGAAGGTTGAGGTTTGTAAATAAACCCAGTAAGTATAATTTTGTTGAATGTTAAAAAATTGAATACCAGTTCAGTAGCCTATAATTTCAGTTTATTTTTTTCAATTCATGTATATTTCAACTTACCATTCAATTAGTTTTCTTCACATCTTTAGTCTCGCCTTCCTTTAGTTGACCTCTGCCGAAAATTTTGGCCAAGCTGTCCCAGATTCCGCCAAAGAAAAGAGCGCACATCAAATTTTCGAATGGAATGAAAGGGTCATGGATGCCGAGAATGATGGACGACAATTTGAAGTACACGAAGAATATCACAATCCCGAAGTACACCAAGGCGTGGGGCGCTGAGATCAATTCAGTTTTCTTGTCCAGTATGAAGATTATGGAGGCCACCAAGGAAGCTTTCGTGTAGCTGAAACAAAAAACAAATGCTCATTCATGGAAATATTATAGAAGTTAGGTAAGTTGTGGAGATACCATAGAAAATGTGAGGCTATAACTGTTTAGGAAAAAATTTAGGAAAGTTCCGAATTGGTGAAGCTGAAAATGAAAAAATGCATTATCGCGTCAGAATCTGATGGAGATGAAGAAGATCACCAATTCAATTTGTAATCGTAAATGAATAAGGATGTTGTGGATATATGTGGGCACTTTTTTTTTCCTCTCTTTCCAGCTTTTGCGATGGATTGAACATGATTTTCCCATGAGAGAGTATTGCTGATGGTAATACCGAGCATAGAAGGGTATGGTGGTACCAGACATTGCTATATCAGGCATGCAGAGATCCGCCTTTCCAGAGAAAATACAGGCTTGCGTTTTGGTGGCGTTGAATTCAACTAGGTTGTTGGTTCCCCAGGCTGTCCTCGTCTTATATCGTCAGTATATCGTCATTACCGATATACTCGGAGTCAGCACATCGCACTAAATATACTGTGCTCCAACGCAAGAATACACTTTTTATGATTTTGACACGAATTCGACTGAAGCTCTCTCGTTGTCAATCTCTTGTACGCAGTAAATTCATATACCCAAATGGTCTAATGGTTAGCGCTGTCGACTTTCAGTCTGAAGGTCCATGGTTCGAATCGCTGTGAACTTGAACTTTTTTTTTCACCAATGTTTTTTTACTTCATTCTGGTTCTCCTTTTTCAGAAAATATTTGAAGTCAAATAGGTTAGTGCGTTTAGGATAAACAGTCTCATTTTATTCAATTTTGTTGAAGAACTTGACTTTTGAAATATATTATTAATCAATGTGTTTCTACACTATATTCTGGTTTTCCTTTCTCAAAAATATTGCAATCAGGGATAGGTTAGTTCGTTAAGGATAAATAGTCTCTGAGTTTTGCCTAAGTACTTCGAAGATGAGATATTACGGTGGGCGTGGTTTGTGCTAGCGTACAGTATATTTAGTAAAATCGCGTACCGAATTAACTTGGTTTAGTTCATTGTACCAGTATATCACCTGACGAAGCTACTGTTTTAGCAAAACATGTTGTGTGTTCAAGAATTGTGTGGAAATCTTATCGTTTGTGAAGTTTTTACGGTTGTTTTTATAGTATCGACGAATGTTTCAATCCATGAAATGCATTTCATATATCTTTATATACTTTGTGGTACTAGGAAAGGTTACAGACTGAATATTCTGTGTACTATGTGGTTCTGTTATATTTTCATGTATCTGTTTATAATTTGTGTGTGAATTTATTGTTGTCTGACGTATCCTATGTCATTTTTTATCATGAAGGATTCAATAATAGTTATTTATTATACAAGGGAAAAAAGTAGTAGATTTTAGCTCCAGGTTGTGTTGTCTCCCGACGCGTAGCGGAGGGAGACAACAAACCGTGAGCTAAAATCTAACATTTTTCCCGTGTATAATACACTATTTTTTTCTGTGACAGAAGAAAGGACGAATCAATATTGAGAAGATATTACATGATTTTGAAATCTGAAAATTATCGACGTGAAATTTTAAGTTTTTGACAGTAGGGACACCGCGTTGTAGGCATCTTTATCATTCATTTGAAGTAATCAAATATTTGATGTCACTTCTGTCAGTCTAATTTTGTGATTTTATTTCAAGAAATTGCGGATTCAGTGGTTATTTAGCAATACACGTAACCGCGAAGTCGAATGGAAGATAAAAGGACTTGCAGTTCTTTCTCGGAGACGGTATTATTGACTCATTTTTCGGAACTATAGCACAACAAAATCCATCAACAGTGTATATATATGCGATATATATCCGGGAAAGAAGTACTTACTTTTTTCCCACGGGAAAAAAGTAATTTATGAAAAGTGACATTTTATAACCTGCCAACAGGGATGAAATGCCAAACTTTTTTCCCGTCACAGAAAAAATTTTATTTATTTACGATTTGGTCGAAATTTCACCAAAATCGGACTAGAATAAAAAATGTTACAGGGTGATCAATTGAGCAATTTCTTGCCGATGAGTGCTGATAAAATGGGCGTGTACACCTTAGTAGAACTTTTAACTCAAACCATGTTTATAATGATCCTATTATACATAAATAATGATTGACGACATAATTCGACCAAAAAATTAACTGGAATGTTTTATTTTTGGACATAAATAATAATACCTTCTGAAAACGGACCCTCTTATGACGTAAAAACCTCATCTCGCCATAGTTGAAAGAAAATACCAAACGCCCGACGGAGACTGAGGCAACTGATATATTAATTCTTTCAACTGTGATCTCGCGCTAATTCACTCTGTCAGAAATCATGTATCATTCATCTCTGTCTGGAATAGTCTTGTTTCAGTATTGGGGTTTTGACGTCACATCACCGCCTCGTTTTCAGAGGTCCGAAAAATGGGGGATTTCAATAATTTTTTATAAAACGTAGGGAGCTCACAGCAAGAAACGGTTTGCGGTGGTGAGTTAGTTTGGGTGAGTTCTATCGAATTATGAAATAATTTTTTTTTGTGATATAAGCCCATTCTCAACTTGGTCGGTTCTAGAAAGGTACTCACAAACTGGGCTGCATGAATTCCATCGCGGTGGGCGTCCACACACCCCTGATCAGCCTCTCGACCAATCTGGTGAAGCCAGCCCCGTTGCCCTTCAGCGTGCCGACGATGACCATGATCAGGTAGGCGTTGGGATAGAGTTTGGCGGCGTGCGTGACGCCGTCATACACCTTTTTGCACCTGTAGATTTCCTTCATGGCCGAAAAGATGATTTTGACGGGCAGAAATTTCACCAGTTTGTAGCCCAAGTCCATCGGAGTGTAGAACACCACATACCTGAAACGACCTCGTATTTGATCTTATCTTCTCCTGAAGAAGGAGGAAATAGGCAAAAGTGGAATGAAGTTTTAATGGAAATATTCAATGTTCTACGTGGCGCGTGGCATTAGCCAGGAATAGTAATTTAAGTGCGAAAAGTAGCACTTTTCCGGAGGAATTAGGTACTTATACGATATTTTTCCTTCGAGTGTTTTAGTGTTTTTGTCCATATTATATTTATGAAAGAAAATAGTTATTTTTGTATCTAGAGCGCGAAATGCTACTTTGGTGATCAAGATCTGATTTTTTTAACGAGGTGTAGCCGAGTTAAAAAAATAGTCGAGATGACCAGAGTATTTCGCGCTCGAGTTGCAAACAACATTTTTTCTACAAACGTCAAAAAATATAGTTCTTAAGTAAAAATATGCTTAGCTTGATATAAAAAATAGTGTTTAACTGGCTTGAAAGGCCTCCCCCTATCCTCCCGAGCTACGCTCGATGTTCCACGAACATACTAGGAATTTCCTTTCGTGCGCTCCAAGAGATAAAACAAGTTTATTGTTGAACATTCAGAAATGAATGATTTCGTGGATGTTTGCTCGATTGAGGACCATAAAGTTGAAAAATAAATATCTCATACATTTTACATAACAATGCGCGAAGTAGGTACTTCGCGCGCTGTTTTACTTCGCGCATTGTTTTGTGCAAGGTATCATAGTAACGTAGGAAACTGAAAAAAAGTGTCACTTCGCAATATGTTATCAATGCGCTAACCTTGTCATTTTTTGACGTTTGTAGAAAATAGTTATTTTTGTATCTAGAGCGCGAAATGCTACTTTGGTGATCGAGATCTGACTTTTTTTAACGAGGCGTAGCCGAGTTAAAAAAATAGTCGAGATGACCAAAGTATTTCGCACTCGAGTTGCAAACAAATTTTTTTCTACAAACGTCAAAAATATAGTTCTAAAGTAAAAATATGCTTAGCTTGATGTAAACAATAGCGTTGAACTGGCTTGAAAGGCCTCCCCCTATCTTCCCTAGGTACGCACGATGTTCCACGAACATAATAGGCATTTCCTTTCGTGCGCTCCAAGAGATAAAACAAAGTTATTGTTCATTATACAGAAATGAATGATTTCGTGAATGTTTGCTCCATTGAGGATCATAAAGTTGAAATATAAATATCTCATAAATTTAACATAACAATGCGCGAAGTAGGTACTTCGCGCACTGTTTTACTTCGCGCATTGTTATGTGCAAGGTATCATGGTAACGTAGGAAACTGAAAAAAGTGTCACTTCGCAATTTGTTATCAATGCGCGAACCTTGTCATTTTTTGACGTTTGTAGAAAATAGTAATTTTTGTATCTAGAGCGCGAAATGATCGAGATCTGATTTTCTTAACGAGACAAAATGGAATGACTCAAGATGACTTAATGCGAATTGTTATACTATGGAGGATATTTCCTCGAATTAGTTATCAAGAAAAATGATGAAAAAACATTTCAAATTCAATTTCATCAATTTTTCATTAATTTCTGACTGACATAGAGAAATCTTCCTGCAGATGTTACAACGATGGAACTTACTATCTAACTATTTCAGATTGAATGACTATTCCACCGGTTATTTCAACTTCTCAGATTTTGATTCAGGGTGATTTGAAATCGCGATCGAGAATATTAAAATTTGGAATTGAATAACTATAACACCCTATCGATATCAGGTATTGCGTTAATTTTTTTTCTACTAGCGTGTGGAAAAGTCACTTTTTGTATGGAAAAAACTCAGCACTAAAATGAGTGCGGAAAAGAGAAATTTGGGATTTTTCCGCACGCTAGTAGAAAAAATAGTGCACCTAACACGTGCGTACATTCACTTTTCCGCAAGCAATTACAGATGGCCCATCGACGCGTTAGTATCACCTTCTTACCTTCCACATTTCTGAAGGAAGCTCGTTTGAGTACAATATTCATTATCATTATCGAATTTTTGTTTTTTAAAATTGGTCAACGGATTTCAAATTCGGAGGGTGTTGCGAGCCTGCTACAAATTCATGTGTCATAAGTTTTTAGTTCTGAATTTGTTTATACCCAATATCATTGGAGATGGAAGTTAAGAATAAATCTCGATAATAAATTCAATTTCTTATTTACCTACCATACAAGTGTTGCTACTAGGAGCTGTGGGGTGTTTTTCAGTGGCGCCAAAATTGGTTCTGCTAGGAGTCCGTTGGCCACCATCCCCCCTGCGAATACCACCAACATGTAGGACAGCCAACATGCCAAGGGGTGCTTCCTTGAAAACGCTTGGGCTCCTACAAACACCAGATTATAAAGTCAAGTAAAGTAAATTTATTTCATCACGTTAACTACAGAAATGTATAAATAGTGACAAGTCAGATACAAAGTAAGAGAACATTATCATCGAAATACCCATATGAAATTTCAACCCAATTGGTTCAGCCGTTAGGATAACCGTAGGATAATGTCGGCTTCTAATGGTAAAATAATTTTTCAAATCGGTCCAGTAGTTTCGGAGCCTATTCAATACAAACAAACAAACAAATATTTCCTCTTAATAATATTAGTATAGACATGTATAGATTAATAGGGGACAACAATATACAGGGTGTATAAGTTCATATAAACATGTGTCCTAACTTGCTTCGTTTTCGAGATACAGGGTATTAATATTTCCATGAAAAATCTGTTTTCTATTCATTTATCAATTGTCTTTTCATCCATCTCAATAAAACTTTTGTATCTAGCATAGTTTTTGAGGAAATAATAAAAAATCGATTTGACTTCAAATTTAATGAAGGTGTTCTCAAGACTTCCATTGAGATTACCTACTCCAATAACCCCAATTACAATCATTTTGAAATGTTGGTGCTTCCTCAGTCTCCAACCATACTGAATTTTGACACCATGAAATGATGAAATGGAGAATAACGTAGTCTTCAGTAGATGAAACATAATTTTCTCTGTGTTACTAGTGAAATAATGGAGTGTTACTTCATGATGAGGATGTCTGGTGTCTGACCTCGAAATGGTTCTGTAATTTCTCGGGTCGAAGGTCATATCCACGATGGGTCATAATGAAGGTACGCATTTTGTATCAATGTACGATTGTAGTTCCAGAAGTATGAAATTTGTATTTAGTCTTGACGATGGATATACAAGGTGCGATAAAAAATATGTCCAGATTGTCCCGGGATGAAGAAGAATATGTTTAAACGTGATGAAAATCGCTGTTCCGAAAAAGAAATATAGTGTCGGTCATTGTCGAAAATTGTGAAATGTATAAATACAGTAACTTTCCATGAGGTTTATACGAGGAAATATGAATGAGACTGCAGAATTGCCATAGATTCGATTACATGTTTTTCATACTAATGAAGATGAATACTGCAGTAAGTCCTCATGAGGCTTATACGAGGTAATATGGAAGAGACTTCAGAATTGCCATATATTCGTGCATACTTGTTACCATTGCATCTTATACTGATCTGATGACAGATGATAGTACCCCTCCATACTGCGTTCTCTTCCAGAATTCCCATTTCTTCCCAGGAAACTAAGAACTCACGGCGCAGGCAGGTCAATGCTGTCAATGAAGATCTTGCTGAAATCACAGCCTGGGGAACGAACAACCTAGTTGAATTCAACGCCACCAAAACTCAAGCCTGCATTTTCTCTAGAAAGGCGGAACTCAGTATGCCCGATATTGTAATGTCTGGCTCCACCATCCCCACCAAGCCCACCATATCTATGCTCGGTATTTCCATCAGCAACACTCTTTCATGGGATAATCATGTCAGATCCATCGCAAAAGCTGCTTCACAAAAACTCGGATTCTTGTTCCGTGCGAAAAGCTACTTTACACCTCAACAGCTTCTCATGATCTACAAAGCGCAGATACGGCCTGTTCTAGAATACTGTTCCCACATATGGGGTTCAGCACCAAAACATACGCTGATGCTCTTAGATTCCATCCAGAGAAGAGCCATTCGCCTGGTGGGTGACGCCACACTCACTCACTCTTTGACATCATTGGAACACCGTAGAAGGGTCGGCGACCTTTCACTTTTCTATCGATACTTCCACGGGAAATGTTCTTCGGAAATCTCTGCAATCATCCCTTCACTAGCAATACCAATCAGACGAACTAGACAAGCCCAGTCAGCACATCCTTACGTCGTCAACCTCGAAAGATGTCGAACAGCACTTTATCAAGACTCCTTCATCCATAGAACGGCTAGGCTCTGGAATTCATTGCCTGTGGAAGTATTCCCAACAACATATAATCTCCAAAAATTCAAAAAAAATTCCAATACCTACCTCCTGTCCCTATCCCCCCTAGGAACGTAAGATGTTCTTTGAACATTATAGGGATTCCCTTTCGTGCGCTCCAATCGATAAAAAAAAAAAAAAAAAAATCTAGCACCTACAATATGATGGTCTTCAGTAGGACAAGTTCCTCATAGTCATTCAGTGCAAAATTGAATGGAGATAGAATAACTCTTGAATGTTCATTTCTGCATCATCTTTTTCACAGGGTGAAGGAATTTGTACCTGCTGCTATAGATTTGACGAATTCTGTTGAAAAAAAAATAGCTTGCCTAAAACTCATACTTACAATTATTGCAATTTTCTCACGTCAAAAAAATCCCTACGTTATTCTCCATTCCATCATTCAGTATTTCTTGTATTACTTTGTATAGACTTCTTCAGAATTTTCTGTAGTCGAACACAATCACATATCCGACGACTATACATACAACGTTGATTCTTCGAAAAAAAATTCCAACTTCCAATTTCATTCAATTATCGTCGAAAAAATACTACAACATTTTGAATGAATATTCATAACACGATTATCAAAGCTCAGAATTTGAAAATTCTGAAAACGTTTCGAGAGGATACAACAGCTAAGAAGAAAATTGAAAAATTATCTGTTCAAACGGTAAGGTGACGACCACGATGCAATTTTACACTAATTCAATTATCACCCTGTAGCAATGTTATCTGGAATTGCAAAAGTTTCATATTGCCACAACCAACTGTCAAGAGATTTAGGCTAATCATCGGTGGAATCCGATTTCAAATTGGTAAGGAAATCCGTGAGTTATTCTACTTTGAATTCAGGCTATATTTTGGACCACGACGTTATCAATGTTGACCAGTTGAATGGCAATAATCCATTAATCAGTCCACTCGCCCATTATTGGCCCTATGCCGAATCCCCGAGCACCTCTAGCTCAGCCTGGCCCAGCTCGAATACATACCGCTTCCTAGGTCTTCTCTGACCGAGAGTGCGCACAGCGCGCAGTGGGCTATGTCGAAGTAGGGAAACATCTTCAGCTTCACCACCTGGTTGGCGATGTCCAAGAACGCCTCCGGATCCATGTTGAGTTTCTCTTCTTTTTCCTAGCACCCCGGATGTATCTTCGAGTCACTCTCGATATTCTGCGATGGAGGATGTTTTTTTTTAGGCGCTACCGACGCATCTTGGGACGAGCCATGGACTAGCGAATCGAGTCGCCTGTGTTTCTAAATTTAAGTCGCTCCGCGCTAGATTAGACTAAAGTAGTATTTTTATCTGAACGTCAGATATGAGTTATGAAAGCCAATAGATAGTGAGGTAAACGCAAAGGAAACCGCCGGCAGTGATAACTATATGATACCTTATAGGTATGTATTTGTTACGATATAAATAATAAATAAATGTAAGAAACTCTATACAGCTAGACGATAAGATTTTCACCGAATTTTCACAATATTTTCCATTACACATGTTTCGCTAACACAGTATTTTCCAAGTGAAATATACTCGTACAATAAATAGACCTAACATTGATTTGCCTTACTTATTTATACTTACTTACTTACGGATCAAAAGGATTAAAATACCTATACGTTGGCTTTTTAATCCTTCATTCCGGAAAGTATATTCACAATACCTGCATTGAAATTTGGTATCAACTTCAAATTGATCTTTAAGAAAATGTATTAGAATCTTTTCGTTTGTTGATTTCTATAATTGTTGATATCTTATCAATAATAATTATTACTCTATTTATGTATTGTTTGATACGTTCTGTATATTATGTACATATTTATTTTGCCAAAAATCTAGTGACAAAAAAAAGAAGGGAAGTTGTTAATAATGTGTCAGAATCACGATGTAGGGGTCAGAATATATATGAAAAAGTCATTGGAAAATATATCTTTGGAAAATAAAACAGACGATGATATTCTACAGTCAAGAATAATAATCACTAACGCAAAAATTCTCAACAATTTGGTTGTTGTTAATTCTCAATGACAAACGCAAAAATTCATTTTACTTAACCCTAATGCGAGGAAAAAATATAGGGCGTTTATGCCAGAACACGATCATGAAAACTTGTTTGGCATAAACGCCATGGCTTATGGGAAATCACATGCATGATCCTTACATCGAAAAAACATATTTAGATTCGATTATTCGAAGTTTTTTCATGTTATTCTGTGAACCTATCATGGATTGATACAAGTCAGTAAGAGGTGTGATGATACTGATAAATTTCAAATAGAACTGCTTCAAAACTGCAATCGATTTTTGGCGCTATGCCATTTCTTTACTTTGCAGATGAACATATCTAGAAGAAAACAAATTCTCTTGATGGCGTCGAAAGAATGGTTTTAAACTGCAATGAGGTCTCAAAATTGACAATTCCAAATGTGGTAATGTTTCGAATGACAATGTAACATCAGATGAGATTTGCGGTTTTTTTCATTGCTTTTCCTTGTGGTCACAACACCATTGAATCCAGCACCCCATAAATTGAAACTTGTACGCTGTTAGTTAGGGAAGCATCTATTTACAAACATCTATGGCCTAGCTGGGGCACGAAACCATATGCCCCCCGGTGGGAGTCCCAAATATACGAACTCAGCGCTCAGCGCCTTTGAGCTTTCGACCACCGGGCCGCCAATTCAATATTATAATAATATATACAGGCTGATTCACGGTGGATGGCACATTAGACGTTTCTGGTGAACCAGACAACGGATCATTTTGAAAATCCAATGGAGGGCATATCCGGACATTCTCTAGCCAACTAAAATATTTTCGACAATGCGGTGTTGCCGCTTCTATTAGAAAGCAGTAGCAACTTTGATTTTTCAAATGGAACAATCTGTATTTTATTGCATTTTTAGATTCTCCTTGAAGAGCTGATTTCATCGATGTATCACACTTGGGGTCTAGCGGAAATGATTACAGAGATATAGGGTGTGAAAAATCGACATTTTTCAACTTTAGAATTTTTTTGTGTCGAAACTATTCATCATTGGTCAAAACGGCTCACATGTCCCTATCTCAACTTTTGATTAACTATCTACTGATATTTAATTGGGACATATACCGGGTGATCAAGATTCCACATCTTTTGATTGTGAGAGCGAGAGCCACGTTGCCACGTGGTAAAACCACCTGTCATTGTTAGGTTTATAATTTATGTCACTTATGTCTTATATGTCATTAGGTCTGTTCGTTCGTTTGTGTTTGCTGAACTTGCTAAAGTTGATTTCGTTGTCTCTGTTCATGGCATGATGTAAACAGAGAAAGTCATAGAAAAAAAATAGCAGGTAGGGCAAATACACTAAACACAGACGAGAACATGCCTATGTCGTATTCTACTCAATACTCAATGAACTCGTTCATTGGTTTATATTGAGTTCATCAATGAACTCGTTGTTTATATTGAGTTCATTGGAGTTCATTGATTCTACTGAATGGGGTCGGCAGCTTAGTGAAAAAGTATAGTTTGCCGACCGGTCGGCAGCCTATACACTTTCATTTTCAAATTGCGATCTGTTTATTTATATTTTGAATAATTTTTGTATTTTCATTTGATTGCCACAAGGCCTCTATAATATAATATGTCTGGTGATTCTGTCGGGTATATTTTAGCTCTAGATATAGGAACAACAAATCTTAGATGCCATGTGATAAATTCACAAGCAAAATCAATGGGATCTTCATGCAGAAAGGTTATAAGTACTTTCATTATATATTTCTTTTTAAAAATTGTTACACCATTACTTTGTAGGTAAAACTGTACTATCCACAACCTGGATGGGTAGAAATAGATCCTGATGAACTATTCAGTGATATACTGAATATTGTTCATCAAGCCATGAATGGTGAGTACCTAAAATTGATTTCTCAGGTTGAAAACAATACATAATGGTTTGAAATAAAATCCCTGTTTGATTTAAACATACACACCACATACAAACCTTCTGATTCTGAGTGTTCCCAAAATAGTTCTTTTTGTCCAGATGCAAATGTAGCTTTCACTGACATCAAATCTTTGGGAATATCCACCCAAAGATCAACTTTTATAACATGGAAAAAAAACACAGGTGAGCATCTGCACAATTTTATAACATGGAAAGACCTTCGAGCAACAGATTTGTTGAAAGATATAAATAATTCCTGGTCCACAACTGTGAGTTTACTAAAATTCTGAAACAATACAAATAATAATAATTCACATAGGCATCTATAATATATTTTCTAGATGTTGAAGTGGGGTGCTTATTTAATTTATTTACTCACCAGAAACAAGAAATTTGGAATGGGAAGTAAACTAAAGATTGCAAACAAACATGTGAGTTCAATTATGAAAAAAATACTTACCTACATAATTATGGTCACCTATGATTTAAGGTATCAGGAAGATTGCTATGGGTTCTTACTCACCTCAAAAACGTACAAGAAGCACTACAAAGTAATAACTTGATGTTTGGCACTGTGGAAACATGGTTAATTTATAAACTCACAGAGGGAGGCACATATGTAACAGACATATCAAATGCAAGTGCCACAGGTTTCTATGATCCCTTTGACTTGAACTGGGGTATCATTGCAAAACTTCTAAAAATCCCTACTCACATTTTACCAACAGTGGTTTCAAATGATTTTGACTTTGGGTGTGTAACAGAAAAACTGTTTGGAGTTCCAATAAAAATCGGATGCACGGTAATAACTTGCTCAATATTAAACTTTCATGAGTAGGTAGATAATATTCTATATCAAATTTGTATCTGATATTTTTTTCCTATTGAAGCATCCAACTAGTCTTCAAAACTTCATGATATGATAAAAATCAATTTAGTCATCACATATTATAAACTGATCAAAAAGTCAAGGATATTGTGTTTTTTGCTTGGTTTTTTGCTATGAATCAAAATTCGGATACCACTATAAGCTGTTGGTCACTCTCTTGGTAACATTGCACAAGTTCCGACTTTTAGAGAGCAGCAAAATACAAGTTTAAAAAAGTTTACTAAACATACATTTTATCCTTTATCACCAAAATATGCTTAGATTTTTTTGATCAGTTTATCATCTTCCAGATGGCTGATCAATCATCCTCTATGTTTGGTTCTTGGAGTTTCAACAAAAATGATGTGAAAATAACTATAGGAACTGGAGCTTTTCTTGATATCAACACTTCTGATAAAATTCACCCCAGTCTCAATAACATATACCCTTTAGTAGGATGGAAAATAAATAATGAACTTACATACATGTCAGAAGTATCCTGCAATGATGCAGGTTGTCTTGTAGACTGGTTGCAACAAAGTGGTAAGTCAAAATAGGGTTTCAGTATCATATGAAATCCAAATCTTTTTGGTTTCAGGAATAATAGAAAACCAATATGAAACCTCAGATATGGCATCAAAAGTAGAGGACAGTGATGGAGTTTACTTTATACCAGCTTTCAGTGGTTCAGTGGTCTGTATGTCTAGATTAATTTTCAATAATGCACTATTAGGTCATGATCTTCATTAAATGCCAATTTATTTCAAGCCACCTTTTGAAAATGAAAATGTTGCTGCAGGATTCATTGGGATTAAACCTACTACTAAAAGAGAACATTTGGTGAGAGCTGTACTTGAATCTATTGTTTACCAGATTATAATCACTCTCAATATACTGAAAAAGGAAAGAAAAGGGGACTATGATTCCATGAAGTATGATTGTTTCATGTCTATAAGATGAAAATGTAGATTTTTATCATTTTCATTTTCAGAATTGATGGTGGCATGTCTAACAATGATTTTGTTTGCCAGCTATTAGCAGATTTGGCTGCTATACCAATTTATAGAATGTGCAGTAGTGACATGTCCATAATGGGTGTTACCTACATATCAGGTTTATCTTGTGGTAAGTGTAGAAGCTGTCCATTCATTACTATTGAAATTGAATTTTGGCATGTTTTTTAAGGAATATGGAAGAATAAGGATGACTTGAAGGACTTGCTCAAGTTACAAAAACAGTTTCAACCTGTAAAATCTCAAGATCTACTTAAGAAATATGAGAAGAATTTCAATCATTGGATCCTGGCAGTTGAAAGATTCAAATCATGGAATAAATACTCTGAAGTATTGAGTTGATAAAATGTTATAATGTGATCCAAAGATGCAAAGAACTAATGAAAAATCTAGGTACCTATATTCTCCAAACTTTTCGAAAATGTGAAAACTTGAACATGAATTTGAACAATATTTATGTAGCAAACTTGACTTTCTTTACATATACCCTCACCACCCGAATTCCAAGAAGTCTCCGGCCGCTGTCACCTAAATATAGATAAGATTAAAAATGTTTCATACTTACTGTAAACATCTCTACTATCCAATTCCCTTTCCGGCACTGGTTTATTGAAATTTGGAATAATTGAACAAGGTTTGACTAGTTATAAGCATCTCAACACAGTTAAATGGAAAATTCGAAAATTCTTAGAATCCGCTCGTAAGTGTTCAAATGTTGCCGTCAGGGGTCGACATGTTATTTTCTATCGCGAATAGGATTATAATATTAAAGACTTTTGCCAATGTCCACATGTTATTTCACCTTAGAAAGCATTTCATATTTCATGCTCAAGTGTAAAAAAAGAAGAAGATAATCATAGGTTAAATTTTAATGTCATTTGTCATAACACTCAAAAGCAAAACGTCAAATCGGGCTGGGTATGAGAAGACAAAATATTTTTCTTACAAAATCAGTCCGAATTTCTGATCTGCTCTGCGTAGAAGTTTCCTAAAATTGATTTCTCGGTAAGACCCCAAACCCGGCCATGGATGAACTCAGTGAATCAGAGTTGCTTAAAAGGGAAATAGAACGGTTAACACGAGAACTAGATCAAGCCAGTAGTGAGAAACATCAATCTGCCCAATACGGTTTAGTACTCCTGGAAGGAAATAACGACCTAAAGCATAAGGTCGAGGAATTCGAAGCCCTGTATGAAAATACCAAACATGAATTGGTCATAACACAAGAGGTGAGTACCTACTAGAATTGTTCATTACTGATGATGTAGGTTGTACATTGTACAACTAATTTGCATATAAATGACATGATTATAGACAGCATCTACATTGGAATACATTGATGTTTTATGGCTAAAAATTAGATTATCATAATTACCTCTCTTATGCAAAGTTTGAATATTCAACAATCCAGTAACCCAAGTAAAGATCATATAGGAGGGTTATCTGAACGATTTCAGCTTAATTAGTGTACCTGATTTATATTTGTTATGTAAATCATGTATTTGGAAGAAATAACATTCATTTTACAAATATTCAGGGTGTCCCTAAAAGTTCTTTACAGAAACTTACCACATACCGGGTGTAACAGGATCATGGTACACCCCCTTTTTATCCTTCAGTTTAAGAGATACTAATTGGAATTTGGAATGACCCATCAACTTGATAAAAGTCATGTTTTGACATTATTAGGTTTCATTTTCCACTTCCTGTTTCACCGGAAGTGATAATAACTTCTGATTTTCAAATGGAACACCCTGTATATCATTGCATTTTCGAATCCTGCATCATTTTCTGAATCCAATGATACCACAAAAGTTACATTTCAAACTCCAATATTGATTTTAATTTCATTTTCTATTTTCCATCTGAGAGTGCCATGACCATTCTGATCTGGTCTGAAGTACTCATATCGACAGATGTAATGCTAAAAAAATGTATCCTGTCAAAAATGTGAAATTTCTTGATTTATTACCAAATTAAGTTCATCAAATTGGTTTGGTGTACCATGATTCTGTTACAACCAGTATTCCTCAGATCAAAACAATGCAGTACAAGCAAAGTTACCTCAATACAAAGCTGCTTAGTTTGGGCGCTAGATGGCGCTGAAGTTGCATTGGGTGATTGGAAGTGGACTGATAATGAATTATTGGCATTCAATCACTCCACTGTGTTGTGTTAGGGACCTATATTATTTTTTGCAACACTTCTCATGCTTTTTTATGTAAATAATGAGCCATTTGGGGATATGTGGAATAAATGGTGACATCAGTTTTTATGCTGTTTCATTATTGGTCAGATAATCTTCCATTCTCACTCATGGAGCAAGGTTGTAAAGTCATTATTTATAATCAAGTTATCAAAAAGATGTTATGAGTTCTGTCCTTGAATAAAAGATAATAGGAGGAACCCATGATATTATAGTACATTCTTGATTTTTTCAAGCAACCAGCATGTCCAAATATTTATCATACTCCATAACAAAATATCATGTAAATGTTGGAGATTTGGCAACATTGTGCTGAATGCTGAACTGACATACCACGCCCACAATTCGTGCGCCGTGTTGTCACGTTCATTGATTCAAATGTCCTCTAGTGTGAATTAATATAATTATTATTTACACAAATTCATCATAAGCAATAAGCCAACACATGAGGGAACATTTTGAGACAATTGATTTTTTATTGCTAATAAGGTTAGGTTAGGTTCCATGTGAGTGGGGCGAACACCTCCCCTCCACTGCGACCCCAGATGGGTCTATTGTGGCTCAAGGAAGGAATAAATGGATAATTAATATTTCTGAAGTTCCTATTTCAACATATGGCAACTGTGCTATGTTCTGCCCCTACTTATGAAATCGTGACATCAGTTCTCACTAGTGGTAATTTGTAGCCGTTTGAAATTTACCGTGGCATTATCGATGATTTTAGCACCTTAAAATCGACCAAAAAATTCTAAAAAAATAATATAATTGAAAGGTATTTGAGTGATGATTCTATTTAAGATCGCCGTTTCACAGCCTACTTCTGAAACTTTTGTCTAGATGGCGGTGAGATGGCCGTTTGCACTAAAATATGAGAATTTTCAAGACGGTAGTGCGCCACGATATACCCCTAGTACGTATTCGTAGTTTCCTTCTTTCTAGTCAGTTCGGGCAAGTCCTCCATAGGTGTCGGAATACTAGCATCGAATCGGAATAGAATTGATCGATCAATCATAGAATATAAAAATAACACAGTTTATATTCTTAGGTTCAAATATGAATATAGTTTATATTCTTGGGTTCAAATATGGAGTGAAATTCTGGATGTGTGCTTGCTCTTACCGTCCGCGCAAAATATGTAGTATTTATAGGTCTCGATCTCGATCCAGATAATGGCTGTTGGCTGACCTGACTTTGTTTACTATGTTTATGTTTACATCGCGAAGCGTAGAACCAAAGAGTAGGGGATGGTAGAACCAGAACCGAGCCGTCACGATTATCATTGTCAGAGATAAATCATGAGGGCTTTGGCAGAACGCGGGAATTTCGCACTGAATTGTTATCTACGAGAATAGTTGGAAACTCAATAGGTATCAAGTGATATCAATATCAAGCATTTCATTCAAAGCAAAAATGTTACATGTGGTCTTTTTTTACAAGCATCATCAAATCTTGCAAGTTAAATTTGACGCACTTTCTGATCGTCCGATTGATTAAAAACTTGGCAGGTGGACATGATTTTGGTGACAATGCATTATGAAATAATTAGGTTTTCGGGGTCGGAGATTATGATTCTCTTGTCAAAATTGAAAAATTCAAGATGGCGGCTCCATGGCGGACTGGTTTTGTGCTTATGATCTGATTCGATTAAAAATTAGTAGGTATCTGGGGGTTTTCGGGGTCGGAGATCATGATTCTTTTGTCAAAAATGGAAAAAATCAAAATGGTGGCAAAATAGTGTAGGTACGAGTTTTGTGATTATGGACCGATTGTATTCAAAATTGGTATCTGGTGGTTTACGGAGTCAGAGATTATGATTCTCTTGTCAAAATTAGAAAATTCAACATGACGGCTCCAAAATGGCGGACGAGTTTATTGTGATTATGGTCCGATTCTATCAAAAATTTGTAGGTATCTACGTATCTATATAGGCTTTTCGGATTCGGAGATTATGATTTTCTGTCAATATAAAAAAATTCAACATGGCGGAATAGTTTTGTGATTATGGTACGATTCTATTCAAAATTTGTATTTGTGGGTTTTCGGGGTCGGAGATTATGATGTTTTGTCAAAATTCAAAAATTCAACATGGCGGCTGAAAAATGGCGGAAGAGTTTTTTTGGTAATGGGCCCATTCTATTCGGTATCTTGGTGTTTTCGGAGTCAGAAATTATGATTTTTTGTCAAAATTCAAAAATTCAACATGTCGGCTCAAAAATGGCGGAAGAGTTTTTTGGTAATGGGCCCATTCTATTCGGTATCTTGGTGTTTTCGGAGTCAGAGATTATGATTTTTTGTCAAAATTCAAAAATTCAACATGGCGGCTCAAAAATGGCGGAAGAGTTTTTTTTGATAATGGGACCATTCTATTCGGTATCTGATTGTTTTCGCAGTCGGAGATTATATTTTATTGTCAAAATTCAAAAATTCAACATGACTGCTCCAAAATGGCGGAGCAGAGTGGTTTTCGGAGTCGGAGATTACCTATGATTTTTTGTCAAAATTTAAAAATTCAACATGGCGGCTCAAAAATGGCGGAACAGTTTTGTGATTATGACTATTCAAAATTTGTTTTTGGGGGTTTTCGGAATCGGAGATTATAATTTTTTGTCAAAGTTCGAAAATTCAACATGGCGGCTCCAAATAAGTGGCGGACAAGTTTTGTGATTATGGTCCAATTCTATTCAAAATTGTTATGTATATATGTGGAGGGTTTTGGGGTCGGAGATTTTTTTTTTTAGTTTCACTTGTCCTAGTGTCTTGTATGTTGCATGAATAAACAAGTTGAATGAATAAACAAAAAAAAAATCAAAACAAGCTTTTATTTGTTGTTACTAAAGGAAGAACTGGAAACTGGCGCGATGTCCTGTCGCTGCTTATACATGGTGTTCATTATTGTTGCACGAAATTTCGAGGTCAGATTTGTTGAGTCGAAATATAAATAGAGTTATACTAGCTTAATTCTCGAGGAAAAAAATGGAAACCAAACCTATGCATGGCTGTTGAGAGAGAAAAATACTCTAGAAATCAATCGGATAATTATGGCAAAACAAGAACCCACTTATCGTAAATGAAATCGGTTGAAGTTCAGAAAAAAATTGTACACCCTGTAGGTACCTATCTCGGAACGAATCATTTCCAGAAATTATATTCATACGAACTTTGTTCAAATTTTGGCCCATAAAATCTGATCTTGAAGTTTCATCCAACAATAATGACACACCCTGTATAGACATTGCAGAAGGCAGAACCGACCGTACGATCAGCGGCTCCGATCGAATGGGAAGAAACAAAAGGATTGCACCTATACCTACTGCGTTGGAGGCCGCAGAGTCGTGACTGGAATTTGAATAATTTCAAATTTCATAATAATAATAATACTAATAATTTATTCACCTAAGTAAAGAAAATACACAATGGGTAACAAGGGTATATACATAAATAACAAGTGAATAAATAGGTATCCACAAAGGGATGAAGTCCTGTACGTGGATGGTATGAACATAATATAATATATGCGCGGTAAGTAAAATAAACATTCTATCGATAAACAAAAAAAGTAGAATGAACAATACACATATACATATAAAGGTGACTTTCAGTTCAAATCATCGACCGATAATACTTTTTCTTACGACCATCTATGAAAACAGCGGATAGGCGGGATAGGTACCTATTACCACACTGTTATGTTATTTGGAAAGTAGCACATTTCAATATTGTAACAGAGAATTGTAAAGTAAAACGCATTAGTGTGGAAATGTTTTACAAACGCACGCTCGCAGTGAGTTGATGAATATAATGTAATTTCAAGTTTTTTATATGATTATTAGCGCTCCCCTCGCGTTGACTCTGGGCACTGACCTGTAGCCGAAAGCACCCGCACCTCCTAATAACGAATAACGATCCCCATGCCCCATAGAAATAGAAATAAACATTTTGTTTGTCTCTGTCTTGCGAATATATCTGTCCTTGCTTCCAGTTCCTGGTCTTAGGAGAGCGAGGTAGTCTAGCAACAACGATGTT